TAACCCTAACCCTAACCCTAACCCTAACCCTAACCCTAACCCTAACCCTAACCCTAACCCTAACCCTAACCCTAACCCTAACCCTAACCCTGACCCTGCTGTCAACACAGCTGCAACTCTGGCCGAAAGTGCCGGGGCAGCTACCGTCATACCCACCGCAGCACCCGCAGCTACCACCGCTACAGCTTCTAGCGCTGCAGCTGGTGCTGGTCTCTCCACCGTTGCAACCGCCTGTCTTGTCGTGGTCACCGTCGCGATCGTCGTCGCGGTCGGTGTCTTCTGCTGGTCCAAGTACCAAGAGCACAAGCGTGAGCAACGCCGAGAATTACGCGAGGAGCAACTCCACCGTCAACGCATGGTTCCCACCCAGCCCGTTTCCACCCCTTATCGCGACTCCGTTGACATGAGCCAGGTTTAAGCCGCGTCTGCGTCAGCCTCATCCCGCACTCACCTTTGTCTTGCACTCTTCGCACCCTTCATGCTGTTTGTCGGCAACGTCATCGATCTTCACCGTTTTATCTCGTCCTCTGTTCTCGCATTCGCCTCTGCTCAATTCTACCTTGCGATCCTCTTCGATCCGGGATCAGTGTGCAGTGCGTGTGCGCGTCATTAATCTTTTCTTCCTGTGCGATTCGGGGTAATGGTGGATGCGACACAATGTGCTCTACTTCAAACACCTTCTGAGAATCCTCATAACGTGGGTAGGCAACCATGCTCCAATGGGTCTCGAAAGACAAAGCTGAAACTGCAAAACAAAATAAAAACATCAAAGCCAGCGAGCACAAGGAAAGCATTCGAAGACACAGCTGTTGTCAAGACTGGAAGCCAATCCCAGACATGGCACGCGGCATCTCGGATGGCGAGAACGTGGGGACTAGCTCTTGAATCGCCTCATTCACGGCGTGGCGCTGATCGTCCTGAAGGAAGCGCAAAGTCTGAATGTTGGCGATGCTCGCTGAGATAGGGATAGGCAAGCTTGCTGCCATGGACTGAGGATCGCTACGCACCAGGATCGGCCTTCCGTCCGGCAGCTGCTGGATCCGATGGTTGTATGCATTGCAAATCTCGTACCAAGTCTTGCCTTGGGCAGTACCATGGCGTAACCAAACAAACTTGAGCACTTCATGCGGATCCACCAGGCCCGAAATATTGAGGGTTTCGAGACTCGGCACAGGCACGAGCATCGAGTCGCCCCGTCTCCGGCTCTTTGTCAACATCGGGTACAGCGATCGGAGCGGCACCCGAGCTGTGGCAGGGCGTCGCACATTGAGGTAGAGCACCTTGAGGTGGCGTAGGTAGGTGATACCCTCCAACAGCTTTTCCTGATCTTGAGCGCTGGCTGGCAGCTCCAATTCGAGCCTTCGGAGCTGCTCCCACTTGCTCAGCATGTAGCCCGATGCGAAGTAATTGGGCGCGATGGGAATCCTGAAGGCTGTAAAGTCGATTTGGTACGCCTCTTTCAGGCTAGGACAAAGATAGAAGAGCCAGTTGAGCAGTGGGGGACGGCACACCACCTGGAGCTGATCGAAAGTGATGCGTTCCATCGGTCCTTGCAGAAAGCTAGACGAAACGAGCTTGTCAATCGCATACGATTGAGATGAGCAATCCCACATTTGGAGTGTTGGTGACAGCTGATGCAGGCCATCGACGAGACCCCGCAGGTCGTGAGATGGTGCAAGACCGTCCTTGAGGTATCGTAGTCCCAAAGTATTCGGACTGAGATCGCAGTATGGCAAAGAGCTGGGTGCGTAAAACTTGTCGAGCGCAAAGGTACGCTGAGAAAAGCGCCTGGATGGAAAGTTCCAGGTTCGCTGAAAGAAGGGCGGCAGCTTGTCGAGAAAGCGCAGATCGATAGCGCTCAAACGCGGACAATGACTGTAGAGCTCTTCCAGGCATAGGGCTTGGTCTGCAATCGAAATACTGATCTGCCGGAGAGTGGCACAGCTACGACGCAGCTCTTCAAGGATGGGGATGAGGTGATCGCGACAAGGGCAAAGGGGCACCTCAATGAGTACGCTTTCGAGCCTCGCAGGGGCGTCAACTGCGCGACTGTCTCGTGAGCGGTCCGAGTATGCGCGCACGAGCTCCAAGATCTCGCTCGAGGTGGTGCATGGAGCGCGAGTTGGAATGTCGATATGGTCGAGGTTCACTTGGAGCCTGACATGTTTCCAAGCGTCGGGATGATGGCGGAAAGGGCGGACGCTGCTGACTGCTGCCAGGTCGCGGCGGTCGATAAACGAGATGATGTGGCCTATTACCTCGAAGGGCAGGTCGGCCAACCCCCTGGGTGTGACCTGGTGTGCTGATGTGCTTGCAGGAGCGTCTGTCTGTGTGACGGTGATACGATGGTCTTTTAGGCTCGAAGAGTGAGCGCGACGAAGAGACTGATTGCAGCGACGAATCGAGACCGAGGTGGAGCTGGCAGTATCGTAACGGTAATCGATGGGATCAGAGCTCGAAGACGGCGTCGGAGGCCCCGAGGTGCTGCCGTCTGACTCGTCGTTGTCGACAAGGTCAGGCGGGTGCTGCGGAGCCATACGTGGAGTTCCAAGTAAAGGCTCAGTATCCGTGGTTGAACCTTCCATTGGCATGTCTTGGTTGGCTCCGCAAGGTTGATCTCTTGTTGTGTCGCCATTTCTTCCTCCGTCGCCGCTTCCTCCGTGGCCGAAACAGTAACGCCAGGCATCCTGGGCTGCCTGGCGCAATTGAGCCAGAACTTTGGTGACAAAGGCTACGAGGCTGGACCAAGAGGTCGAGTGCGGGTCCATGTTGTAGGGTGTGGAGAATGCTGAGGCAAGAGATGTGGGATGGACGACGACGCTTTGAGCGATTGAGAGGATGCGCTTTATAGCTTTGCAGAGCAACGAGATTCAGTAGTCGCTCTGTTCGTCGTCGACTTGCAGAGTCGCACGCACAGACACGCGCACACGAGCTCACACCAACACTTGACACCGAGACGAGAGTGAAAGAGAAGAGGTGTGGGGCCGCACAGATCAGGAAAGTTCTCACGAGTGGAGAAGTGGAGCAGGCTGAACGTCTTGGACGCTCGGCTTGTACTGCAGACTGAGTCTGGTGCGGTGCCTGGCTGACTGGAGCACATTGAGCCTTGCAAAGCGAGCCTTGTCTGACGTGGGTCCAGATCCCATCGATTGCGCAGTGAGGTTCGAGCGGCGTGTGATCTGCGGTACGGGACGATAGATTGCAGTCTGCGATACCACACTGGGCAGTGTGTACTGATTCGTTCTTAGGGTCGCAGGCGGAGTCTTTTGAGGGTGCTGTACGATGCATCTTTTTCGTTTCGCATCCGAGCTTTTCTGGAGACGTGGACCCTCGAAAATCGGATTGTGGGCGAACAGCCGGTACAGTCTGGACCGATGGCGTACATGCATGCGACGTGCATGTGATGCCTCTCTTACAGTGCAACAGAGCTGTCATTGCAAAGTCATTCGCCCGCCGTCTGTGTCAGACAGTGAGCGCACTGTAGTACAGCCTCGACGTAGTGACGTGCTCTCTCGGCATGCTCGCAAGCTTCTATCATGCACGGGTTCGAGGATTAGAGGCACAAGAAGACCGGAAACCAAAGAAAAACGCCTTTCCAGCTTGACCGACAGCGCGTTGGCGGGTGTGACTTTAGGCTGCCAACGCCTTGGTCCGGCCACATGGCAAGAGCGAGCGGGCTGCGGACTGCAGCAAAGCCATCGTGCAGCTGTCGTGCAGCTGTCGTGCAGCTGCAAAATTGGATCATCACGCCTGGTCTCTACCGTTCTCACCATTCCCCGCATTCATGCCAAACGCCTGCGAATCACAAATTTCGATTGAATTTAAATTATTTATATTTCTGGGTTGCAGGGCTAGGACCGGACGGCGGACTGGCCTGTGAGCCTTGGGCTGGGCGACGGACTAACTAACTGGTCTGTGAACCAGCAGTGCCTGATTCCGCATTTCCCACGCGCTTCCCAGTCTGAGCGCATCAACGAGTCCAGCCGAACGTCCGAGCCCGTGGAGAGCCGGGGCGCAGTTCAATTGGCCTGTCCATCCGGCAATCGCAGATCACATCAGGTCGCATGAGTTTCATCCGTCGGTCTGTCTGCCGACATTCAGGGTCCGAGTAGGAAGAGGCCGGATCCTAGCAAAGGAGGCCGTTGCGCACCGCCGCTCCCGCGCCTCCCGCGCCAGGAACCTTGCGCGGCGAGGGGTGAATTGCCACAAGAGCAGGTCGTCTGGATCTACACCTGAGCCAGCCTGCGCTTTCAAGGCAAAGAAACATCGGCGCGCTGCTTGCTGGTGTGATGTTGGATACATGAGATGACACGGCGGCGGCAGCCCAGCCGCTGGACCAACGTCGAGATACCGTCCGTGCGCCGTTCTCGGAGACGTCCTCCGAGGTGGTGGCGGTGGCCGACGTTGGTCTGTCGATTCGCTTTGCGCCCAATCATGGCTTTCACGGCCAAGCGTTGCGCATAGGTCTCCAAGCTGATTTGCGCCATGCACGATCTGTTTGATGCAGCTGAGGCGGCGTGCGAATTGCTCCCCGTGGTGGCTGCAGCCCGCATCCATGTAGGCCGCCATCTTGGCAGTGCGCTGCTCGTCCAGATGTCCGTGTGGTTCGTAGCGCGTGCATTGGCCTCGCTGACGGCTCACTTCCCGCCGCCACGCCGATCGCTCGACGCACACACTCATGCGGCTGCCGAGGAACCGCAACAAGTGTCAGAAGGCATGGGCTCGGAAGCGCGACGCCTTGGCATTGCAACGCCGCGTCTGGACGCCGTACGGAATCGATTGCCAATGCCCGTGCCGGGGTCACTGAAAGCTGCCCTCGAAACCAGTGCGCCGATCGACGCTTGGAGAAATTCCAGTTGACCCGTCTCACCGCTGCTCTCAAACGGTTGTGCGTGTACAGTCATCGCACGCCTCGTTATGCATTATCCCGCGAGTCTGAGACATGACATTCTCCCAGGCGATGTCATCCTGAGACCTTGAGCATGCTTGGCTAGCTCGCCCGCTCCAATCTCGTTGTAATGCCGTCCCCCGATTGCTTGCGTTGACGAGGCCTAGATTTGCGGCCTGTGGTCGGAGCCAAAAGGGGAACGAGTCTGCGGCGCGCAAGCGGCGATCAACGCTCCACGATGCGCAACACAGCCCAGCGACCGGGCCAGGACGAGACGTCAAGGGCAGGAATGTCGCGCGCACTATCGTCCTTCTTGTATTGTTTGCTGTGTTTGTCCTTGCGCGCTTGGTAGTAGTTTCTTTGGCCAATCCATCGCATGCTGTGCTCATACGCCCACCAGTCTCGCTGCAAGCTTGCAATCCAGCCTTCGCTCCAGAGAGGATGCTTCATGGCCACGCTGTCTTCGAGCTCGTCAGCAGCCAGGTCGAGCGGCTCATTGCCCTTCGACTTTGGCGATGCGTCGTTTGAACCGATATGTACGAGAGTGATGCGTCCCGAAGCGACGAAACAGGTGGTGGTCCAATGCTTGCGAAGAAAGTCGGGCAAGACACCGCGGCGGACACGCACGGTGCCCGCGTAGCCGTGCAGTTCCTGTCATGCTATGACCTGCTCTGCGATGGCGTCGGTATCGCGTGCGAGGCGCTGGTGGCGCTCCGTTTGCGATGGAAGCTCCATCGAATACGTCCGGACTTGCGTGCGAAAGCAAGACTCGACCGACGAGGCGGCAGCGACAGCATAGGCTCTGATGTGTATGGCGAAGCTCCTGTATAAAAAACGCAAATAGCTAGAAGAGGTCCGGATGTGACAAGCAGCGACCGGCTTCGGCGGCGTTACACGACCAATGACGAGATGGTTGATTGAGCAGCGCGGAGGGAGGCGCACCGAATTCCGCGGGCCGCGGGCCGCCGGTCAAGCGGGATGCGCGTTGCCGTCGCAAGGCCAGATGCAAGCAGGCACCGAAATAGCTGACGGAAGCCGTATCGAGAGCGCAAGACGGTTTGGCGGCGATCTTTCATGTTCCTCAGTCGAGGATGTCCGCATTCGGAACGCCACTCCGAAGCGCATATTTGATCGCCCGATAACGAAACGCTTTGAACCGTTCTAACAACGACGCTCGGGCCGCACTCGTCCCTCCGCCGTCCCTCCAATTTTGAGTTCGTCGGTGCAACGCCATCCGGCGGGTTTGTCGATTCGTCTCTGGCCATCATCTTTCTCGTCTAGCGCAGTCGGTACCAGCAACACGGAGATCTGAATGCCGACGAGCCTTGCACGATTCATTGGACGGATGAGCAGCTGGTTGTTCTTTAGGACGTTGACGAATGCTCAAACGCATGTGAGGACATTATACCAGGTTCTAATCGCCGCAAAAACAGCCACATGGAGGACGCTGCCGCCACCGATCAGGCCTCAACTTCTCGGCAGCCTCCTTGTCGCCTGCATAGCGGATGGATTCACGAGAACAACATCAAAGAAGACATCCAACAAGAGGCCAAGACATTTCATCGTCCTTACGTGCTCGTCACCGAGACACCTTGCTCGTGCAAGCAAGGAAAAGCCGTTGTCATTGCCAGCGGCTGGAAGTTCGGACTCGACTTTTTCCTCCTCTTGACGTCATGGAAGGAAGTCTCGTCGGTTTCCGCCATCGCCAGTGCGTGCATGGAGACCAACATGGATCTCGAGCGTACAATCAACACCGTCAGGTCTCGCAAAATGAAGGTCTTGCACATCATCGCCTGATCTGCGCCTGATCTGCATCACACTGCACATCCGGCCCGGTCATCGCCAACAGCGCATCCGTCACGGAGCATGAAAAAACGATTGGATTATAAACGTCCGAAGCTCTTTGATGCAGCGGAGAGGCCAGCGATTTCGCAGCTAGGCCTTGTTCCGCAAGTGACTAAAGCGTTGGCCCCAGACGCCATTCTTGCCGGGCGAAAGAATGCCATTGGGATCAAGCGCGTCCTTGAGCGTCTCGTTGAGACGGCTGATGGCGCCACCGTTAAAGTTAAACGTTCCAGCCACCTGATCCTGGAAGGCAAGATGGGTGCGGTACTCGCTCCAGCCCTTGTCGGCGGCAGCCTGGATGAGGTCTTGCATCAAGGTGCGCATGCGATCGCGCTGCTCCTTGCTGTGGCGATCGTAGACGATGCAGCAGATGTTGTGTAGCTCGCGCAGGCCGATCACCTGGGTGCAGATGGGGTCGAAGCCGTACTGACGGCACTTTTCCTCGAGCAGCTGCCATTGCCCCATAGCCGCGTCGCCGGTGACGTTGGAGATGGGCGAGAAGAAGCAGTGGGCGCCGTTATCAAGCCAGCTGATCCAGTCGAGCTCGAGCAAATTGGGGATGCCGGCCAGCGTCTTGGCACGTGAGTGCAAGATCGACGAAGGACCGACATCTTCCTCAAAGTAGTGCTTGGAGCCCTTGATCTGCGACAGCGATCCCCAAATGACGCTCCACAGCATGTCTTGCATGGGTGGCGGGCCGTAGAGCGCTCCGTAAAAGCCCCAGTAGCCAAGATCGAGCTGTTCCGCAATCTCGTAGACCTTTTCGTCGGGCAGAGCGCCTTCGCTGAGCTGGCCACCTTCCCAGTCCTTGCGCTGTCGAAGGCATGCAGCGTCGAGCAGGACGTGGCGAATGGTCGGGGCGTTCTGGATGATCATACGGTTGCGCAGGGGTCGGATGCGCTCGACCAGCTCGTGCAAATCCTCTTTGCGAGGCACGGTGATCAGAAAAGGCTTGAAGCCACCCGGGTTGAGCAGAAGCCAGAATCCAGCCTTGGTGATGATGCCGAGACTGGACTGCGTAAAGATGCCATCGTGATAGGGACCGAAGCCGTACGGGAATGTCTGCCAGGTATCGCTGCCTTCCATGGCGCCATTTCCGGTGCGGACAATGTCACCGTTGGGCAGCACGACCTCCATGCCGCAGTGGAACATAAAGTGGTCTCCATAGGGGGTGTAGCCGGCGCCTCGTTCGGCCATGTTGCCAACGACGCTTCCCCATCCAATGTCGGGGCAGTCGACCCACAACTGCGAGTTGCGCCTCTGGATCTCCTCGTAGAGGTCAAAGTAGGAGACGCCCGGCTCGAGCAAGCAGAAGGCGGAGTCTTCGTCGATCTGAAGCACCTTGTTCATCCTCTTGAGGTCGAGGATCTCAGTTCCGCGCAGTCGTACAGCGAAGCCGCCGTATCCGAGGTTACGACCCATGGAGACGGCGTGGAGCGGCTGCCTGTACTTGTTGGCCAGCTTGACGATGCTGGCCACCTCCTCTACGGAGGCAGACTGGATGTGGGCGCTGGCCATGAAGCGTTCCGCCTCGTCGATCTTGAAGAAATCTTCAAAGTGAGGCAGGCTGAGGTAGTCCGAGTGGCCGTCCGGCTCGGGCTTGCCGGTAGTGTTGACGAAGCAGTTTTTCGCCGACGATCTTCTTGCCCTCTGCAACAAAGTTCTCGAATTGCTCTGGAGTCACATCTTCGACGAGCACGGACTGTGGCTTGGATCCGGACTTGGTGTTCTCATCGAGTGGCTGTATGTAGGCCTTGAAGCCCTTTCGATAGGCTGACTGGTTTGAGCCCTGACCGGCGACCGTGGCGGCGAGCCTGTTCGAGGTGCTGCCGTCGCCTGACAGTACGATGCTGTCTCCGCCGTCGGGGGCCATGCTGCAAGGCTGTAGAAGATGAAGCTTAGAGGTGAAGGTACAATTGGGCACGTCAATGCTAGTGTCGGCCGAGGAAAGCAGGAATGCTACAAGCGTCACCTTTAGAATAAATAAATTAGAGTAGTTCACCAGCTGCGCTCGGACCCACCTGCCACCTCGGCTAAGGTTCTCGGCCAAGGAGGTTTAGCCGATAGAGCGGGAACCTGTTTTCTGGGACACGCAACAGGGTCCCGATGCGGTGGCGCACGCTCGTTCTTGCGGAGCCCCGCACGGCTGACGCGGGGAAATCTTCGAAGGCGGAAAAGCCAATCCGAAGCTTCGACAGTCAAGGGTCCTCGACGTGCTTCTGCAGATTCGCGCGCCGTTGGGGGAGGTCACGTTGGCACATCTCGCTGCTCCGCCACATCTCTATCGCAGGTGTCCTGGCAGCTCGCACAAGGTGGACACTTCGATGGCAGCTTACTTGCAAGGCCGCTGTTCGACGCAGTTTAGGGTCGTGTATCGCCGCTGAGCTGGCCACCGCAAACCTCGACGGAAAGCATGCATGTGGAGGCATTGCTAAGGAATGAGCTCTGATCGGTCGAACAAAGCCGGATGATGCGCAACGTTGGAGCAAGGGTGCGGACATGGCCAAGACCTCGTACATGGCCAAGACTTCGTACATTGAGGATGCTGCAAGGGCATGTTGCTACTGCATCTCAAAATTGGCGGCCTGGTGTCTCCGAGCATAACCCCGAGCCGCACTTAGCAGATTGAAGTGCAGACGAACGGCATGAGAAGCACACCCTGTCCAGCTTGAGCCGCGATAGCAAAGGGCGACGCACCGCTTGGTAACCACCAGCGCCAAGATTGAGTGCAAGAAGCTGTACAAATGCGGCAGTCAACACAGCAAGGATGGCACTGCCGACAGCGGACATTGATCATCACTTGTGCCTGGACGTCGTCTCGCACGGATAGCGACAGCACCGGATGGAAATGGCGGCATGGCCAGCGTCTGTCGCCTTAAGCATGAGCGTCTATGGGCTCACACTGTTAGGGGGCAGGACAACGAGGAATCGATGACAGGCAACGAAGACATGGTCTCGTGCGAAAGCTGGACCCTGCGAAGGAAGTCACGGAGACAAAGCTGCTTCGTGAAACAGAAGAACAGGGTTGGCGTGCAGGCTCGGGAATGCCAGGCCAGCGAATGTGTTGGTCGGTAGCGCAAAGCTGCGCGGGCTGAGAGGCGAAGGGGCAAAAGTCCACGGCCTCTGACACCTCACCTCGGTTAAGGGTCCAAGGGCCAAGTTGGTGCGAGCCGCCACCACAGCCTTTGATCATCTTTGGCGAGGCGTGCTAAGCGGGGTCGAGGTGTGGAGACGGGGCCCGACTGGCAGGATACCCCGCAATCTGGCGTTCTGGGACAGGACCCTGCCATCTTGGCTTCTCCGGGGCCCGGAGCGGAGGCCAGGTCCCTTTACGGTACAACAGATGCCTGGTCTGCATGAGCGCGTGGAACCAACGGTTGCTGCGAGCCACCTCCCGCGCCTGGTCACTTCGTGCCGAGCGTCTCGTGCACGATCCACGTCGAACAAGATGACAAATGCCTTGCTGATGATAGCGCGCGCGTCGTTGCTGTCTGCGTTTGCCGACGGAGCCAGCACACCAGTTGCCGCCATCGTATAGCTTCCCTTCAGCAGAAACAGAGTATGGAACTGCAAAGAGAAATGGATATAAAGCGGCAGCTGTTGGCCGAAAGCGAGCATTGCGATCCTCGCGAACAAAGCTCCGCTTGGTCAAGCCTCCATCTTGAACCTCTCCTTCTCCCTGTCTTCGTGCCCTCTGCTTTTGTATATCCACGATGGCCCCCACAGCCACTCAGGAGCCCGTTCCTGTACCCGTCACCTCCAAGGCGGCGCCCAGTCATGGCTATGTGCATCCTACTGACATCCTGCCGTCCGGCTGGCCTACGGCCACCGACCTGTCCGGTGGTGCTCAGCCTCGTCGCTTTGAAGGCACCATCTTCGACGTGATGACGCGCGGTACCATCCCCAAGGAGCTCCACGGCACATTCTACCGCATCATGCCCGACTACGCGCAGCCTCCCACCTACTACAAGGGCGGCGAGCTCAATGCACCCATCGACGGTGACGGTACCGTAGCCGCCTTCCGCTTCAAGGATGGCAAGGTCGACTACAGGCAGCGATTCGTCGAGACGGATCGCTTCAAGGTCGAGCGTAGGGCGAGGAAGAGCATGTACGGTCTCTACCGCAACCCCTACACGCATCACCCTTGCGTCCGACAGACCGTCGAATCCACTGCCAACACCAATGTCGTCATGCACGCCGGACGATTCCTCGCCATGAAGGAGAACGGCAACGCTTACGAGATGGACCCTCACACCCTCAAGACGCTCGGCTACAACCCGTTCAACCTCCCCTCCAAGACCATGACCGCCCATCCCAAGCAGTGCTCCGTCACGGGAAACCTGGTCGGCTTTGGTTACGAAGCCAAGGGTCTGGCCACCAAGGATGTCTACTACTTTGAGGTGGACCCTTCTGGCAAGGTGGTCAGGGACCTGTGGCTCGAGGCGCCCTGGTGTGCCTTCATCCACGATTGTGCGCTCACGCCCAACTACCTCGTGCTCATGCTCTGGCCCTTCGAGGCCGACCTGGAGAGGATGAAGGCAGGCGGCCACCACTGGGCGTACGACTACACCAAGCCCATCACCTGGATCACCATCCCTCGTGGTGCCAAGAGCAAGGACGAGGTCAAGTACTGGCACTGGAAGAACGGCATGCCCATCCACACCGCCTCGGGCTTCGAGGACGAGCAGGGCCGCATCATCATCGACTCGTCACTCGTACACGGCAACGCCTTCCCCTTCTTCCCGCCCGACTCGGACGAGCAGAAGAAGAAGCAAGAGGCCGACGGCACGCCCAAGGCGCAGTTTGTGCGCTGGACCATCGACCCGCGCAAGGACAACAACGAGCAGCTGCCGGACCCCGAGGTGATCCTCGACACTCCCTCCGAGTTCCCGCAGATCGACAACAGGTTCATGGGTGTCGAGTACTCGAGCGCCTTCATCAACGTCTTCGTTCCTGACCGCAGCGACGGCAACAAGAACGTTTTCCAGGGCCTCAACGGCCTGGCCCACTACAAGCGCAAGGAGGGCACCACCGAGTGGTACTATGCAGGCGACAACTGCCTGATCCAGGAGCCGGTATTCAGCCCTCGATCCAAGGATGCACCCGAAGGCGATGGCTTTGTCCTCGCCATCGTTGACAGGCTTGACCTGAACCGTAGCGAGGTGGTCGTCATCGACACGCGCGACTTCACCAAGGCCGTGGCGGCAGTGCAGCTGCCCTTCGCCATCAGGTCTGGCATTCATGGCCAGTGGATCCCCGGTGAGGTCACACCCGATTTCGAGACCAAGGGTCTCGTTGACTTGCCCAGGGAGGAGCACTGGGCGCCCGCTTCGCAGAGCCCGTACGACCCCAACGCTTGATGCAGCGAGAGTTGCAATTACCCAGCTCTCCTGTCTGTACTGTATCTCGTTCTCGTTAAGCTTCACCACGTACCAGAATAGGACTGTATACCAAATGATAACGAACATGCTTTGTTGCTTGGTAGCGCGGTCGATTGAAGACAGAGTATGAGCGGGTATGATTGTCGACTGAAGGTGGTGTTGTTGATCGAAAGCTGAAGAGCTGGGAACGCTAGTCGATGATGATGGCCTCGTGCTCCGATGAGCCGCCGACCAGAGCTCGCTTGCTCGACTGCTGGCCATTTTTGGTGTCGATTTGAGACCCGTTCGTGCGAGGCTTGGCACCTGGACTGTGATTCCGAACGGCACCATTCACCGATGGTTTTGCGGCGCTTCTGCTCTTCTTTGGGCGTGCGTCCTTTGAGCTTGACTCGGGCTCGAGATCTGCTTGGCCGCCTGATCGCTTCCCAGTCGTCTGAGCGCCAGGTGTTTGGCTGGCCGCGTTGGCGTTCGGCGGCAGAACTTGCACGGGTGGTAGAAGGTCAAGCTTGGATGGAGACGACACGCTCTCGAGAGGATGGCGGAGGAACCGGGTCGCTTTGGGCCCGATTTCGAGATAGACATTGACTGTGTATGCGGTGGCTTGGTAGCTCTGCTCGATGAGCTGCGAAAGAATGCCATGGACGATCAAGCGATCCACCATGTCGCGATGAAGAGTGATCTTGCCGCCTGCGACGGCTGTCACATCGACGACGCCTGCTTTCGTCGACTTTGAGGCGCTGACTTTGGAGGATCCAGCTCTGGCATCGGAGAGATTCGGATCGAGGTTGAACTTTCCTCCGCCGAGACCTCGAGCGACGTCAGAGAGGCTGGTGAGGGTGATCCTGCCTCCTTGCCTGCACATCTCTGCGAGGATGGCGAGGAGCTGGTACATTTGCATGCGTGCATCCATGACAAGGTCTTGACGGTGTTCTCTGCAGTTGTCGCAGATGGCACAGCTGCGTTGGCGCTGAGCATCGCCCTTTTCAAACATGTCTGAAAAGTAGTCTGCAAAGAGCTGTCTTCGGCATCGTGCCGACTGGGCATACTCGAGCATTGCCGATAGCTTCTCTTGACCGGTGGACTCACTGGCGACGAGGGAGCTCATTCGGATCGCATCCTGCGGACGATAAAAGAGAAGGCAGTCGGAAGTCTTGCCGTCTCGACCTGCACGGCCTGTTTCTTGGTAGTAGGCGTCGAGCGACTTGGAGATGCAAGCGTGAATGACGAAGCGTACGTCTGGCTTGTCGATGCCCATGCCAAAGGCAATGGTGGCGCAGACGACCTGGATGCGACCTGTGCGCCAGTCGGTGTGAATACGCTGCTTGCTGGCGTCGTCGAGGCCGGCGTGGTAGGTGCCGGTGGCGATTCTGCGACTGCTGAGTTCCATCAAGGCTTTGGCCATTGCCTCGGTGTCGGACTGGGAGAGGCAGTAGACGATACCGCAGTGGCCGGCATGGTGGGCGAGAATGTAGTCGACGATAGCCTGTGATGCAGCCTGAGCCTGCTGGGGACGCTGGACGACGCGATAGAGGAGGTTGGGCCGGAAGAGGGGAGCGGTGAAGTAGATTGTACGCATGGGAGCGGCGTTGTCAGGCTGTGTGATGGGGGGCAAGTCGATGATCTCGATGATCTCCTTGAGAACCTTGGGCCCGCAGGTTGCGGTGAGGCACATGACGGGCACCTTTGGAAACAGACGTCGAAGCAGGGAGAGCTTGGCATAGTCTGGCCTGTAGTCGTGGCCCATCTGGGAACAGCAGTGTGCTTCGTCGATGACGATTCGCGAGAGCCTGCCTTGTTCGTAGGCATTCTGCAGAGCCGAAAGACAGGTTTTGGACTTGGCGATGCGCTCCGGCGTGACGTAGAGAAGCTTGATGCCGTCGGTGCGATGGTCTTCCAGAGGCTCTGAACTCGCAGACGCGTTGAAGTTGGCGCGTTTCGACGGGCCAGCTAGGGCGGTGCCATGCCTGATCTTCTTGAGGATGGCGGTGGAGTCTTCGCGGGATGTGCTTCCGCACAAGAGTTCGGACTCGATGCCGACTTCTTTGAGGTGAAGGACCTGATCGGTCATGAGCGAGATGAGTGGGGAGACGACGAGGGTGACGCCGGGGTTGAGGATGGCGGGAAGCTGGTAGCAGAGAGATTTGCCGCCGCCTGTTGGCATGACTACTACGGCGTGGCGTGCGTCCATGGCGGCGTTGATGACGGCTTCTTGGCAGAAGCGGAAGGAAGGGATGCCAAAGACGGATCTGGCAGTCGCTCGAATGGTCGATGACCACTTTGAAGAGGGAGAGGTGTAATCGTGGCCGAGCTTGCGCGAAGCCTGTGTGCCATCTTGCTTGGCCGACTCAAGGTAATCGGCATGCACCTTGCGGCGCTCGCGGAGGAGCGATTGCTTAAGTTGCTGAAGGTCAGCAATCTGACCACTGACCGACTCTATCTCCGCATCAAGTTCTTCGAGTTTGGTGACGACCGCTTCGTCGTAGATGATGTCGGCGTCGTTGCCTGCGTGTTGTTTTGCCGTGCTCGAGCCCGCAACCCCCGAGGCCTCGTCAAGGACTTGAAAGTCGCCGTCGCTATCCACATCCGCGCTCATGGTCTCGACTCAAGTGGAAGAAGGCTGTGTGGGAGCGCTGAATGCGATGCGGGCATGGTGGCCTGAAGGCGCGATCGATGGCTCGAGTCTTGAATGCAATCGTCAAGGAGCTTGAACTTGGCTGAAGGCAGGGTCCAAGGTGGAGGCGACTTCCGTGCCAAAGCTGAGTCCAACACACTGCTTTCGCGCTGAGAAAGGAGAAAAAGCGAACGCGAAAAGCGTGGCTAAAAATCGCCCAAAAATCGCAGAATCCTCGGGCGTCGGAAGAGGCCGATTGGACCCTGTGGAGTTGGAGCTGGTCGACTGGGGCTCGGCATGCTTCCGAGACGAAGCTGCCTTGCCATCCATCTTCCCTCACCATCACATCATCGCCGCGCCGCCCTCTGTTTCGTCACAGTGGCGTGAGAACGGTCCCATCATGTCTTCGCCACAGCAGCAGCAGCTGCCTCCAGAGCGCTCGATCTTCGGCGTGGACCCGCTCGATGACTTTGCGACCATGGTGGGAGACTGGATCTACGCCAACTCTCAAGGCCGCTCCAACGTCGAGGTGAGTATGTCAGATCGGTGCAGCCGTGCCATCACAGCTGGGATTCCTGACTCGAGACGCCATCGCTTGCCTCCGCCTTCGTATCGCCATCACAGATCGAGGGCAAAATCGGTCAAATCATAGACCAGGAAACGGGCGAGAGGATACAATTGCCCGTGCGCAACGAAACGGTCGTCGATCTGAGCCGCACTCGTTTCGACAGCCGAATGACCATCGTAAGTCGATACCGTCCTCGGAAAGTCGATCCCGTGCAGTCACTCATGCCATTCTACTCTTCTTCTTCCGCGCCTGTGCAGTCGCAGCACGCCCAGTACAACCGCATCCTCAACTCGCTCGTGTCGCGTTCGGGCGAGAGCTCGTATACGGGCGCCAAAGTGAGCTATCAGCGAAGAAAGGAGGTCGACTACTTTCATCCGGCGCCAGGCGGCAAGGTGCGCGTCACCCGGGACGCCGAAACACTCGTCATCAAACCGGATGGCATCATCCAGAAGCAGAGGATCGCCGACCTCAACATCCACTGCCCGAATCGACTGTTCGACTATCGCATCAGCATCAACACCGAGGCACCCGGTAAGTGAAGACGAATCGGCCACTTGCATCTCGTAGCGCTTTGGGCTGATCTCATACCTGTCATGCACAGCCGACAAGCCGACGTCCGAGCACGTCTCGATCCGCGAAAAGAACCGCCTCTCGTACACGCATCAGAACTTCATCGTCGATCTCACGCAGGTCACCGTGGCGGAGAAGGTGGGTTGGTGGCTTCATTCTCATCTCTTTTGGTATTGCCTCTGACCTTTGTCCGCTTTGTCGTACTTCGACGCACAACAGCCGCAAGAGCCGATCCACGAGCTCGAGATCGAGATTCGCGACGTGGCTCAGCTGATGCAAGCCGCATCGCAGGCCAAGGCCAAGGTCAACTCGAACGGGTCGGCGGCGAGCGCACAAGAGTGGACGCCGTTCGACGACCAAGTGCTCATCTTCCTCAACAACATCCGCATGCTCATCAGGTAAGTGGGTCCAGGCGTCGTGGTGCTCTTCTCCCTGTGCTGGTAACAGCAGCAACTGACTCTGCCATCACATGATTCCGCCGCCTGCTCCGATCTCGAATAGAAACGGCTCGGCGCCGGACGAGCGACGCTGATGCGCGGATCAGTTGGCAAGCATGCCAGAGCAAACATGCAACGATCGCAGCTCGAGATCGTGTAGATAATGTTACAGATTACAAAGATCAGCGGTACTGCCTTTATAGACGCCGAGGCCCCGATGCGCCATCCTGGACATCGAGCGTGTCGCGATGTCGAGACGCTCGGCGGCGCGCCTGTATCTCTGCTTGGCTGCCGAGAGACTGGGGATTGCGAAAGAGATTGTAAGGGTCTAGCTGCATCTTGAGGTTCTCGAGACGATGGATGGACGAGCCGTAGTAGAGGTGCTTCCACTCGTGCTCTTCGAGTTCGGCGTCGACATAGCACGAGTAGCCTCCTCTGCCGATGCGCGAGTCATCAATGGCGCGATAAACGCGCGTAGCAAGCTGGCGGGCATATTCGTGACCCGAGTGCGCGAGCTCCAGGAAGCTGGCGGTTCCGACGGCGATCTGAATGAGCCAGAGACCGTCGCGATGCGGGAAGCTGCTCAGCTCTTTCGCCCTGGGTTGGGCGTGAGCGGGGCGACCGCCACCAAAGAGCTCAAAGTAGATGTTCCACGCCCAGAAGGTGGTCTTGCCGTCGGCTAACTGAGCTTGTTGACCCGCGGTGAGACTGGTGTCCCAGATGTATTGGAAGAGCTGCCGAAGAGCTGCTGGATCAAAGCCTCGATCGCGCTCGAGCGTCACGGCCGACTTGGTGACAAAGTTGTTGTGCTGCTTGTGGATGGCTTCGGTGTCGAGCTTGTGCTCGCCCTTGCCAAAGTCGTCCCAGTCCTGCATGAGTTCGAGATAGGTGAGCAGCTTGACCTTTTGTAAGTCGGGCCCGGGAGCCGAATGAGATGCGAGCAGCTGACGTAGCCTTGCTTCCAACGCAGACCATTGGTGTGCGGGGCCGAGGTAGATGCCTTTGACCTCGATGGTGGTTGGGCGTTGGTGCGAGGGCTGTGGATCGCTCCTAGAGGGTTTGCGAAGCTGTACGTGGAGGCCGAGGTCGTTGGAGAGGTTGGGCTCGAGAGCTAGAGCCTGAACAGCAGTCATCACGGAAAGCGCGTTGTCGACGGAGTCGAGCGAAGGAGTCCATCTGAACTCGAACGAGACGACGGGAGGGGAGGCGTCATGGGACCGGAAGACAAAACGGGTGACGATGCCAAAGAACGAGCCGCTGCCTCGAAGAGCCCAGAGAATGTCGGTGTTCTGGTGCTCCGAGGCGGTGACGAGTGAGCCGTTCGCAAGCACGAGATCGGCCTCGAGGATGTTGTCGGTGGTGAGACCCCACTTGCGGGACATGGGACCGAAGCCGCCGCAGAGGCTGAGACCTCCGACGCCGACGGCAGCGCATGTGCCTGTGGACATGGCGCGGTGCGCGTCATGCTGGGACCAGAGGCCCTTTACGACGTCGCCGAGACGTGCGCCCGGACCGACTTCGACGAGCGCTTTGTCGGGATGGGAGGTGACGTTGCTGAGGTTTGCGAGGTCGACAATGACGGAGCCGTCCATGCCGCCGCTTCCGTAAGCGGCAAAGGAGTGGCCTCCGCTGCGTGCGGCTATGGGAGCATCGGTGAATTCGGAAGCGCAGAGGACGGCCTGCTGTACTTGGGAGGCGGAGTGCGGATAGGCGATGAGGGTGGGATTGTAGTGAAACACGACGTTGTCCGAGGCCGAGGCCTGAAAGTAGAGGTCAGGCGAGCTGATGTCGGCTGCGACGATGTCGATGCCGGCATTGGCGAGGCAGGCCTGCAGACGTGTTTTGGGAGCCGTGCGCGGTATCGCATCACGCGCATCGATCTGAGACGGCCAAAGGATGAGCAGCGAGGCTGCGAGGCCAGCCAGACGCCAGCGCATGGCTAGAGGGGAAGGTCGTTGAGATGCGCAGCCTTGAAGAGGAGGTGACGTGAGTGGCCACGTATGAAAGAGTCAAGGCATGCTCGAAGGCGCAAGTGGGATGGCGCTTCGATGGTGGATGGTCGGAGAGATAGAGATGCGCCTAAGACAGGATGCTGTTGAGATGAAGAATAGCAAGCATGATGGCGACGAGGCGGTGGCAGGCCAGCCTGCAGGTAGGTGAATGCGAGCAGTGGCTCAGATGAAGGCGAAGGCGAAGGCGAAGGAGGCCCTCGCGGCAGCTCCTTGCAGAAAAGGGCATTGCACCAAGCGGCGGAGTCTGGAAATCAAAGCTTGGGCCGACAGCCGCGCCAGGGTCCCTCCCTTCCTTGCCAAATGCACGCCAGCAAAAGAAGAGCCGGGGATGCCGACGTGAGGCATGCAGGGTTGTCACACGCCTCCAGCGGCCACAGTCGTCGTTGGCAGCCGCCTTTTTTTGGGCGATTCGCAATCTCACATTTTCAAACCCGGCGCATGCGTGCCAGATCGTCGGGAAGCGCCGAGACCCTCGCTTTGAGGTGCGCGTCGAGGCTGCAGCGCGTCGACCTTCCGCACGTTTTTTAGGCAGAGCCTCCACTCCGAGCTCCACTCCGAGCCGGGGCTTCATTAGAAATGCACGGCAGTTCATACGCTGCTCTTCCATCCCACTGTCACATCGTCACATCGTCACGTCGTCACATCGTCACATCACTCATCCGTTCGGCTCGTCCGCTGTCGGCCCGATCCCGCCATCAAGCACCTCGCCATGGCTGACTGCGCTCGGCTCTCCTCATTCTAAGCGTGCCTCTGCGCAGTCCGCTCGAAACCGGAGCAGCTTTGCGTTTCCATCATGTCGACGACGCTTTGGCCGCCGCTTTCCAGCCTGCCGAGCCTCGGCTGGAACCGACATCCTTCCGTCGAGCTCACAGTGATTTCAGCGATATTCAACGCCTCGCATCACAGTCCAGCATCGGCACTTTCGATATCTACCGCTTCGGTTGCTTCCATCGCTGCTTCATCAGACTCGGGAGCGCAACGACTGATCCTCTGCGCCCACGCTGCTCCGCTATGCATCGTACTAGTCGCCACTTTAGCTGCAGTGCTCCGCCGTCTCACGCGATCATCCTCTCGAGCAAGAGCACCAGGCCGCAAGAGCACACCATACGTCGCTTCCCTCCTCGCGTACTTCGCTCCCTTCGTCACCGATCAGGACGTCCGCCAGCATCGTCTCGAGCAACACAATCACAGCCCTACATCTCCAGCATCTCACCTGCAAGATAGCGCAAGCTCGTCTCAGGGCTTCTACCAGCAGCGCAGACGGCTCAATCGTCTCCTCGTCGTCAGCCTCGTTCAGCTGGCCCTCACTTCGTCCGTCACCGGATACACACTCATCGCAGACAATGCACACGCCGCCTTTCCGTCCCTTTCCCAATCTCTCGCATGGGCACTCGTCTCCCTTCGACTCTTTCTACGACCTCCTCAAACCCCCTCATTGATCCTCGCAGCTCTCCTTCTCTCTCTCACGGTCTCGTCCATCGTCCACCTCTTTTCCTTCGTCCCATGGCTCGCAGCACATGCGCATTTCACCAGCTCGGCAATGGCTCCGGTGCTCCTCTCCGCTACAAATGTCGCCATCAGCATCTATTCGACCTCCCTTCTCCTGCGTATGCCCATCGCTCCCGGTGGCTACGAGGCAGTCGTCGATCTCGACGAGCAATTGCGGCACCATCCCGACGCCGTGGACAAGCTCCATCCCACGCACCAAGATCTCGCTTCCACATACCAACGCTGCCCTACCTCGCCCGAAGACTACTGCACCCTCTACGAGAACCTCTCCTACTCCTGGATGGCTCCCATCCAGAGCCTCGCTCTCCGCCGCTCCCTCGTACCTACCGACGTGTGGCGTCTTCGCTCCATCAACGACACACGCCTTCTCTTCCGCAAATTCAAAGCCCTCCTCCCGCCTTCGCCACAAGATCCACCCGCCCACCGCACCCGGCTCCTCTCCCGCATCCTACGTGCCAATGCAAACGACATCGCCCTCGACGCATGCTTCAAGCTCATCAGCGTCAGCTTCGCCTACCTCGGCACTTACATCCTCAAAAGCATCCTCGACCAGATCCAGCTCGCCTCTGCCAACCCTCCTGCCGATCGAGCCGACCAAGATCTGCAGTGGTCGCCACGCCAGAAGGCTTTCGTGTACGCTTTCATCGGCCTCTGCCTCACCGTCGTGCGCTTCCTTGCAGAGCTGCAGAACTTTCACCACGCACGTCAAGTCGGCCTCCGTCTTCGCTCCACCCTCGTCGTCTCCCTCTTCGAAAAGGCGCTCAAGAGACGCGACCTCAGCGGACAGACAAAATTCACGCCATCACGACCTCGGGCACCAGAACCTACAGAAGCGCAAGCCGATCAACTTCTCGAGGCGGTGGCCATCGCAGAAGCATCTGCGTCGGATACAGATCAAGCTGCAGCTTCCATCGCATCCGACGAACGCGAACATGACAGGCTGCATCCCGTCCACGCACACGCATCGGTCTTGCGCAACAAACCGTCCCGCGACACAGCATCAGGCAAGCTCAGCCTCAAACAGGTCTCGTTCGGCTCCATCCGATCGCGCGTCAGCCAATACGCCGCGTACCGAAAGAGCAGACATGCTGAAGCACTCAAAAAGCAGGAGGAAGAGCAAGGCGCAGATGTAGGAAAGATCGTCAATATGATGGCCTCCGACGTCAACATCCTCTTGCGCATGGGCTGCGACTTGCATCAGCTCTACGGCGCCCCTCTCGAGGTCACCATCGCAGCCGTCTTTCTCTACAAGCTCATGGGCTGGAGTGCGCTCGTCGGTTTCTCCATCCTCGTCGCTGCCATCCCCGTCAACTACGTCTGGGGCGAAGTCGCCGTCAAGAAGCAAAGAGAGTACAGCAGCGCCCGCGATCAACGCATGAGCCTCATGACCGAGCTCGTCGAGGCCATGCGATTCGTCAAGATTCAGGGCGTCGAATCGCAGTGGGAGCAGCGCGTCGCCGCCGCTCGCCGCAACGAGATCCGCAAACTCATCTGGTCTCGCTTCATGACCTTCCTCTTCGAGCTCTTGTGGACCGTCATCCCCGTGCTCGTCACGCTCGTCAGCTTCTTCTTCTATGTCAAAGTCGCCAAGGAGGAGCTCACCGTCTCGACCGCATTCACCGCCATCGCCCTCTTCACCATGATCCGTCCTCCCCTCAATGCTATCCCCGGCTTCCTGATGGGCGGTCTCATCGCCATGGTCAGCGTACAACGCCTCGAGTCCTTCCTCAACGAGCAGGAAGTCGAAGAGGCCATCAGCCAACTCTCCCGACAGCGTCCAACCACCCAAACCCATCCGCAGGCATACCGGGACGAGGAGAATGCAGAGACCCCAGACCATGACTCCAACACCCAGCTGGCCATCAAAAATGTCACCTTTCGTTGGCATGCCAAGCAAAGCACCGCTTCGGCAGTCGTGTCTCCTGATGATCGTGAACAAATGACCAGCCAAACGGACTACTCGGATTTTCGCCTTCGCGATATTAGCGTCGATTTCCCTGCCGGTCGCTTAAGCCTCATCATCGGGCCCACCGGATCCGGCAAAAGTAGCATGTTGGCAGCCATTCTCGGAGAAATGCTCGAATCCCAGGACGGCCAAGTCATCCGCAACAAATTTGACCACAGCGGTGCAAGTCGCTTCAGCTATGCAAGCCAACTACCCTGGCTCGAGAATGGCAAGTCGGTCAGGGACAACATCCTCTTCGGCACGCCACTCGATGCTGCCAGGTACCAGACTTGCATTCACGCCTGTGCGCTCCAGGATGATCTCGACTCCATGGACGACGGCGATCTTACCCAGATCGGTTCGCATACCGTATCCGGCGGCCAGAAAGCGCGCATCTCGTTGGCCCGCGCGCTCTACGCACGCTCCGACACTGTGCTCCTCGACGATGTTCTCTCTGCCGTAGATACCCGTGTGCAGCGCCACCTCGTGCGTCATGCGCTCCTCGGGCCACTAGCCCACGGTAGGAGGCTCATCTTGGTCACCCATCACGTCGATCTGCTCATCGACAGTGCAGCTCTGGTTGTCTGCTTGCGCGATGGCGAGATCGTCCATCAAGGCTCGCCAGCCGAATCGAAAGCGGCTGGCTTGGTTACGCTCTCCGCTAGCCGCTCCAGCCCGCAGCAAAACTCCGACACTGGGACTGATGGCGATGCGGAGCGCGAATCCTCGCACCCCATGTCTAGGCCTGCGAGCGCGTCGAGTCAGCAAGGAAGCAACTCTGGAGACGTTCCTTCAGGCAAGCTAGCAACGCCAGAAAGGCCGGTCGAGCTAGCCTCTGGAGCTCGCACTCCGCGTCTTTTGCATCAGGAGGAGAAGCGCAGAGAAGGAGCGGTGAGCTGGGTGTTCTACCGCACTTATCTCCGTGCCTCGTCGCTCCGCATCTGGGCCCTGCTTCTCATCCTGCTTCTCTTGCTGCGTCTGTCCGAGTCGTTCGGTCAGTACTGGCTCAAGATTTGGGGCGAAGCATACAGCAAGGCCAGCCTCCAAACTGCTGCGGTAGCACAGATTTCCGGCTTGCAAGTGTCGTTCCCTCCAGCACAAGGACACGCGAGCTTCTATCTCACCGTGTACGGACTCAGCGGTCTAGCAGTGATCGTCTTTAACAGCTCGAGGGCCGTCTGCTTTTACGTCGCTTCCATCCGCGCATCGCAGAATCTCTTCTCGAAGCTGCTCACCAACGTCATCAAGGCGCCCCTCAGGTGGTTCGACATCACACCAGCCGGCCGCATCATGAATCGATTCGGCACCGACATGGACTGCATCGACAACATTTTGCCCCAGTCGATCATGAATCTCGGCAACAATGCCTTCTCCATCGCGGCCTATTTCCTTATCTGCGTCGCCATCGTACCGGCCTTCTTGCTCCCGTCACTCGTCTTGGTCCTTGTTGGACCTTGGCTTGCGGGCGGCTTCCTGGCCTGCACTCGTGACATGCAAAGGATCGAAGCGACGTCGACATCACCCATCTACGGCCACTTTCAGCAAGCGCTCTCTGGAATCGCGACCATCCGGGCCTTCGGTGCCGAGCCGCGTCTTCTCGAATCGATGCTGGATGCCGTCGACCTCTACCAGTCGCTGTGGTGGGCCGTGTGTACGATGGAAGTATGGCTCAGTTTCCGTGCACAGATCCTAGGCGGCGTCTCGGTCTTCGTCGTCACGCTCCTCGCTCTCTTTGGTGCAGTCTCGCCCGGGTCAGCCGGTCTTGCGCTCTCGTCGGCTCAGCTTTTGTGCCAGCTCGCCTACTACCTCGTAAACGACTTCAAGAACCTCGCCAACAGCTTCAACTCCCTGGAACGAGTCGCTGAGTACCAACAGATGCCGCGCGAGGAAAACGAGAAGGTCGTGGCTCGCTACACACCAAATCTGCCGCCAGCAGGCTGGCCATCGGCCCAAGGACGCATTGTCTTTGACAACGTCCGCTTGCGGTACGCCGAAGAGCTGCCAGAAGTCCTGCAAGGGGTAAGCTTTGAAGTCAACCCTGGCGAAAAGGTCGGCATCATCGGTCGCACGGGGAGTGGCAAGAGCAGCCTGGCTGCCAGTCTTTTCCGCGCTGTCGAGCTTAGCGGCGGCCGGATCCTCATCGACGATGTCGACATCAAGACGATTCCGTTGCAGCAGCTGCGTGGCCGGCTAAGCATCGTCATGCAGGATCCTGTCCTCTTCTCGGGAACGGTCAGGGATAATCTGGATCCTTTCAACGAGCACGACGACGCAGCGGTGCTCGACGCGCTCAGGAAGGTGGGACTCGCCGCAACGCCCTATGGCAACGAGCACGATCGCTCCTATGAGCCTTCGTTGATTGACCTTTCCGACACTGAAGGCGACGTTATACGGAAGGGGCAGCAAGCGCACGATGTTGACGCGAGAAACAAGAGCTCAGAGAGGAGCACCAACATGCGTCTCAAGCTCGACTCTGCCGTCTCGTCCGGCGGCGCCAACTTTTCGGCAGGACAAGCGCAGCTTTTATCCTTGGCTCGATCGTAAGTATTCTTCACGCTATCTTTGATCTGCGATCACTTGAGTTGTGTTCTGACCTGGAGTTGTCCGTTCTCTTTAACTTGCCCTACAGGCTGCTTCGCTCGACGCGGATTCTGATTTTGGACGAAGCTACTTCTTCGACGGACAAGGAGACGGACGCGATGGTACAGCGCGTCATCCGCACAGCTCTGCATGACAGCATCGTGATCTGCATCGCCCACCGCCTCAAGAGCGTCATCGACTATGACCGCATCGTCGTCCTGCAGGACGGCAAGCTCGTCGAATGCGGCAGTCCGAAAGAGTAAGTCCATTTGATGCTTGCGGGATGTCGTCCGCATATGGTTTTCTCACACACTCCATCTCTGCCCTTATTTTGATACCTCGGTTCGCGCAGGCTGCTATCGAAGGACGATGTTGACGAGTCGGCGTTCTTCAAGAACCTGTGCAAGCACTCGTCAGAATATCAGGAGCTATGTGCCGCCGCTGGCGTTCTCCCCTCGCTCTAATCCATCCCCAGTCTCTCTCAAAGTTATACTTGGCCATTGGACTTGGGACACCTCTTAGAAGACCCTGGAATCACGGAACTAGTCATCGAACAATCGGAACGCAAGTTGCAAGGGACGAAAGGGATTTCCTATGATCATGTCTGTTGCTTCCGAGAAAGAAAGAAGAAGCTCCTTATTCCGACAGGGTGGCTCCGGCACGGAGCTGCTCGACCATGAGGATGGTCAAGTTGGGGTCGCGGTGCCAGTCCTGCTGCTCGTGTTGCTGGAGGATAGGTCCGACGTAGGCGACCGAGATGGAGACGAGCGTCAGGATGGTGTTGTCCGAGATGGGGTGATGGTAGGCATCGAGGATGTGGATGCACTTGGCGACGCGCTGAATCTGACGGCGCAGTTCCGGGGAGAGGTCGGGGTCGTTTTGATCCGAATACGTAGCATCAATGTCCATTCCGACGCCTGAACCCGCCAGACCTTTCTGCTGTTCCGAGTTGATGCCGGAACTCGCAGCACCGCCCGAGGAGCTGTTGGAAGGTTGGTTGTAGGGGAAGTGTTTTGCGATCCAGATGTATCCGTTCAGACCGATGATGAGATCGACATTGAGCGAGAGGTCGTCGTTTCTGAGATGGACGAAATGCGACTTGAGACGCTGAATGAGGTTGGGCGATGCTGTGACCAGGACGCCGTTCTTGAGCTTGCCATAGCGCAGCGAACGCGTGTGCAACGCCGACGAGTTGTCCTGGAACATCATCTGAACCTCTGCCACCAACAGATCGTTCTCCTGGAAAAAGTTGCGCATCTGAAGTTCGTCACTCTCCACCTTTCGACGCTGGATACCACCCGGAAGGTTGATCGACGAGAGTTGGAGTGCCGAGTCGGTCTTTGCGTTGATGTCCACCTTCCAGCGCTTGGGACCGACCTCTGTGATTCTGCCGATCACCAGATCACCCACCTCGGCCGCATATCTCGACCTTGCCGGTCGAACGGATATCAACTTGTTGACACGCTCCACTGTGCCACACATGGACGACAGGATCTCGTCCGAGTTGGTGGACAGGAACGTTCCGTGGCCCTTCATAAAGACGTGTGACGAAGCAATGCTCGTGCCCGCTACCGCAATCTTGACGTCATCGTCTTGGTCGTCTCCTGCATCCATATCGTCCTGGTCCACGTCCATGTCATCCTTGGTGAAGGTAGGAGCATATTTCGAGATTCGTGACGATGAAGAGGCTGGGTGCACCTCGCCAGAGTAGTGTACGAGGCGGGCTGCTGTGTTGGATCCCTTGAGCCAACGCTGCGACTGCGTATTGGGCTTCAAGGGGCGCGAAGAGCTGGCCTTGACAATGAATGGCGGCAACGCATCCGCGCTGGTGGATGCCATGCTTGCTGCAGCACCTGTCGCCATGTTGTGCTTGTCCTGCGATCGTGGCTGTAAAGGGAAGGAGGTTATGTTGAGATGGACGTGAGTAGGAGAAGAAGAAGAAGAAGCGCGGCTTTGGGCGAATCTCGGACCGCGTAAAAATATTCCAGCAACGCACGCTTGCCTCCACTCGAATCGGTGCGCCTAGAGAAACTTTCCCGATCTTCCAAGTCCCCGATGCATGATGCTTGCACCTGGACCTTCCTCGCTGATTCGGCATCCCTCATGACTCAGTTCGGGACGCACACCCAGCCGCTCGCTGATCAAGATGTTGTACATGCAATACAATGCGGACACGTCACAATCCGGAAACAATCACCTTCTCGATCTCTTGGAAGGGGGGATGCGAGCCTCCGACGCGCCAAAGAGCCTGGCGTCTCGTTCGTCGCTTCGTCCAAGGCGTTTACTCGGACTCGTCGAAGAGACCTTGCTGCGCGATAGGCTCGTGTCGGCTCGGCCAGAATGACTGCCGGACCTAGTAAGAGAAGCCAATTTGAGGAAGGTTTCCGCCTGCTCAAAGTCGCCGCGCGACGTCTTGACGTACTCGAATGCCACAGCGGCCTCCACGTCATAAGATTCGGTCACCGTCGCGAGCCAGCGGTCAATGAACCTGCGTGCATCTTTGACGCTGGCTCGGAAGCGCATCAACAGCTCGCGCAGCTCTTCCTTGTTCAAACCGAAGTCTTGACGGAATCGCTCCACATCGGCGCGGTACTGCAAGCGTGCAGCCACTTCGTCGGTCTTTGAAGCGGTGCGACGCTCTGCGGGCGCAGCTGCCGATGCAATCCGGGTCGAAGAAGGCACGCTGCTTCGATGGACACTTACGCTCTCCCGTTCCAATCCACGCGGCGCCTGCCGCAGTTTTGGTGAGATCGGCAGGATGCGCTCTGCACCAATTAGTTTTTCGCGGTTGATGCGGCTGGCTCTCGACCTAGACGTCTCGCCGGCCACAGGCGCCTGGACTCCCTGCGGAATCTCAGGACTTCTGGATGAAGGCGAAGCAGAGACACTCCGAGTCCAGTCGGATACCCGGAGGACCCGCTCCTCTTCCATGCGACTCGACGCGCGCTGCGGCGATCGAGCCGCACTTGCCTGTTGAACCCGCGGCAGCAGGGCACGGAAATCGAGGATGCGATTGCCCCTGGGTGACCCGGACACTGGCCCTTCTGGTCTCGCGGCAAGATTTGGCAAAGATGGTCGAGACCTAGCTTTCCGGATGCGCTGCTCCTCATCGCTGTCGATCGAAAAGTCGACAAAGGTGGTGTTGCGATGCTGAGCCAAGACAGGTGTCCCAATGTCGACAGGTCGCTTGGTCGCTGGTGATTCCGACGCTCTCTGTTGTTCCGCTGCCGAGGAGGCCTTCGATGCTGAGGTGTCAGCCACCGCATCTGCTGTATCTCCTTGGACAACTTCGTCCGACTCCTCTGCTTCGGCCGGCTTTTCGACTTCTTCCGACTCCTCTGCTTCGCCCGACTTTTCAACCTCGCCCGACTCCTCTGCTTCGCCCGACTTTTCGACTTCTTCCAAAGCGTTACCCTCGTCTGATTCGCTCGCCTCTTCTGACTCGCCGTCGTCTGAGGACTCGCTCGCTTCTTCCAGCTCGTAGTCGTCGTCCGAATCGTCAGCATCATCCGCATCCTCTTGAAGTTGCTCGGGAGCATGGACCTCGGCCAATACCTCAGGATGAGGCGTTGGTTGTCGTTCATGCGGGTTGACTGCAACCTCGACCTGAAGCATGTCTTCGTCCTCTTCTTCCATGAGGGGCGGGGTCATCTCTCCGGGCCACTGCACCTCCTGCATCGCGATCGCTGCAGGTGAAGAATGCCGGTCTGCCTGCGCTGGAGATGGAGACGGCGCATTGTCCTGCGCTGAACCAGGTGGTTCCGAGGTGGCGAGCAAGGGAATTTCCACCACGATACCGTCATCTGGCATGCTCCTGTCGCGCGCCGATGCTTGGGCTCTTGCATCCGAAGATCTAGCTCCGTCCAGAGCTCGAGGCGAGCGTTCCTGTGGAGCGGCTGCATCGCTCGGAACGGCGCCCTCCCCGTCGTCGGCCTTGCGCTCTGCGATGGACGACTGGCTTCCATTGTCGTCGGCATCGGCGTATGAGCTGGACTCGCTGAGCTCGTTGTCGCCCTCGGCGATGATGAGATCGATCATCTGTTTGTACGTGGCACGGTTCTTGAGGTAGTGGCTGCGCCACGACAAGGCCGAGTGTGTCGAGTTGCGTTCAGCGAATTCGTCCCAGAAGGCATCTGAAGGCTTGGCGAGAAGCGCTTGCTGCGTCGATGCGTCGGGTACATGCCCCTGCTGCTGGACGTACTCGGCTAGCCGCCGAAGGAGCTCGTCTTTCTCCTCCTCTGTGAATTTGACGTGCGACTTCTTGTCCGGATTGTGGATCTTCTTGCGGATGCTCCTCTCTGCCAGACGGGTGCCTTCCCACTCCGAGTCTTCATCGTCTGGTTGCTCGGATCGCTCAGTGGTCCGAGAAGCTCCATTCGGTGTCCCGCCGTTGGTGCCTTGCTCCTGGGATAGCTCGAGCTCGTCGACTTCAGATGCGGGGGCAGAAGATTCGGAGGCGCTAGACCTGCGTCGCCGGCGTGCAGGCTTCTTCTTTGCCTTTTGCGATGATTTGGCGCCTCCGGCCTCCTTTTCGCGCAGCTGCTTGAGGATGGCCTCTTGAAACGTTTCGGGATCCGATTCCTCGTCGATGGACGAGGCCCGAGCGGGTGCGTGTTGGGTGAGTAGAGCGCGCTGACCCGACGGAAGCTCGAGAGACGAAGGCGGAGATTCGGTGGATCGGGGCTGCACTTCCAGATCGAGGTGTTGTGACGTTGACGCATCTGGGTTGTGGCCCTGCTTGGTGGGACTCTTCTCTACCTCTTGTACTGCGGACCCTGGTTGGGGCCGTCGCACCTCGAGATCGTCAGTGTCGCTCTCTGCGGGAGCATTGCTGCTGCTGGCTTGAGCTGCAGCGCCAGATGTGCGCGGACTCGGGGATCGCTGTGCGGGTTGAGGGGACGTTGCTGGCCAGCCTTCTGAGGGCTCCGACTGTTCTGCGAGGGAAGGGGAGGCGGTGTACCTGGATCGGAGGATGCGTGCTTGCAGCTCGGAAGGCTCGGCGTCTAAGAGTTGCTGGCGCGTGGCGAGGATGCTCTTTTTGAGGTTCCAGCCCTTTTCAAAGTTTGCTTGCAGGTAAGACTGGAAGCTGGACCATGAGTGGGTGGGAAGGAGATCGGCAAGCTCCTTGGCGGCGGAATTGAGGCTCCAGGTTGACTCGTGCCTCTCTACAAAGTACGAGATGATGGCCTTGCGATCGTCTTCTGTGTAAGGATTGCGACCGTTGTGAGAGCGCTGGGCCGGTGCAGTTTGTGCCCTGGTCGAGGGGGCTGCCGCTGGCGGGATGCCGTCGAACTTGTACTTTGGATCCTCTGGATCAGCACGGAGACCGAAGGCGACCGAGTCATGAAGGTAGTTGATGACCACGACGGGGATGGGTTGGCCAATTTGCCTGGCTTCCCTCAGGTACCGTTTTGCGGCGGTGGGCATGTCGGGATCTACGACGATGAGGTCTGCTTTGCCAAGGCGAGACTCGATGACGCCGCCGTGCGATCGAATGGTGATCGAGAGCTCCCTGAATACTTCGGACGTAAGCTCGCGTGGGATGTGTATGTGCAAGGGCAGATCGGGCGCTGAGCTTTTGAGAAAGACCTTTGGCTTTGGGTGGACAGCCGAAGGTGGTGGAGTAGGCTTCGAGGTGGATGGTGCTGCGGCTTGTGCGGGTGCGTTGGTGCTTGCGACGTCCGGCGGTGGGGGTGCCGATTCGCGAGGTTCGCTGGCGGACTCGTTGATCCTTTGTTCTGGTGACTTTGATTCGACGTTCCCGGGTACGGGTGGCTGCTGGCTGCTGGCGGTAGCCGGCGTTGGCTCGGTAGCCGTCACCGCCGCCGGATCAGCGCCGCTTGCGTCCATGTCGATGTGCAGCCTTCAGAGCTGCCAGAAGTAAGTCGAAAGATCTGCGTACGGATCGGTAGCGTTGAGCGAAGGGGAGCCGATTGAGTCGCTACTGCCATCAAGGCGAGACTGGGGGGCTGCGGCAGAGCAAAAGATCTGTGTCGACGGCGGGATGCTGTTCTAGCGGTCCGCAAAGGGTTAAATGGTGACGTCGAGAAGTCGTGAGAAGGTTGGATCAAGGCAGGGATTGGCGATATGAGCCTGTCTGCTTCTGAGGCTGAGTAGCCTGAGGGATGACTGGCGTCGAGTTTGAAGCCAGGGCTGAAGGGTGGCGGCGAGGAATGGATGCGCGGCCCAAAGGTGAAATGGAGAGAGGCTCGACGGCTGGGCTCGGCTGGCTGCGCCTATTCGTCGTGTTCGTCGTGGTGTCGGGAGTGCCTAAGATGATCGAGGCAGAGGCAGGCGGAGACGCCGAATGCTGTGATGAGAAGGAGGAAGGGCGAAGAGTGGCGCCGGCGAGTGGCTCCTCCACACTCGATGTTCGAAAGCGACCCGACCCTTCTTTTCGGTGATGAGCTCGCATTGCGGCGGAGCCAAGGATGCGGAGGTGCCGAAAAACCGAAACGCGTCCGTCAGAGGCGGCGGCGGCTCAGCGACCCGTCGCGTCCAAAAATTGCGGAAGGGGGGATGCGGAAGAAGCAAAGAAGCGCCAGAGGCACGTGACTTAGATTGGCGGATCGCGGGCCAGAGGGGCGCGCCGCGGTCCGTTGGTTGCGTCTGCCTTGAGGCGGGGGAGCGGTTCTGAAAGCAGAGTGGTTTCACTCGAGCTGCATTCGAGCTGGATTTTGTTGCTCGTGTGATGGCGTACTGTTAGCGTATGCGTCGACCGAAGTGTGATGTTCTCGGCTAGGTTTAGGAGCAGCGGAACAAACAAAATCGCCGCCTCGCCCCCCCTTTTTGGCGATCCGCGAAAGCTCTCTCCTGCTTGGATCTGCACCGTCCCGGTCGAGCCGATTCCGCGTCGTTCCCCTCTTGCCTCGAGTCGACAGTGGGTAGAGATGCAGCCGTTCCTTGAAGATTGAGAGCTGAACCCACGCAAAGCGTGTGGAAAAGAGAGGTCGCATGACCAGCTTGGGCAAGTAGGTGATCAGAAGAGTATCGGAACGGTCCGATAATTGGCGGATACTTTCTTTCATTTAGTCACAATGGACGGTGGCGGTACAATAATGCAGACGACCGAGCGCTCTCTCGCTGACTTGTTCGGGAGCCAGTCGGCGCTGGTGCGCAGATTGCCGCTGATGTGCCATTGCATGCGAGCTGTGACGGAAGTGTGTGCTCTGCCAGAGTGGCTCTCTCTCTCTCTCTCTCTCTCGCCAATGCATCTCTTGCGGCCGAGCGGGCCAGCCGATGCGAGCCTGTCAAAAATCACACACAGGCAGGCAATCGCGCCACCAAAGCGGCACGGCGGGCGCGGCAGCAGCGCAAAGTGTTGGTTTCGACTCGCAAAGTGCAAACCAACACCCGGCGTTGCGCACTGCGCTCGCCCTCTGCTCTCCGCTGCGCCGGTTGGCCGATGGTCGGGCCTGCCTATTTGGTGTTCTGCTTCTGCTGCTGCCGACTGCATTCGTCTTTCTTGCCATCCATCTCGTGTGCCTCATCCACCGAGGCTTAGCAATTGCCTCCACTCGCCACCCTTCCGTTGCCTTCCCTTCCGACACGCCTCCCTCTCATCACCAACGCCGGAGCCAGCCGCGACCTGTGGGCGAGAACAGCGCGGCACCTGGCCGCTGCTCCTTCTCACGCTGAAAGTCACTCCGTCTACCAGCTCGACAGGCATTCATCCTCGCTGTGCCTTGTCAGACATCGCCTCGACACCGTCGCATGCATCCGACATCCACCTGCGCTCCATCTACGACGACGCGTTCACGCCGACACCTCCTCTGCACCATCTCGGCTCACTCTCCGACTTCGTCGACACCCACTCCCAACCCTCCGACCGGCTCGGTCAAGATGCCACCGCGCCTCTGATCATCTTGGCCCAAGCATTCCGAGACACCAGCACCGCCGGGCTGTGCATTCCTGCTGCCTAAGGTGCACCACGGCTCTTCATCCCGGCCTCCCTCAGCCTCGCCATGCCGCCCTCAACGCGCCGCGAGGTCCGCCTCAGCGCCAGCCTTCCCGACAACATGACACACGCCAGCGGCCCACAGCCTTCCGACCAAACTCGTTCCGCCAACCTCTTCATGCCCAACATCGAGTCCATCCTCGAGAACTTTGAGCTTTTCAAGCGCAAGCACATCTCTCAGAACAGGGAGATCATCAAGGCCAACGCCGTCCATCAACTCCGCATTCGCGAGCTCGAAAACAGGATACAGACGCTCGAGGCCGAAAAGGCAGAGGCTCGCCTGCACACCGTCGGCCTCGAAGCCACCGTGAGCCACCTCCACCACGCCATGGCATCCATATACGCAGGCTGGCACCTCATCGGAAAGGGTTTCGCCAACAGCACCTCCGACCCCGCCTCCATCCCAAGCTTCCATTTTGACGCACAGCCCCTCTCCTGGCCCCCATCCAACAGAGTTAAGCTAGAGCCTAATCCCAACACCGCCGCCGTCGTCAAGCAAGTCGCCGTCGCGCCAGGTGGACATGTCAGCCGGCTCGAAGAAGAGCCGCTTCAAGGCCCGAGGGAAGACGTCGTCACGACAGAATCGAATTACAAGGCATGGCATCACTCTTTCGGCCCTTTGCAGTCCGCCCAACACCCCATGGTCGATGGTTCCGGTCCATCCGCGACATCCATCATTGATATCGAAGGGGCTCCTTCACCCATGGGCAGTCCTCAACTGCCCGACGAGCTCGAAGACGCCATCGCGGCCGCCGCCGAACGCAACATGTCCCAGGCCTGGTCCAACCGAGGAGGCGCAGCCACTCCTGTTCCCAAGCCACTCTCCCTCAACATGTTCTTCTCAGCGTCTCAAGATTCCGAATCTATCGACAACTCAAATCGGCAGGCTCTGCGTCGTTCAGGTCGCAAGTCGAGTCGCAGGCAGAGCGGCTTCATCGCGTCGCAATCCAAACACGATCCGCAAGGCAACGCCTCTGACGTTCCCCACTCCGAGCGCCAATCGTCTCCGCCTCCAAGCTCTGACCCGCACGACGATCTGTACCTGCCCTCTGAGGCCAATTCCGAGGCGATGGACGGCATCCTGGCGTACAACGGCCAAGAGGCAACTTACGTCAATCGCTCTTCCGCCTTCCAACACCCTCCGACTCCTTTTCTTGACATCACCAATCACACCACCGGCACCTCCTACATGGACGCCTCATCCGCACAGTATACCGGCTGTGAGCCTGTTCCTACGCAAGAGCCTTCGTCCAAAGCGTCCACAACCGACACGCCCCACGCGTGGCCACGCGAGGAGCCCGCAGCTGCATCGTCATCATCCGAGGCGCGCACTCCCGGCGGGCGAAAGCGCAAAGTGCCTTCACACGAGCTGCCCGAACCGCTCCCCACGCCAATGCGACTCTTCGGCACGGCGGCAGCATCGGACGCAACTCCCATGGCCACTGCTCCGGTCGACAGCGAGTCGGACCCCGCCACCGGACGCACAAGAAGAGTGCGCAAGAGCATCAACTACGCCCTGCCAAAACTCAACACCAAAATGAGGAAACCCGACCCGAGCGACATGATCCCTGCTACCACCCCTCATCGATCGAACCGCAGCACGCCGAGCTCGGCCCGCGGCATGATCGGAAGCACTGGCAACCTGAGCGATATTCGCAAATTGCACGAGGAGGCAGCGTTGCACCAGTCTCCCGCTGAACGGACCTCGAACCTGCGCTTGACTGGCAGTCCAAGGGCCTCGACCAGCCGCGCAAAATTGCTAGCAGCCCAACCGTTGACAGCACAAGAAGATGCCGGCGGCCGCATGGCCGACCTCTTTGAGATCCGCCAGCAGGCCAAGATGCTCGCCGACCAGTCCAACGCTTCTCATCCAACGTCTAGTCGCCCGCATGCGTTCTGGGACAACATCACAGACACATCCGATGACGAGTCGCGAGCCACGAGCAATGCCGATTTGGGCGAGCTCGCCGAGTTGGAAGCCGCCATGGGCGAGCTATCTACGGTCGACGAAGCTCATCAGGCAGATACGCCCAGAGCCCCGCAACCTTCCGCCTGGCCTTCTCGATCGACTGTCCAGATGAGCGCGTCATCGTCCACAGACAGCATGGTGTCGGGCTCATCCGGTGGCACTCTAGCTCAGCGTCCTTCATTGAGGCGCAAAACAACCACGCTTCCGTCGCGGTCGCGCCAATCATCCGTCGAGCAAGCCTTGCCATCCGATAATGTCTTGGCCACCAGGCCCGGGCCAGAGTCTGCCGCCATTAACGCCTCTTCCAATACTGCGCACGCCAAGGTGGAAGGAGACGCGAAATCGGCCGGACCGAACGAGTTGAACCTGGACAGAAAGGAACAGGCGCAAAGCGTTGCAAAGAACTCGAACCCCGGCGAAGTAAAGAGGGCCACTCGTCAACCACCTGCAGTCACTTCCAGCGATACAACCACGGTCGAGATTGGCAAAGGTCGTCCGCCACCGGCAGCAGCAGCCGGCAGTCTTGTTGCCGGCATGAAGCCCAAGCAGAGACCAGCTAGTGCAGGGGCACTGCTAAGCTCACGTTCGGTAAGCGCATCAGCGAGTGTGGACAGCAGCGTGGAGCGGCCGCGCACCTTCTCCGGAGCCACAGCAGCCAGTGCCGGTATGGCGCAGTCTCAGTCCTCAGCTGGGTCCTCGGGTGGCACGACTCGTTCGGCAGTCTCGACTGCACAACAGCGCGCAAGCCTGCACTCTGCGCTCACGAGCCAAAGCAACAAAACAGGAGCGAGTCAGGTGACGCCACGGATCGGCGCAAAGGGACTGCCCCCGACGTCCACTCCGACTTTTAGGGAGTCGCCCCGAATGACGTCTACACCGATGCTTCGCCCCACTCCCTCGGCCAGCAGCCTGGCTTCGGAATCGAGCGGGCGGTCGAGCCCGGCGCTATCGGTGACTTCGAGCACAAGCGCAGGCACTCAGCTCTCCTCTTCGACGCGTGCATCGATGAAGACGTCGACGACTGCTACCTCCTCTGGTCATCCGGCGCGAAGGCCAGGCACAGCCGGCTCCTTGTCGAGGGATAACACCACGCCTAAAATCGGCACGCAGAACACAACGATGCCCGGCGCACGACCGCAGCCCGCACGATCGATGCCGAGCCTACGTCGAGGCAGCGACAAGGCAGGAGTGACCTCGACGCCTCGAATCACGGTGCGGTCCACTTCCTCGACGTCAGCGTCGTCTGGGGTCGGTTTGAATGGGTCTCTGGCTGCAAGTTCGGCTACGACGATCGCTGCATCCAAAGTGGCGAGGGCCATGTCGTCGGGCATGCCTGTCAGGGCCAAGGAGGCCGCCGCTGCGCCGATGGGGCTTGGGATTGACTTTAGCTCGGTGGTGGATGAGGTACCTGCCGGCAAGGAGCTGCTTAGCTTGACCGGAGAGATCGAGCAAGTGGTGCAGCTCGCCTCGTCGCCTCTGCGAGCATCGTCATCACCGTCGTCGCGCTCGTCAGCGGCGCCGTCGAGCTCGCCGCGGAGCACGTACAAGGCGTCTCACGACGATGCGCCAACGCTGGGCGGTTTGCAGGCCAAGACACGTCGGACGAGTCGGCGGATCAGCAGCATGACGGCATGAGAATGCGACGATTTTTCCATTCGCCTTGCAATGAAGAGAAGCTCGGGTCGACATTTCTGAGAGCGTGTGCATGCGACGAAGCAGGACTGCGTGAAGGCGGCAGGATGCTCTTGTCTTTGAGAGGTGGTGAAGCAGCTGCGAGGGGGAGCTACTTGGAGGTGGAGCAGCCGTGCGGGGATGGAAGGGCCGAGGGGAATTCTCTCGGGCGAAAATCAGCGGGGCGTGTTAGGTGGAGCGCCTAGGAAGAAAGTGCGAGTGCGCGTCTGTGCGTCGAGCGGTAGCTGGCAAGCAACACTCTCTTCTGCACGCATCACCACCACCATCGCATCACATCACACGGTCGAACGCAAGCATGTCGGCAGCGGCACTGATCCAAGAGCAAGAACTGCAGCTTCGTGCGCAGTCTTACTACCCAGAGAATGTTGCGCATAACAGCAAGCAAGTCGAATAGTAAGGTTGATCACCCCTCGCTCGCTTTCGAATCGATTCTGACCTTTCATTGTTGATTAGTGTTCGATCGACTGCGCTTTCAGTGGCTGGTTCGGTGGCAGGGGTGTTGGGTATGACGAACTGGCTCGGCTTTGGGTTCTACGCGATCTCGGTGTTGGTGACGAATGTGTTGGTGTTGGTGGTCAACGCGAATCGTACGCCGAGCAAGTACTTTATCACGCCATCTCCACCGTCCAAACCACTATCAACAGGCACAAAGGGCAAAGCTCAGGGGATGACGATCGACCCAAGATCAGGAAGCTTTACGACACAGGACACAGCAGCGTTTTTGGTCAGTGGGTTGACCGAAAATGCTTTCAGCTTTATCCTCTGGTGGACCTTTTGGTACGGTATTGTTCACGGTAAGTTCGCAAACTACGCTGCGGATAGGATGGAGCATCGGTACTGATCTCTGCGCACAAACGCTTGACTACAGTGTACGACTAAAGAACTTTCGAATCGCGGCGCCGGCCAGCTGCTGTTTTGCAAGAAGTTTTGGCGCTCTCAGCATGCACACAAGGTGGCACTCGACAGCCGCCGCTTGCAGAATGCTGACTGACTGCAACGAAGATTGGCAATTGTACACAAGACGAGTTGCATGTGATGTGCGAGATACACAAGACGAGTTGCATGTGATGTGCGAGATACAAGTACAGAGGGGGAGGGACGGTGCGATATCACTGCGGGTAGTGTGGATAGGCTGGGGGAGCTGGGTTCATGTGGATGGGAGGGGCGTAGGCGCCAGGCTGTTGCGGCGGTGCGCCTTGCGGGTATGCGTTCCACGCCTGCGGTGGCGCGCCGTTGGTCTGGGGTGGTTGCGCATACGGCTGTGCCAAGGCATGTGGTGCTGGCGGGTACTGCTGTGTGGGAAGCGCATTGTTCTTGCGAGCCTGTGCAGCCAGCAAACGCTCGGCAGCAGTGCCGTGCCTCTCGCCATTCTTGCTGTCCTTTTTTATCGCATAGTCGACGGTGATGTTCTTGTTGAGCAGGAACTGGCCATTGAGCGCCTCGACCGCAGCATCCGCCGCCTCGAAGCTGTCGAACGACACAAACGCGTATCCCTTGGGCTCTCCCGTGGCCGGATCGCGTGCCACCTTGGGCAAGCCAACGATCGTGCCGAATGCAGAGAAGGTCTCGTAGAGCAGATGCTCGTCTACGGCCGGGTCGAGACTGCCAACAAACAGGTTAGCGCCAATGTCGATCTGCTTGCGATCGTTGGAGGCCTTGTTGACGCGGATGGGTTTGCCGTAGAGCTTGAGGCCGTTCATGACTTTGCATGCGTAGTCTGCATCCTGCTCCGTCTGGAACTCGGCGAAAGCATAGCCCTGATGCGTCTGCGAGATGCGGTCCTTGGGCAGGTGGAGGTTGACGAGCGGACCCGCCTGGATCATGAGTTCCCACACGATGGCGTCCGTGGCGCGCTCGTCGAGGTTGCCGACGTAGCACGTAGCATCCTGATTGCGGTCGAGCTCGGGTGGGCGCGACATGTCGCCTGGCTTGTGATGGGATGGGTAGACGTGGTCGGGAAGAGTGCCGAGTGGAAGATTGAATGTCCATCATGAGCCTTGCTTTTCGGCGACAACTGCGGAAGTCGGAGATGCGAAAAGTGTCTGATGATGTAGTTGTCGACCTAACAGTAGGAACGCGGCTCAAAATTTCCGGCTTTACACTTTTCTGCCGGATAAGCCACAACGGCAATCCGAAGCGCGGCGCGACAGTGCGAGCAGCCGCATCACGCACACACGCACGCACACACACACACACAGAGTGGGAGAGATGCCGCGATTTGCGGCCACTACTCTATGTGGGTGCATTGTCAAGACATGACTGTCATCGCCATTCCGTAATGCGCCACTCGAGTGGCAACAAGAGAGGCGGCTGCGAGTGGGGCTCGAGGCTCGAGCGGGCGTAATAAAGGTTTTTCCATTGCCGCGGCGACGAGCGCGGGGGCAAGAGGCGGGCACGAGGCGAGCGTCGGGGATTAAGTCGGCTAAACAAGCTGGAGAATTGAGTTCAAAGCCGGGCCCAAGTGAAGGGATGCACACCTCGCGACACCGACGTGCCGAGTTTCCCGTACACCCATCCTATTCATTCTCTAGCCCTCTCGCCTAGCTTAGTCCCGGCTCGCCTCTTACACCAGTCGTACCCCGCTGCAATGGTTGTGGGCCCCACCCCATGTGCCTCCCCTGCAGCTACGTGCGTCGACATCAAAACTTGCACCACACCAACCTGCACTTCCGTAGGCTAGACACGCGCCACGCACGCCCTCTCCTTCATTCTATCCACCAACTCTGGCTCGCGACTCACCACCACCTCGATCTGCCTAACGCTTCCGTCCGTCCCGAATGTCGCAACGATCCTAGCCAGCCATCGGCACACCATCACCTGCCCAACAAAGCATAGCCGCCTAGAAGCTAGCCGTGTACGACCTCTAACGTCGCTCTACTCCTGATCGCCATACAAATTTCATAATGCCGGACCACCCCACCACACAGCCGCTCGGCTCTACAACGACCAACACCTCGGACTCGGCTTCCCAAGATATCGCACCCACACCAGCACCCGACACCGCAGTAGCCACGCCCATGTACAACGAAAAGTTGACTCATCCAGATGACGACACCGACATCGAGGCCACCGCATCCCAGGCAGCCATGTCGCTCAAAACCGAACACGACCTCGGCGACGCCGTCGCCAAAGCGCAGGCTGGCGACGCCAACATCTCCTTCCCAGAGGGCGGCTTCAAGGCTTGGCTCTGCGTATTCGGCGGATGGTGGTGCACCTTCATCACTTTCGGCTACCTCAACGCCTACGGCATCTTTCAGGACTACTACCAGCAGACCACCCTCTCCCACAAGACGCCCAGCCAGATCTCCTGGATCGGCGCATTCCAGTACTTTCTCATGTTTGCCCCCGCTATCTTCGCCGGCAGGCTCTTTGATCTTGGCTTCTTCCGCCCCCTCTTCGCCACCGGATGCGTCCTCCTAGTCTTTTCTCAGATGATGGTCAGCCTCTGCACAGACTACTACCAGCTCTTCCTCGCACAGGGCGTCGGACTCGGCCTCGGCTTTGGTCTCGTGTTCAACCTCGCCATCAACTGCCCAGCTCACTACTTCAACCGTCGCCGTGGCGTCGCCCTCGGCGTCGTTGCTTCCGGATCCTCCACGGGCGGCATCATCTTCCCCATCATGGTGCGCAAGCTCATACCTCAGATCGGTTATGGATGGACCATGCGCGTCGTCGGCTTCTTCGCCCTCTTTGCCGTCACAATAGCCTGGTTCTCCCTCTCGACCCGTCTGCCCCCCTCGATCGACGTGCACGACAAGTCAAAGGGCGGATGGAAGCAGATCCAGTGGACCGACTTTTCCGCCTTCCGCAATCCAGCTTACTCCTTTTTTGTCATCGGCGCCAGCTCGATCATGTTTGGCCTCTACATGCCCTTCTCCTACATGGACGTATGGACTTCCTCGCACAACATCCCCGCCAACGGCTATTTCCTCCCCATCCTCAACGCCGCTTCCTCATTCGGTCGAGTGCTTCCCGGCCTCGTGGCCGACAGGGTGGGTCGCATCAACACGGTGCTGCCGCATCTGGCCGTGTCCGGCATCTTGATCTTCATCTTCCCGCTCTGCACCAACCTCGGCGGCTTGATCACGTTTGCCATCCTCTACGGCTTCACCTCGGGCTGCTACGTCTCACTCATCCCCGCGTGTTCCTCGCAGCTCGGCAGCACTGCCACCGTCGGCGCAAGAAACGGCATGATGTTCTTCCTCATGTCCTTCGGCGGTCTGTTTGGCCTCCCCATCGCAGGCGCCATCCTCGGCGACGTCGAAAATGCAGATTGGTGGGCCACCGCGGCCTACTCGGGCGCCATGGTCGTCCTAGGCACCATCAGCATCGCCGCCGCCAAATGGTACGCCGTAGGAGGCCGTATCGGCGGCAAGATCTAGTCATATTCCCACACTGCTTTATTGTGTTTTGTTTGTCGCATTTGCATATCTTTATTGTTATCGTGACTATTGCTGCCAAAAGATCGGAGTCTGTGTTGACTAAGGCCGGCTGAGCACGTTCGAGTAGAAATCCAGCACGGCGGACCAATAGCCTACGAAATCGGCTCGGCCAATGCTGCAGTGCGGTGGAGTGTCCCACCTCCTGAGTTCGACGCGGTACTCGGGCGCATTGCGCGCCTCGTCGGCGCCCAATTCGACCGCCTTGAGCAACTTGGCCCTCTCGGCCTCGTTCTCCATCTGCACGACGCCGGGTGTCGTACCTCGGATCTGACCGAGGTGTTGCGCATGCTCCTCGACAAACTGCCACGGAATCAACCGGTCTGCCTTGGTGTACATGTACATGCGCGGTGGATACTCGCTCTTATCCGCCTTAGCGGCATTGGTCGAATGGGCGGCAGTGATCCAGCTCCAGCTGCGGAGCGAGTTGAGCCGTTTGCGCATGAGCTCACCGCGGCCGAGCTGGCCCGTGATCTTGGTCCAGATCTTGAGCATGTACAGGCCGATGTACACGAGCAGCCGCACGATCGCACGCACCCGCGGCCGGTTCGCCAGATGCATCGTAAACGCAAACGAGCCCGACTTGGGATTCGACTTGCCCGGACTCGAGTCCATGATGAGCGAGTGCACGCGCGGCGCCGGCCCTTTGCGACGCGCCATCTCGTCCAGGAACAGCGCAAGGTTACCCGCACCACCGTCCGAGAAGCTGTGAATCACAAACCCGCCTACGCGCGTGGGCTCATCGCCATCGCTGTCCGACGACGCAGACGATCTCGCCTCCTTGGCATCGATCAGCGTGATGGTCGAGTCGCCCACGTCCGTGGTCTTGACCACTTCAAACGGCTCCGTCTCGGCCTCTGGCGATGCCGACGTGATCTCGCTGATGATACGCTGCAGCTGCGTGCGACGTACATTTTCGCGCGCAAGGTAGCTCTTGCCGTCCGACAGCTGGATCAGCACCGTCGCATCCGGGAAGAGCGCAGTGTAGGGCTGCGCGTACTTGGCAACGAGTCGAATGGGTGCGTCCATCCAGCCAAAGATGACCACGTGGCTCGGAGTCCGCGCGAGCGTCTTTTTGCCGCCAACAGGCCGCAGCGGGGCCGGGAGCGCGGATGCGTCCAGAGCACGCGCAGCGACACGCGAGGCATCGGTGGGGCGAGAGACAAAAGTGTTGTGCTGCAGCCGCGTCAGCTCCGGCGGCGTGTACGCCGAGACCTTGGCAAGCTCGCTCGACGCTACGATGGGTGTCGCATCGCTCGAGGCCGACACGGTCTTGCTGGTTGCTTCGGCACTCTTGGCGACAATGGGAAGGGTGAGCGGAGTGGGGGCAGCGACAGCGGCTGCTGACGGTTCTTGGTCCGGAGCAGGATCGGAGCTGGCGATGACGGCGGCAACATCCTTTGCGAACTTGTCATCGGACGCAGGTACCGCGGACTGGACCGCTGCCCCGTTCTGTTGCAGAGTTGGCTTTTCATCTTCCTTGGCGTCCTGAGCAGGCACAGCCTTTGTGGTGGACACCTCATCGATGGTAAAAGGGACGTCGAGCGGGTGAGCCGCGCCAGATGAAGCAGCAGGAGCCGCAGGAGTCGCGGCAACAGGAGCCGAAGGAGCCGCGGCAGCAGGGGCAGTAGAGGCAGCAGCCGTGACAGACTGCTGTACTGGGTCTGCGCGCGCGATCGCCTGCTTCTTCATGCTCAGAATGTCCGTTCCAATGGGAGGAGCCAGCACGGATGGAGCGGGGGCTGCGGCGGTCGGAAGGCTCGCCGTAGCGGCCCCAGGACTCGCGTTGACCGAAGCGGGGCGAGACGAAGGCTTGTTGGAGCTCGAAGCGATGCTTGCGTTGGACGGCGTCTTCCTGACCGAGGACGCGGGGCTCTGTTGCGCCCGATCCTCGTCGATGCTCGAACCACGGCTGTGATTGGCCTTGACAGCGGCGAGCGTTGACTTTGGATGGAGGATGGCCTTGGCGGCTTTGGAAGCCTTGCCGCTCTTCGAAGGTTTGGTAGGCGGCATGTTGACGAAGCCAGATGGAGCAAGGAGTGGGGACTGTGTATGGAAGCGACGCGGCTGATGAGGCCAAGGTGAAGTGGAAAGCAGAGCACGCCAAGAGCAAGGAGCGAGTCGACAGAGCAGCGATGATGCGGCTGGCTTCAGCATGCAAGATGTGATGTGGTGCTGGGTGGTAAGGCCGTGGCATGGATGAGTGGTGGAGGAGAAGGCAGAAGGGAGGATGCAGCCGTCCCACCTCCGGAAGTTTGGAGGAAGGGCCGAGCCTCCCTCGGAAGCGCCGGCTTGGAAAGTGCCGAATGCGAATCTGTGGTGCCCCGGTGGAGGCGCGTCGGAGCATCCCGTCGCTATTTCGGGCGCTCCGCCTGTGAAAGGATCGTGAGCCCGATCGAGAGTCCGGATCGAGATTGCACACAGCGCTCTAACAGTTTCAGATTTTATTTTGCGCACGGTTGCTCGGGCCGATTATGCGGAGGAGCGCTCTTGGTACGCCCCAACCTTCCGATTCTCGAAGATCCCACGCTTATCATCAGAACCATCAACATTCCCGCTAGACATCCCAAAATGCTCAGATCGAGCTTGAGGGGAGCACTGCGCTCAGTCCCGTCGCGGATATCCGCTGCTGCAGCCAGGCAGAGCGTCCGCTCCCTCTCCAACTCGGCACCAACACGTTCGACCACCAAGGACCTTCAGAAGCCGCTCGCGTTTGCCTTTGACATCGACGGCGTGCTCAAGGCAGGTCCCATCGTTCTTCCCGAAGCGAAGCGCGCGCTCCAAATACTTGAGGGAAACAACCCACGCAACCAAAAGATCCCCTACATCTTCATCACCAATGGCGGCGGCAAGCACGAGTCGGCTCGCGCAACCGACCTCGCCAGAGAGCTCGAGGTGCCAGTCACTCCGGAACAGGTCATCCAGGCGCACACCGTCATGAAGTCGCTCGTCCCGCTTTACGCCGACAAACCCATCCTCATGGTCGGCGGTCCGGAAACGCCCCCAAACGCCGCAAGAGACGTCATGCGCAGCTACGGCTTCAACAACGTCTACACCACCCTCGACCTCCACGCACACGCTCCCGCCGCCTGGCCCTTCTCCACCGTTCACCCCGATCAGCTTCCATATGTTCGAGTAAGCTTCGGCACCTCGCTCGACTTTCCTTCTCTCCCACGTCGACACAGTCACTGACATTCAGCCCTGACGCATGATCACACAGAGAGACGACTTTTCCAAGGTCCAGTTTGCCGCCATTCTCGTCTTCCACGATAGCAGAGAGTGGGGCAGGGATACCCAGATCATCATCGACATCCTCAGATCCCACAACGGCGTCTTCGGTACAGAGCACCCGCCTTCAGAGCCGCTCCCCGACAAGCAGATCCCCATCTACTTTTCCCACGGCGACTTGCGTAAGTCTTCTGCTGGCCAGCCACACTTTCTCTCCCTGTCCTCTGTCTGACCGCATCTCTGGTGTCCGCATTCTCCGCAGTGTGGGGCAATGACCACAGCGTTGTCCGCTTCGGCCAAGGTGCCTTCCGCCTCGCCATCGAAAATGTCTACAAGGTAAGCCCTAGGTCATTCCGGTCCCTCCATGAATCCAGGTACTGACGGCACACGCGAGCCCTCAGCACACGACTGGACGCGAGATGGAATCGACCGTCTTCGGCAAGCCCTATCGCATCACCTACGACTATGCCAACGAGCTGCTGCGCCAGCATCTTATCAGCATGGCACCCGCATCTTCCGCCACCGCCGAGGCCGCCAAGCTCGTCGGGCCCTCGGTCTGGATGGTCGGCGACAACACCGAGAGCGACATCCGAGGCGCCGTCGACTTTGGCTGGTCCTCTGCGCTCGTACGCACAGGCGTCTACAAGGACCACAACGGCCCACCCAACTACACCCCCACCATCCTCGTCGACAACGTAGAGCAAGCCGTCATCCAGGCCATCCAGAGGGAATGGAACCTCTGAAGGCGCTTCAATTCGCCGCCACGAGCAGAAATGTAAAGACTGTGGATTGCATCTTGTCAAGCTTCACAAAGTGCGCGACAAGCGGGATGCTTTAGGAAAACCATAGATGCCCGTGACTCGAAATGCCAGGAACGAACGACGAGAAGGAAGTATCTACACGAATGGTCGGTGTGTTCGGAGACAGAGTTGTGGAGACGAGGAGGGACTCGAATTGCTTATCGGTCCGCAACATCTCGTCCTCCTCTGAACTGAGCAAGAGGAGGTATTTTGACTGGTTTAGGCTTGGCACTGGGACGGCTTGCGCTTCCAGTAGATCTGGCCGTTGGAGGTGCCGTCTCCGAGGCTGTGACCGGTGTTGCCCAGCACAATGTTTCCATTGCCCTGACCGTTGCCCGACGTGTTGCTGCCGACAGTGGAGCCGTTTCCGATAATGACATTGCCGTTACCGCTGCCGTTTCCACCGCCGTTGTTGTTGTTGCCGTTGTTCGAGCCGGCAGTGTTGCCGTTGCCAATCACAATGTTTCCGTTGCCGTTGCCGTCACCAGTAGCACCTCCGCCAGTGTTGCCATTGCCATTGTTCGAGCCGACCGTGTTGCCACTGCCAATGACCGTGTTACCGTTGCCGTTGCCAGTGCCAGTGCCGTTAGACGACGTGTTGCCATTGCCGTTACCAGAGCCCGTGACGTTGCCAGAACCCTTGACGTTGTTGTTGTTGCCGTTGTTGTTGCCGGTTCCGGACGATCCAGTGTTGTAGTTGCCATTGCCGTTGCCAACGCCGCTGCCCGAGTTGCTGTTGCCATTGCCGTTGCCGTTAAGGCTCGACCCAAGGCCGCCGTTGCCATTGCCGTTGTTGTTGCCACTGCCAACACCGGTGTTGCCGTTGCCGTTGTCGTTGCCAGACGAAGTGCCGCTGTTGCCATTGCCGTTGTTGTTTCCGTTCATGTAGCCCCAGTTGTTGTTGCCGTTGTTGTTGCCGTTGGCGGTACCAGTGTTTCCATTGCCGTTGGCGTTGCCGCTCAGCTTGCCCCAGTTGTCGTTGCCATTGCCATTGCCGTTGTACGAGCCGTAGTTGCCGTTGCCGTTTCCGTTGGCATTCTGCTTGCCAAAGTTGCTGTTGGCATTGTTGTTGCCGTTCATGTAGCCCCAGTTGCCGTTGCCGTTGCCGTTGGAGCTTCCACTGCCGATGTTTCCATTGGCGTTGTTGTTACCGTTGCTCGTGCCGGTGTTTCCATTGCCGTTGCCGTTGGCGTTGGAGAGGCCGCCGTTTTCGTTGCCGTTGGTGTTTCCGTTGTTGGAGCCAGAGTTGTTGTTGCCGTTGCCGTTGCCCTGTGCAGCGCCTACGTTGCCATTGCCGTTGGTATTTCCGTTAAAGGAGCCCCAGTTGTTGTTGCCGTTGACGTTACCCTGTCCGAAACCATAGTTGTTGTTGCCGTTAGTGTTGCCGTTCTGGGTTCCGCCAGAGTTCTGGTTTCCGTTGCCGTTTCCGTTGAGTATTCCGCCGTTCAGGTTTCCGTTGTTGTTTCCGGAATACGAGGCGGAGTTGCCGTTGCCATTGACGTTTCCGTTGGAGCTGGGAACGTAGGTGTATGGGCTGTAGGAACCAGTTCGCTGCTGCGAGGAGGTGGAAGATGTGGATGATGTGGACGAAGACTTCGACGAGGCAGTCGGCCACGAAGGGAACGAGGTGAAAAGGCGGCTGTTTGAGCCCCACCAGGAGCCCGAGTCGATGCCTCTTGCTGAGATCGCGCGGAAGCTGTCGTCCGACGAGATGGCGGGAAGCGCCGATGCCGAAGAGGCGGAGAGGGCCAGGATGGCCACAGTCATCTGCTTGGAAACCTTCATGGTGACTAAAACCGCTGAGAGTAAGGCTGGGTATGAGCTAGGAGGCGTTGGGATAACGGTCTTATGTTCTCCTGGTCGCTGCCATGGAGAGGCAAGTGGATAGATCGTCGGTAGAGTTGTGTGCGAGGAGGATGAGAGGAAGATGGAAAGGGGCGTTAGGGGTCTCGTCGCGATGGTCGAGGGGGTATATGTATGCTCTGGCCATTGACATTGTGCTCAAGAGCGTACACAGTGAGCTGCTATACAAGGCCAGGGCAAGCGCGTGTCGGCACGAGGTCCGGTCGGAGCTTGGAGCGGAAGTGAGCTGACGACGTGAGCGGAGCTTGCCCATCAAGAGTAAAGTGTTTCTCCGTGCTCTATGACAGGGGAGGCAAAGGAAGAGCCGCATCTTTGCACGGCTGAAGACCCCAGACACCAGTGTTGCACTATCCTGGCGCCACCTCTTTTCATTTCAGCACGCACCTACGCGGAGGACCGCATAAACACACATGCATGAAAGCATATGACATGCGGATGGTACCAAAGGGCGGACGCCACAAGCACAATTGCAGCATGACTTCGGCACCAAGCTTCGCGGAAAGAAGGCGGAAAGAAGGCGGGGAGGCAACGGGGAGGAAAAGGGAAGCTGCATAACGACTTGCATGCCTGGACGCGACCATTTGGCCGAAGATCAGGCCGAGATGCCCAGCATGAGTCTCTTTGGTGGCAATGAGCAAATCTGCAGGGAAGGATGCGCGCTCTTGGAGCGCAAGGGGGAGATTGACAAATTGAAGCACTTTAGTGCCTCGACACTGTTCTCGTCGAAGCGCAGGCGGGCAAGGCCATGCGGGGATGCGCAACGGGGAGGCTCCCGAGTGATTTTGCGGGGAGCTTCGTGCTCCCCGTTGCAGATCGATTCGAATACAAAAATAAGGCGTTTCCTTCCGCGCCATTTGAATTTCGGCCTCTTCATTTCAACTCACTTTTGTAGCTGCGAATACAATTTTGACTAGGCCACAGCTGTCAAGCAAGGCCAGCCGCCAAAGCGCTCTCTCTCCAAACCACCACGCGGCATGACTGGAAGCCCGGTTCGGGCTCCTAGTCGCGGGTCAGCGCGGTTCCAGTTCACCAGGCTGCCGTCGTTGTCGTCCAACCTCGCTGTCTCGCCCGGACCTTTGCTCGGCCCACGTCTGCTTACCGCTTCCCATGTTTCGAATCATCCGCTTTCTTTCTTGATGCATCCTTGCATCGCAACGCCGCATGAGGCGTCGCCCGACATGACTCTGCTGATGTTCATGTGGTCTACACGGGTGCAACATCAAGTGCAGTAGCCATGACAGGCCCATGCATAGATATGTGCAACGAGAGCTCAGGCGGCAACTCATCTATGCATCGTCGGTTCACCGAGGATTATTACTGCCTCGCCACTTCGTTCGGCACGTTCGGCATCATGCCAAGCTGGCACTCGCATCGTGAGCTTTCGGCAGAAGTTCCACCTCCAGTCAAAGGAGCGTGAGAAGCATGGATCCTTCTGTTATCGGTACAAGCTTGGCAAGCCACCGGATGGTCCCGGATCCACGGGCACAGGTGACCGTGGGAGGGATGGGCTTCGGCAGCATTCCCCGTTTTGTATCTAGGATCCTGGGACTCAAGACCGCGTGATCCGCAAGATAGTCGGTAGCTTTGCTCTCGCGGCTTCCCACTCTGCACTCCGCTTCTGTCCAAGAAAAGAGTCATTCGAGTTTGGTCAAAGCGGCTGGCAGCGTCCCACGCACTGCCAAAATCGGCCGGGCTCGGCCAACGATGAGTCCCATGCGATCTGAAGAAAGTCCAGACAGCGACTACACCTCCAACTCTCCATGTTGGTTTGATCAGTACCCTCGTTTGCAACACGGTCCAGTCTCTCGGGACGCTTTCGAGATGCAAGCTTTTCCTCGGGGCAACACCGCCTTTCGCCACACTGACGGCAGAGGACCTCTACCCGCTGCTTTGTTCAGCGTGGCTCCAAATTGGGGCCCTCTTTCGTTCCCGGTAATTGCTTGTCAACACATGTCGCCCTCTTCATTCCGGTTTCACACGGCACCGGAGCGGAACCGATCAAGACATGTCAACCATCTCTTTTCTCCAGCCGTCTCTCCATAGCTGGCTGCTTTCCCTGGCACAAGGTCCTGCTCGAGACTTTTCTGTGCTCCTTTCGACAGTTCGAGACCCATGACCCAGTTGGTTCCAAGGAATAGGATCCAAGCTGCTGAGCCAGCGTATCCGTAGCTGAGGTACGCCCGAAGTGACGGCTACCACATGTCATGATTAGAACAAGAGATCACGTTGCGTCTTGGTGCCTTGTTGGCTTGCCCTTTCGAGCGAGGGGCGCCCTTAATTGATCCGCGGCGCAGCTAATGGGAAGTCATGAGATCTACTCGGTACGATTGTGACGACTGGTCATTGACGTCGCTCGGCTCTATCACTGTCTTTTGTCGGATCCGAGCGGAGATTGAGATCAAGGAGACTGACTTTCAGCGCTCTCTGGAGCTTTCTATGATTGTTCGTCCGCATCGGCCCAGAGCTTCCCGATGCGAATGCACAGCCCATATGCAGCCGATTCCGAAGTTCCCGCCAGGGTCTTCGCGAGCGTACGCATCTAAGCGAACGCGTTCGGCCTGCGGGTGCAAAATGTGTGTCTGGGAGCCGTCTCACTGTGCTATCAAGCATGTCAGCTGTGCGAGAATGCTATCTTCAGGACTGTGCCTGCGGGTATACCTCCATCAGCGCGGTTGAGTGCTCACCAGACGAAGCAATCTTTTTCTTGGCAAGAGCGACTGTCTCTCGGACGATTGGGTAGATGACGATATGACCATTGATTAGAATGTATAAGTCAAGGACGTGAAGCCTCTAAGGACTACGGGTATCTAGGAATGCATGTACAGATGACTAGGGATGAATCAGGTGCGGAAGAAGTGGAAGACGCCACGGGCAAACGCGAGCGAGGCGTCGTCGACAACCCTGGACCACACATCGCATGCCAGCACGGAGAGCGGAACCATCGAGAAGAAGAGGGCGGCCGTGATCTTTGCCGGGCTGGTCCAGCCGAGGCTCTCGGTGAGGTGGCTGTAGAAGAGACTGCCAAGGCTGAGCATGACGGTACCCGAGACCATGGCAATCGAGAAGCCGAGACGTCCAAAGTAGGTGAGGACTCGAGCCGAGAAGAAACGCTGCAGCGCCGGGCTAAGCTCGACGAGAACAAGCAGGCCAGTGGCAAGGAACCAGTCGTCCCATCGCGGGTAGGCGATGTTGTTGTAGTCCCAGTGACGGTTGAGCGTACCCGTGTTGAGATCGATGTGACCAATGTAGTCGTTGTAGAACATCGAGGGGAAGGCAGAGATCCAGAGGTACTTGAACAGCACGCCGAGCGCGATGAAGATGGTGGGAATGAGCTTGGGGTTCATGAACTTGGTCCTGGCAGAGTTGAGCGGAATGCCCTCGGCGGGGATGAGCTGCAGGTAGACAGTCGAGTACTCGGCGATGGCGAGGCCCGTAAGCGTGTACCACGACCAGCGACCCATCCAAGCGGAGAGGATGATGAAGCTGACCAGACCGATGTTCTTCCAGCGGAAGATGGTGAAAGGAAGCACCCATGCGTACACCATCAGGACGTAGGTCTGCTGGAACACGACCGAGGTGAACCACATGATGCCACCGGGAGGCATGTACGTGCTGGCAACCGAGGTGGTGTATGCGTAAGGAGCAAAGACGAAGGAGACGACAGTGTTGACGTAAACGACGGTCGACTCCCACACCTTGGGAGGCTGTGCGAGCGGGTTGTTGAGCTTGTCGGCCATCTGGCTGGCGTACTTGAAGCCGCCGAGCACGGCGACCACGGAGGTGAGGGCAAGTGCGATGGCGAGCGGCAGGATCAGTCGGAAAGGGCGGCGGAAGCCGGGACCCGCGAGCGTGAGGCCGTCCCTCCTCTCGAGGAAGGTCTGCAGACCGACACGGCCCATGAGGATGATGTACATGTTGGCCTGGAGGCTGCCGTTGAACATGAGCGGGCTGAGCACCTTGCGCAGTACGTTCATCCATGCAGGGCAGGTCTTGGTGAATTCTGCCGGGAAGGTGCCGTCCATGTCGCGGTCCGTGACGATGGCAGGAGCGAAGAGGCGGAAAAAGACCCAGAGCAGTGTTTGAAATGCGACGAGACCGCGGATGCCCTCGAGGTATGGGATGCGCTGCTTGCGCTTGCGGCCGACGTCTGCGTCCTCGTTTGCGAGGAAAGGCTTGGGCGTCACATCGAAGCGTGCGTCACCCTTGAGGATGGTGTATCCGCGCTCGTCGGTCTCGGGAATGTAGGACTTGTCGACACCGGCGGAAGCGTCGACGAAGACGGGGAGGTGCAGCGGCTTGAGCGCGCTCGCTCGCTTGGATGCGTCCGTCATTTTTGTGGGATGACTTGGTTGGGGTTCGTGCTCCAGATGCCTGAGGGAAGGATATGATGGAGCGCTTGAAGCCGGCAAGAGGGAGGCGTTGAAGGGGGGATGTCTTGGTGGAAGCAAATGTCCAACGTCAGAGCAAGAGGTTTATATGGCGAGGGCGCCATTGGCAGGAGGCGAAATGCAGAAGAACTTAGACCGAGACAGAGGTAGGGCCAGCAGCGGGCGCAGCTGGCTGGTGCGAAGTGGTGGAGGGCGGGATTGGGCGCCGGCTAACCGACGGCGAGTTGGTTCAGAGACATCGCGACATGGATGCGGCCACAGTCAGAAGTGGAGCTTGATTGCGAGACGTCGGCGATACAAACTTGGGCTAGCCTTGGAAGCAATGGGACAGGGCGGTCTACGGCAGAGTACCAGAGTGGAGCCAGCCTTGCGCTGCGTGCGGGATCTGCAAGTGTACCGGGGACGGATCAGCGCACTGAATAAAGTGTCTAGCCATGGGACGCCGGAAGGCAAATTGACAGAGTGTCTCTCTGACGGCCTGCCGCTGCTGCAAGCGGAGAGGCCAGAACGGCGGCGCCTCGTCTGGTGCGTGCCCAGGTGCCGGGCCAGAGAAGGCGCTTAGCGGAGATTACGTCTGGGCGCTAAATGCTTGGCTGCTGTCAAACCGATTCTAGACTCCGCGTCAAGCCTGCACTCCAGACCACTGAATCTCGACGGAAGCGGAACGCTCGCGCGAGGCCGAAAAAATGAAATAAAGGAAAATGCCCAAATCTTTAAATTGTATTCATTTGTTGGTGCGAACAGCGTGGTCTTTTTTTTTTCGAAAAATTTGAAGGACAGGCGGGCAGATGGTGTGCGGCCGTACGCCGTGTTTGAGACGCTGGTCGAAGCCCGAAACTAGGGCCGCCGCATTTCCTGAGCGATCATGAGGCGGCATCCCAGCTACCCCATCCGATCAGAACCGGAAGCCTCTATACAAGATCTCCTAGTCCTCAATCCCTAGGGTCACAAAGTCGGTCTGTGGGGTCTGAGCTGTGACCTTTTGCTCCTCAAGCCTACAACTCTCTCTCTTTCTTTGTAAACCTAGAGTAGAATTGTATTCGTCAGTGACGACAGTCAGCTGTAGGTGCGCAAACCACCTAAATCACATGCGCATAGCTGGTGATCCGATGAGTGACTGAGCAAGGCCGTCAGCGGCGACGACACTGGTCTCGCCTCGACGGGATGCAGGTACACAGCTCTGGAGGCTCTCTTGGTAGCCGCGCCATGGCTGGCAGGACTTCGGACACCCACGCTACTGTGGCGGGGCTGATGCTTGGGCTTGGGAGGTCTCAGTGAAACCCGGTGAGTGGACCACCAGGCCTTTCGTGCAGTTGAACTCAACACACACAGAGAGCACCTGCTGCCGCTTCCAGTTGCTGAGACATCCGTGGCCGCGCGGCTTGCCTATATTGTATTCATGGCTGAGACATGAATACAGGGGAGCATTTGCCGCGATGCAGCTTGGCTACAGTGGCAGGCCAGCCACAGTGGTGGTGAGACACGCGTCCGGACGCGCTTGCGCTGCACGCACACACTGCCAGATTGGCGCCAAGCGCCGTCACGCTTCCGTTCGACGTGGGCTCTGGTGCCCGAAAATAGCGCGAAAAGTGGGAAAGGGCCAGACCTCGATGTGCGAGTTGCTGCAGGCACGGCGATCATTGCTTTTTCTTTTCAATTTGGCAGCATTCAAAAAGGCAATTTTACAAAAATTCGCAGTGAAAAGGCAAATTCTCCACCGGGTGTCAGAATCGGGCTTCCATTCGAGACTACCGCGCTGCTATTGTGCTACTGTACGGCCGCTCCACCCGAAGGTTGAGTTGCCGGCCGTCCACCTGGTCCTACGTGCCTTTGACAGCTACGATGCTACAGTGACAGGCGATAAATCGGATTCGAAAAGCAGGGCCAGCATGAGGCTACATTCGGCTTGCTGCTAGGAGCGGTGAATGGATCCAGGACGGAGGCACTCACATGCGAACGTTGGAGGATCGGCGTATGCCAGTATCGTGTCGATCTCACCCTGACACTTTGTGACAGGTTCGTCCTTGTCTGAAAGCATCGACAATCACCCCGATGTGCGTCAAAGGGTGAGACGTTGTCGTGTCAAGTAGCTTTGGCGAGCCACCTCAGATTGTCTGCGAGCCTCTTGAGCAGGCCGTCGTCGAGATCCACGCAAGAAACCCGTACTGATGCACTCTCGTCCTTTCCGTGTTCTACATGTACCGTTCGCCAAGAAGGCAGCAAAGTTGCGGTATCGGCTCAGGGCGCGAGCTCCTCACGGCAGAGTTACGTTCTGGGCCCAAGCTAGCCGGAATCGCTGCATGCGACACCAAAAAAACAATCGGAATACACCTTATGTCTTGAGAGAGCTTCAAAGTAGAGCGACCGTAGCTCGTCTCCCGTTCCGATAGCCCCACGTAAAGCGAACTGGTGCACACGTGGACTCGAAGTCGGTCACAGCTACAGATCAAGACCTGCCCGCCAAACGCATTGTGGCAGGAAACCTCTTCGCAAACCTGGCAGTAATTCTGTCCGATTCATTTGAAGAGGCAAGATTTACAGTTCAGTCCAGCACGTTCGCCTCGAGATCGCGTTGGCACAAGAATTCGCAAGTGCTGCGATCTGCGCCAAATCTGGGCCAAGAGAACGTGCAACAGCTGCTCTGAGCTCAAAGTACAATCATGCGATCTCGGCGTTTCGTTTCGTACTGGAATCAGGCAATGGGCAGCCACGCCTTCCTTCCATCGGATCTCGGATGCGGAAAGGGTCTCGAGGGTCTGGGCCCGCTCCTCCCGGCTCTTCGAAAAAAAAATCGGGGCCGCGTTCGCCCGAGACCTGACGCCACCAACGCCGTTCTGTGCCTTGCCCGATTCGAGTATAATTTAACTTTGCTTTTATTTTTTCCCCACGCCCGGTTCAGGCGCAGTCTTGGGCCGCATCGATCCTCGTTCGACCCTGCTGTATGCGGCTCATACATCGAGCGGCAGACTCTGCGCTGTCAAACGATACGTGATTCATTGACGTACGAGCTTTGCTTCCGGGAAGATAGGATGATCACAGGTGAGCACCCTATCTGCCGCATGTATCCGGCTACTCACCTACCTAAAATCGCATTTTCGTGCCATTTGTCAAGCATGATTTTTTTTTGAATTTCTTCCTGAAATGCAATTTGGCACGTGCAAACACCATCAGGATCCTACGGAGTCAACAGAACGTAAATCCCGGAAGCAAGCACCAATCATGATATGGCGTAGAAGTGCACCATTGCTATGAGAGGAGCAGAGGCCGACAGCAATGGAATCCTAGGAGGAAGAACTGCTAGCGTCATTCGTTGTTCCTGCTTTCACGGATTAATTTTCGGCCCTGAAGATCTGTTGACACGCTAAACATGAAATTTGCACTAGTCTGTTTGTGCGCTTGCGGTGCGATGATAGGGAATCGAACGCTGTGAGGCGTGAGCATCGCAAGGCCTGCGAGAAATAAGCCCCGAATGAGCTAGATGTACGCATGCGTATCATTTCGCTTCGTTCGGCCTGCGGTTGGACTCTGAGTGCAAACATTGTCGGCGCGCTTGGGCGGAGTTGCGGCTTGGAGCCGCCACAAAGCCAGATCACAGCCGCTATGCCTTCTTCAACTCATTCAAACTCAGCGCGACACTTCGCGCCCATTCCAGACTTCTACAAACTGCTCTGCATTGGGAGCCACCCGGGCCCCGGCGCTAGCCAGCAGAGCGGTGGAAGTGCTCATTCTCTAGATTCAACGGGCGGCTACCCAGTAGCTGCAACCCTTCACGTGCTTCCGCTGATAGGCGCCAAAAAGGTCTGGCGCTTGGCGGGGCTGAAATGTGTCACCGTGCTCGAAGCGAGAGACCAGAACCTGGGAACTCGCTCCTCTTCCCCTCCCTCAACGAAAAGGCTCAGAATCGTCAGAAAGGCCTCAGGCTCTCCACGCTTGCGAGCTTGGACGCGATCGCCAAGCAGTCGTCCTACGGCTCGAACGGCACTGCGACTAGCCAGCTCATTTGAATTCGTCAGCCATACAGCACATCGAATTGAAGTGCCAGAGTTCTCATTCTTTCGATTCGAGCTCCCTTCTCTGGCAACCAGACACGATGCAAGGCTTGATCGCCATAGTGAAGAGCAGATAGGAGCGAAAGAGAGTCGGAGTCGTTTCTACGCCAAGCTTCGAATCGCCCCTGCAGGTACTGTACCAGTCGCGTTCTGCCACCTCGCTTAGAGCGCGTGGGAGATCAAAGCGTGCCTGCATCCGACGGTTTGCCTTGTCCTGACCTGCAAGCCTTCAATGAGTCCAAAGCTCTCGAATGCAAGCCTCGTTCGCATTGGAAGATCGAACACTGAAGATCCGTGAAAGAGGACAAAGCCTCGATGAATCTCACAGAGGTGAGCTGACGCCGTGTTCCTGGCCTGCTAGCCGAGAGCACGCACTTTGCCGCCCCTGGAGGCGTGGTCGAAGCAGAGCATGCACAGAAGGCATCCTAGCTTCGATGCTCTCTTTCACCTGCTACTGCATGCATCAATCACCACTTGACGAGATGCAATAGCAAGCGTTGAAAGTCTAGGCGGTCGTCCTGCGTATTGGCGCAAGTAGATCCAGAAGCTGCATTCGGTGGTGGTGGTGGTGGCTCCCCCGGTCGGAGAATCTGCGAAACAAGGGCAAAAGGCGGCGCTGTGGGGGATTTTCAATCATTTTCAATTTATTTTGAAAAAGGAGAAGCAATTTCGACAAGCACGGCGGACTGGAGGGCGGATGGCCGTGGAGCAGCGCATGTGGCCGTCCGAGACATTGGCCACCAATCTAAAACCGGCCGCACTTTGGATCACCGACACCGCTTGGCCAACGCTCTGAGCGCCTGCACGCCTCACGGCTGGCGGTCTGGCCTACGGCGCTCTTTCCGCTGCAGGCTTAGCGCTGGTGTCAGAGGATCACCGCCAGATTAGCGCACGCCGAAATGCCGTGTTCCTTATTGTTGCAGGCTTCAAGCTTTCGTGCATTTGATGCTCGCCGCGACTATAGCTGTCATGCTGCTGGCGTAGCTCTACACGCTAGATGCAGCACCGACACTCAGTACGTTCTCGCAAACCGCTCACAGGGGCCGAACGCTCTCAATGACACGACTTCTGAGCTCTACGGTATGACATCGTATTTGCTTGAAAGCATTCAGTCTCATGCCAACCGCAGTGAGGTTACATTTGAGGTTGATGTCAAAAGTACAGCGTCCGAACCACTGGATTTAATCCTGCAATTTGATTGAATTTAAACTTGGCTCTGTGGCCGCTGCGGGCGCTTCAGATTCTGCTTCCGCTCCGACCGCAACCCTGCGTTAGGCGAGACATCTGACAGAAACGCCGTCTTTGGGCTGCACGACCATTAGCCGCTTGCAGCGTGCCGCCTGTCGGCCTCTAAAATCCCTGAGACACTCGGTGCTTCGAGCCCCATCTCGACCAGCCACACGGCCCGCCTCACACACGCATCCGAACGCCCCATCTCTCCACCTCTCGTCCTCTCGTCCTCTCGATTCGGCATCTGGTCCACTGCCCCTGCCAAGCCCGCAGGGCTCCGCGCTCTCCAGCCACCTCATGGCGATATCTGACACCTCGTCCTCGCGCTTAGTCGGGGTTCCACGCTGCCTCTTCCGAGACTGCGTTTCGCCTCCGCGGCATCCAACCTAGATGGCCTCTCCAGAAAGGCAAATCTCTCCCGTCACTCGCTTCCGCATCCTGCCACTCATGCCCTACCCGACACAGCTCTCCCACGCTGCCACTTTCCTTCAGATCAGCCGTGCACTTTCTGACACCGTCAACCGCCGTGTCTCGAGCTCCTCTGGTGGGCTCCTACCCGAGTGCAAGCCATGACATCGTGCCTGCGACACATCATATAATGCCAGAGCCATTCTTGTCACGTCGCCCACATTGTCCACCCATCTCACAGCATTCCCACTCTCTCCACTACTCAAGTCGTCCCGCCTCCTCGCTTGCTTGCTCCTTCCGCTTTGCGACAAAGCCTTCCGTGCGCCACGCAACATCTCAACCCTCCCCATCATATAAGGTATAGGTACCGCAGGCGGTTACTTGCCCTTCCGCTACACCAGTCCGTCTTGAATCTCTTGAACAATGTCGAACTATTCCTACGAGTCCGTTTCGCCTCGCTCGCAGGCGTTCAACGAGTCGATCTTCGCGAGCCCCAACTCGTTCTACACCGAGTCGGAACACTCCGTCTCGACTCACAGCTCGTACTCTGACGATGAAGAGCCAGTGATTCGCATCATCGCTCCCCAGGCCACGCGCCCTCTGCACGGCTCTCACAACATCAACCAAGAGCACAACGCCCTCGGCTTCTCCGATCTCGGCTACCTCAACGACGCCCTCAAGCTTGACCCCTACAGCCGCGCTGCCCATGACGACACTGCGCTGGATGAGCTCATCGACCTCTACCAGACCAACCTCGCAGCGACCGTGCGAGGGCCTCTGCACCCGGCTGCTCGTGCCGCCAAGGTCGACTCGATCGGCGAGGACGATGAAGTCGAGGTCGTCGACGAGCAGCCCCGATACACGCGTGCAGAGAAGGGCAAGTCGGTCGAGTCGGTCGAGTCTGAAGAGCGCTACTCCTCCTCGCCCCAGTCTTCCTCCGAGACCAGCAGCCTCTCTGGAGGTGCTTGCCCCCTCCCCTCTTCCGGCCTGACCCGCGACGACATCGTCTTCCGCGTCTCCACCCTCACCAAGGACCCCCCTTCCCTCGCCGCGGCCCAGTCCACTCTTGCTCAGAAGTTCCCCTCGCTTGCTGAACCCCCGGCGCGCATGTTTGGCGAGGATGGCACTCCTCTTCCCCCCACCAAGAAGGAGGAAATCTCCGCCGCCGAGCGAAAGGCACGACAGGATGCGCTCAAGGTCGAGCTCAAGGGTAGCAAGGTCCATTCGCTCGTCAAGGCCGTCATCGTGCTCGAGAGCCGATCCACCGTGTGGAAGAAGGTCTCTTCTCTTCCCAAGAGGAGCTCCGGCGCTACCCCGCTTCCTCTCCTCCCCGAACTGCCTAACCCTTGGGACCTCGAGATCACCCACGAGGGTCTCGACATCAGCACCATCCAGACCAAGACGCGCAAGTTCCTCGAGCTCCCTCGCAGCAACACCTGTGGTGCATGCCGCAAGTGCTCCGGCTCTGGCAACGAGACGTGCCGCACCTGCCGCGGTGAGGCGGGCAACGAGTGCTTCTGGTGCTCGGGCTCGGGCATGCAGAAGGGTCGCCGCCGCTGTGGTCGATGCCAGGGACAGGGCAAGCTTAGCTGCATGACCTGCGAGGGCAAGAAGGCTTCCACCTGCCGCTCTTGCGACGGTGCTGGCTGTGGCGAGTACACGGCTTTCGTCGAGGTCAAGATGCGCCGCATTGAGGTGCCTGCCGTCTCGGTGGCAGACCTTCTCGGCTCGTCTCAGGCTGCTGCCGCCACTGCTCGCCCTGACATCATCAAGGCTGCCGCAGTCGACATGCTTTGGGAGCTCGTCAAGATGCTCGCCACCAAGGCCACTGTCAAGGCCAAGCGCCCTTACCTGCCCGTCTCGGCGGTGTGCACTTGGGAGAAGAGTGTCTCGTACCTCGCCCAGGTCACCGCGCTCCAGGCAGCCAAGTTCAAGGCCGGCTCCAAGCAGCCCTTCCGCCCCGAGGGTCTTACTCGATCGGTGCCCACCAAGACGCGCTACTTCTCGCTCCCCACCGACCCTGCACTGTCGATCGCCGAGCTCACGCTCGACCAATTCGTCAAGCAGAACATCCCCGAGAAGCACGTCGTCGAGGTCGGCCCTGCTACGGGCGTGCACAACGTCTCGCGCCGCCTCTCGTGCATGCTCCTCGGCGAGGTCTCGGCTCCATCGACACCACAGCTCTCGTCCACCTCGGGATCGCCCAAGTCTTCTACCGACTACTTTGGCGATGTCGCCGGTGCCGCCGGTGCGGTGGTCTCGGTGCCCGTCACCCCTGTTGGTGGATCGCCAGTCTCGTCGCCTGTCATCAGGCCCAGCAGCGTTCGTCCCATGAGCCCCATGCGCGCTCCCCCTGCTCAGTTCAACTCGGACGAGCTGAGGATCAAGATGCTCCGCCACTCGTCGAGCCTCTCGCGCTCCAACTTCTCGCGCCCGCTCACTGCCCCTGGCATCCCCATCTAAGCTGCACAGTCTCGGTAGATGCTCTGTATATCTCTTAACTCGGTCTTCATGTCATCGCAAGGTTCATTAATGTATACCTCAGTTTAGAACAATCTTTCGCGCAACAGCCCTCCGCGAAGTTTCGGCAAGTTGAGATGAACTGCATACATGATCGAGCTTGGCCTGGAGCGTCGTCTCAATCTTTCCGTCGGCAACAGGTTGGCGAGCTGCCACTACCGATCGACGCATCTGGCTGGAGTGAGCCTCAGCCACCGTTTCACCGCCTAGCCGCTAAGGCAGAGGGCGTGGGCGTCGAGGACGAAGATTCAAGCGGAGTCCAAGCTCAGTTCGCGCTCCGCCAGGCGCCTGTTTCTCCTCAAACACGGCGACGCATGCAGAAATGCTCGGCGCGATTTTTTTCGCTCCGACAAATTGTGTTACGCCGGCGTTGGTTAAATGCGAAGTTGGCTTTTCTTCCCCACATCTCCCTCCATCGAGAGATCCAAGGAGTGGAATCGGGCCGCTTCTGCGCCTGCATGTCAAGTTCGGCAGCCCCCGAGAGCCTCAAGGCAAAAAGAGACGTCGTCGCAAAGAAGCGTACATACACCAATGTTTCAATCTCAGAGCTAAACTTGGACGACGAAACTGTACAGGGCGTGACATGTAGCGAGGCAAAAGGCTGGACGAGAATGTGCAACTACAGCCCTCTAGGCCTTGACGGGCTTCTCAGCCTTGACGGGCTTCTCGACCTTGGTAGCGGGCTGGGCATTGAGGACCGGGTCGGCCTGGAAGGTGACGTTGCCGGGGCGGAACTTGGTAAGGAAGACGTTGTCGCGGTCGAGGTAAGCCTGGCCGATGGACTTGGGGCTGGTGAGCTTCTGCTCGACGCGGAAGTTCTTGTCGTAATCGGCCTGGGTGTACCAGTAGAGGCTACCGGTGCGACGCAGGTGAGGGTAGGGGATGAACTTGACGGTCTTGGTCTGCTTGTTGTACCTGACGAGGTCGCGGCCAGCGGTCACGTTGAACGAGCAAGGCTTGGGCACGATCGAGGTGATGTGAGGGCGACGAGAAGGCACAGCGGTAGGGCCAGATCCGCCCAGAGGACCCTCCATGCTGTAGCAGGTGACGAAGCCGCTAGCCTGGTCGGCAGCAGGACGCAGACGACCAAAGGCGTACTTGGAAGTCTCGGTGAAGCCGAGCGACGAGTAGTCGCACTTCTGCCACAGGAACTTGTCGACACTCTTGGCGTCGGCCTCCCAAACGGCGTTGAGGGGTCCAGTGTAGGTGTTGCCACGGGCGGTAGCGTTGCTGTAGATCAGCTGGCCCTCGATGATCTCGGTGCAGTTGAGAGCGGCCTGCTTGGCAGGCAGCTCTCCGGTGTGCTTCTCCAGCGACAGAGTCAGCTGACCCTCAGGCAGAGCCTTGAGCTTCGGCGTGTAGTCGGCCATGAGCCTTCCGAGCTGTCCGTTGAGACCCGGGTGCTGGAGCTCGTAGTGAAGAGTGTACTTGGGCGGGCTCTTCTTGGAGATGGGCTCGTCGCTGACACCCTTGAAGTAAGCGGTGGCGTTGACAGCGTCCGGGCCGTTGGGGATCCACGCAAAGGTCTGCGAGTGCACGACGTGACCCTGCTTGTTGAACCTGCAGGGGGATAGAGTGATCGGCGCGTTTTGAGCCTCCTTCTTGCCGAGGCTGAGACACTGGGTGGTGTTGTAGGCGTCAACGATGTAACCCTCGACAGCCTGGCCCTTGGACTTGGCACCGGTGGACTTGGAGTTGCAGACCGCGTACGAGAAGAGGTGAGGAGCACCGCCAACGACGACGTCGCCAGAGTGAGTCACACCGATAGGCTGGCCGCTGATCTTGAGCTCATTCCACGAGCCGGCCTGGATCTTGTAGGCAGGCTCGGCAGCCTGGGCGGAGCTGATGGCGGTGGCAAGGGCCGCAATGAGCAGGGATTTCTTGAAGACCATCGTGAATAATCCGAGAGGGGGTAGGATGGAGAGGTATGTAGGTGTTAGGGACACGGGAGGCGATGGGGAGAAACGAGGGGATGATCAGGATCGAGCCAGTCTTACACGTTCATGACATGCACTCGATAGCGAGAGTGCAACAGTGAAGCTCCGTGCTCTCGAGCCTCGTACGTCCGCAAGAGTGTCCGTGCACCTAGCAGACTGAGAGCGTGCCGTGGCCTTGGCACGCTTTGGCCCACCGATGTTTTGGAGCTTACTCTTCTTTAGCCCACATTGACTTCATCTCGGTACGACGAGGCGTACGAAATGAGGGGCTCTGCCCACCAGAATGAGGCGCGATCCGTGGCTGAATACATTTCTTGTCTCCCACCTGCTTTTTGTCAGAAAGGTACAGCAGGACGTACCTTTTCGTATCTTTGTTGTCACCAGATTCCCTTTGTGTAAGGTCAGTCATGCCATCGATCATTCAGAGATCAACGACGTGGAGATATCTCCCACTCGGACTTAATCTTGTGCCTTGTCAGCCCACCGAGACGAGGCTTTTGGCGGTCTTGTGGCGGACTGCAACACGCTGTTGCCCACATGGCTTGTGTTGCAGATGAGATGGCGTCGTTCTGGAAGCATCGCCTTCTGTTTAATCAGCAGTGGCGCCGGTATCCTAGCAGCGACGAGGAGATTCGACATGGATCAAGCAACCGGGTCGGAGCTGCGCCACACACAGGGGCCAATGATTGCAAGAGGCAGAGAAAGCGAGAACACGCGTCTAAAATTGCGTCTATGCGAGGTAGCGATCATATGAAGCTGCAGGTCGAATTGGTCAGCTGGCCTGGAAGGTGACCTTGCCAGGTGGGTACTTTGTGAGGTTGGCGTTGGAGCTGTCGAGGTAGACCTGGCCAATTCCGGCGGAATCCCAGACGTACTGGTTGACGCCGTACTCGTCGACGTAGTCGCCCTGGGTGTACCAGTACTCGTTGCCCGGCTCGGGCTGGTCGGCGGGGAAGGGAACAAAGACGAACGAGTTGTCGTTGTTGTTGAGGCGGACGAGCTGCTCGCCAGGAGCATTGTCGGGCGAGTTCCAGCATTCCTGCACCTGGAGGCCGTTGATCCACGGAGAAGCCGTGGGGGTATTGTTATCACCGGTCGCACCATCGTCACCGGTGTACTGGTAGCAGTTGTACTCTCCGTTGGAGAGGTCGGTGCCGGGTCGCAGTCGACCGTAAGTCACGTCGGCGTTGGAAGTGAAGCCGGCGGAAGAATAGTCGCACTGCTCAAAGACGAACTTGTCCGTAGTGCCGGCTTGTGCTTCCCACTTGGCGTTGATGGGGCCCGAGTAGGTGTTGGATGCGGCGGTCTGGTTGTTGAAGAGGATCTGGCCGACCTTCTGCGAGGAGCACTTGATGGGAGGGGGCAGAACAACGGAGCTGGGGATATAGTTGAGGTTGAAGCGCGTCTCGGGGATGGTCTGAGGCTTGTTGGGGCTGTAGCCGACGATGAGATCGGTGTTGGCGCCTCCCTCGCCCCTGAGGTTGTAGGCAGAGTGGCTGGTGCCGTTGACGAAGTTGTTCGACTCGCCGTTGAAGTAGAGCTTGGCAAAGTTGGAGACGTAGCCCTGGGTCCAAGCGAAGTTCTGGGTGGCATCGGCGTGGTTGGCGTCGAGCTTGCAGTCCTGGAAGGAGAAGGTGGCGCCGGTCTGGTCGAGAGCGCTGGCGGTGAGACACTGGGACTCGTCGTAAGCGTTGACGACGTAGCCGATGGTGTCGACGGTGTAGCCCTTGGGATCCTCGTTGTGAGTCTGGCAGATACCAGCCCTGAACTGCTGGGGCTGGCCGCCGACGACGAACTTGCCATCCTCGCCGAGGCTCAGCGCCGCACCATTGATGGTGATGGAGCCGTAATGGCCAGAATCGACCTTGCAGGTAGTGGCGCGCTTCAGCGGAGCCGCCTTGACAGTTGCTGCGGCGAGCAGAGCCGAGAGGAGGAGAGACTTGGGGAAAGCCATTGTGTTTGTGGCGTGTAGGAGAGCGAGTCTGAATGCGAGAAGGAGAGGGGTGTTATTGTTTGCTGATGAGGACGGATAGATTGACGGCTGAGGTAAGGTTGCTTTATTTGTTCTTGCTCATACGACGAGTAGCTATGTTGCAATGAAGGGGTACGCTGCGGCGGGTACGGTACCGTATGTGCTAGCTTCTATGATTGACGGACGGGCAAAAGCCGGTGGCGAGGGTCGTCATGTAGAGCAAAGTGCTTTGTGCGACGTCTGGCAACCTCGGGGAGGGACAGTGGCGGAACTGCGCGGTACGTCTCAGCTTCCGAGGTGGAGGCGTTCCTGGACGTCAGAGCCTCCATGGAACGGACCTGCCGATGGTATTGCTTGGCGAAGCGACGGCTGAGGGCCTGTGCTGCCTCCACCGCCGGCTCAGCTCGCGGCAAGGCAGAGTGGTCTCCAACGGAATCACGGAACGGGGAGGTGAGTCGGCGGAGTGCCGGTAGCGCTGCACACCTAGCCGAGCGAAGTGATCCGAGCAGCCGGCTGCGGTGGTGGAGCGGTCCAACGGGCGCAACACGGTTAGTAATGATGCCGCCTTCTAAATTACGCCGTAGAAGCACGGGCTGAGTTGCAGAGATTGATCGCCAGTGCATGGCATCGGCGAATAATGCTGTCCGTTCCGTTGGGTGCACAGCCCTCGCCTCGAGGAACGGCGACTGACGAGCCGCTGCAGAGAGCTGCGGTGCCTGGGCGGTGAACCCTTGGACGCGGAACTCCGAAAAATTGCTTACTTCCCGTGGCCCAAAAAAAAGCAACTTGCGGGCCACTCTCCTGCTCATACATAGCCAGTATTCCGCTTCTGCGCAACGTCACCGCAGCTGTACGCATGAATTAGAAGCATCGACCCGTCCCGCTCGGCGATACCGCCGGACGACCTCGGCTGTCATCTTGTGCGGAGTTGCGGATTGCGATTCCATCTAGCCTCATTTCAGAGACGAGCAGCGAGGTCAGCATTACCAGTCCTCACCATCACATCCAGCGGAAATCCATCTACATGCACCATTAGCTCAAATTCCATTCCATCGGAAGCACGCCTCTCCCAAACATTCGCGGAAGTATAAGTCAATGGGATTGCGACGTCGCACTAGCTAGCATGACGAGACGTCGGGGCATGTGGAGCTGCGTGCATAGGGTGTTGCGGTCGCACTCTTCAGCGGGAAGATCATCGCTCAGAGACCGAAGAACTGCACGGTGAGGTCGACCCTGGCAGGGTTGTCGTGAGTGACGCCATCAGCAGAGATGGCGAGGACGTCGTGGCCGTATTCGGAGACATGGTAGTTGGGCTTCTGGGCGTCGTCATACTGCTTGGTGGGCTTGTTGGCGTCGAGGTGGTGCAGGTAGGTCCACTGCTTGACGGCCTCGACCTGGTTCTCGTAGTTGATGGTCTGGTCCGCCTTGCCGTGCACCAGCATCATACGAGGGTAGGAGCCCTTGTATTCCTATTTCACCCATCGAAACAAAAGTCAAGTCTTGGTCAGCATCGCGTCCATCCTTTCGACATTGGCGAAATGATAATGTTATACTTACGGGGTACATGTCCTTGGCTTGCTGACCCCAGTACTCGGGCGATTCACGAACGTTACCTCCAGCACAGGCACTGTTCCAATCAGCGCCGGCCTGCTTGTTGGTCTTGAAGCAGCCAGCTGGAACACCCGAGTACTCTGCGCCAGCGACAAAGACATCCGGGTAGGCCGCGGCGAGCACCTCGGTCATCATGGCGCCCGACGAGTGACCAACGACGAAGACCTTCTTGTCGCTCGCGCCGTACTTGGTCTGGGCGTACTTGACCATGTTGACGATGGTCTGAGAGTCTCCGCCGCCATTGTGCCTGAGCGAAGCAGCGGAAGAGACGTCCCAGCAGGCACCAGTCTCACCAGGCGAGCTGGGGAAGATCATCATGAAGCCCTTCTCTTCGGAGGCCTTGGGCCAGTCGGGGTACTCGCGGAAGTAGCCCGGACCCGTACCCGCGCAGTGGTGCACACCGACTACAACCGGGTTGCCCTTCTTGAACGACTTGGGCACGTACGTGTACATGAGCGCCTTGGTCGGCGTACCGGAGAAGCCGGACTCGGGCTGGAAGCCTCCCCACCCATCTCTCGGGTTGAAAACGGATCCAACAGGAGGACTGCCGTGCCCAGAGATAGCGGGATGGTCGTGGGAACCCTGAGGCATAGGCTCGCCTTGCTGGCCTTGAGGAGGAGGGATGCCGGGCTGAGCATGAGGCGAAGGAGACCAATGGTTTCCGTTGGCCAGGGTGTCAACGCTTCCAGGAGGAGGGGCTTGACAAGTGGCCAGGGAGATAGGAGCGACCAGCAGACCAGCGGTCAGTACCTGCCAGACGAAGGATCGCATGGCTGGATGTCGTGAAGAGAGAGGAGACGTAGGACGGAGGACGGAGGAGTAACAAGCCAGACGAGCCTGGAAGAGGATGGAAGGTGTTGTTCAGTCACTCCGACTCACGAAAGCTGCGGATATATACCACCGCAGAGCAGCTACGAAGACGTAGCACCGCTCGTTGTAGCGCCTCAACAATGAGCGGGCTTCTACCCCTCTTCGGCGAGCCACCCACCTTTGTGCAGGGTGCGAAGGCTACTTTGGGGGCGTCAGGTGGGGTGAAGCGCCTCTGTTGCAAGGGTGTAGCAAGCAGCGGTGGGCTTTCGAGTTGCGCGATTCTGAACCACGCCAGTGGGATCGCGTCGAGGGGCTGTAATGGCTGCTACGCCACCGGCGACCCTTACCCCACGCCGCCGCAGAACAAGTGGATAACCGAGCTTGCCGAGGCCAACACACACGCTAGCGTCGATCCAAACCTTGACACACCACCGCCACCACCGGCGAACGCAGCCTGCACCGGCCAATGTCCCCCCGCAAACTGCCCCCGCAAATGCTGTCGAGCTTGGCAGAGTGGAAGTAGTCGCATGACCTGCCGATCCGGGAATCTCGCTGCCCCTTTGGGCTGGGACACTGGCTTCCCGTTTCCTCATATGCAGCGTCGAGGAGCCATGACACATCGCAGTCGAAGCCGTTACAACTGCGACGCCCACTTTGGCATCAACCCACTGCGCCGACACTCGGATGGCTTGAACTTCACTTGATAGGCAGGAGCGATTGATCGAGTGGATCGAGTGGGGTCAATCGGATCGGCGGATGGTTTGTCATCACGACTGTGCTCCCGATCGATGGACGGGTCGCGGCATTCCCGACGGCCGAGCTGTCGCTTCGCTCATCAGCGGATGAGCCGCCGAAAAGGATTCCCGTCTGCGAAATTAGTCGTCCGGCGGAACTCGTCCGCACTTCGCATGAATCTTCAATATGGACCGGACGGATCCGATGCACATCCGCCTGTACTTTTTCGTCGCCTCATGCATGATTCTCCGCCGACTGAGCTTTCTGCGCATTGGTCCGAGCCGACGCAACCTGCTCAGCTTCCTCCATCATCGTCGACTCTGATCGGCATCTCCAGGATTTTGTCAGAGCGGCCCGCCCACAACGCGTGCTTCCCGACCCGGATCCCGATTGGACCCTGGATTTTCCCACCTTCATCTCGAGCCGAGCTGAGTTGAGGCCACCAAGCCCGATCATCGCCGCAACATGGACGCAGAGCAGCAGGAGCCGCTCGTCTTCCACGAGTCGTCCATCCCCGTCGATGGCGCCGCCAAGAAGCGCTCTGGCGGCGGTGGACTGCACTGCTGCGCTGTCACTGCTGTGGTGCTGCTGGCGCTGTTGGGCGGCGCCGTGGTGCTGGGCATCGGGTACCTGGCGCGCCAGATTATCAACGACACAATGTACCCTACGCGCACACATGCGCTCGCCTCGCATCATGCGCAGCGCTTCAACGCCTCGCAGGTGCATCCGCTCATCGATGCGCGCTCCACGTTCCACATGCACGCAACCGTGTGGCAGGACGTCACGGACCTTCTCGCGCGCGGTGGAAGCTTGCCCGAGCGCGACACGCCCTGGGAGCTCGTCGAGACCGTCCTGCCCAAACGAAGCGGCTTGCTGGCGCTCGACAACTACACCCGCACCGAAGCGATCGTTTACGAGGGTCAGATCGGCGGCGACCTTACGCTTGCCGACGAGGTCCACACGTCGATCTCGCTGCGAGTGCCGATCGCGCCGCTGTACACAGCCAACCTCGGCCCTTCGTCGCTGCGCGCTACTTTCAGTCTCTCGGTGCCCGAGCATGAAGCGTCAGAGCTGGGTGCGTTCCGCAATGTGTCGTACATCTTTGGATCGGGGCTACCGATGCTGCCTCGCAGGAAGGATTCGACGCTGCGACCGGCCGAGAGCGACCTCAATACGGCGCTGGCCGATGTGGGCGTGAGTGCGCCGCTGCTCGAGCTCGTGCCTTCGCCCTGGTTCCGCGCCAATGCCAACGGCGACCCAATGGCTTCTACGATCAACATGGACCGCGCCAGCGCCATGTTCAGTGCGCACCCTGCCCAGCTGCGCTTCCTCAATCCCGTCATCTCGGCCGACACCCAGCCAGAGGGCATGCCGGAGCTGCTGGGCTATCGTGGAAACATCGTGGTCCCGCACGTTCGCACGCGCAGCCGCATTGGCATCGTCCGCTCCACCGACGTGTTCGAAAACGCCACCTATCAGGCGCAGCATTTTGCGGCACAGGTGGATGCGGCTCATGCGTGCAGCACACGCGTCGGGGGCGTGTGCGAACGTGCGTACCGCAAACATCCCTTTGAGACGATGCTAACGTTCGAACCGGAGGAGGATAAGGAGGTGCACTACTATGCGCCTGTGCTCACGCAGATGCATCTGCTCGGGTCGGCTCACTCCAAGAGACGCATTCCCAAGCACTTGCCGCTGCCGGGCGAGCCGCTGGCACAGGCGCTCAGGAGCAATGCTAGTGCACAGTGCGAGATCCCGCCCGTCAGCCTGGACGACAAGAGGGAGTACATGCACTTTGACTGGAGCATTTACGTGTCTGCCCACCAGGTTGCGCGTGCGTCGCTGGCAGAGTCGGCCTCGACGACGTTTTACCGTGCCAAACCTGCACCGCTTCGTCAGGGAGAGGAGGGCGACAAGGAGATCGTGGCCAACACCATTGCTGATATGGGAATGGCCACCTCGATGGACAGTAAGTACTTGCCAACTCTGCCTACCCATGAAGATGAATCGAGCTGACTTTGGAGAGAGACAGGGTTCATGACGGGAGATCGCTACCACGCTTCTGATCGACCGGGTCGACTGGTCGCCAGCAGTCTCGCCACGCTAGTGTGGAACGACATTGCCGATCCGATTCGTAAGTCCTTGTTGCGCTTTCTCTTTTCGACTCGGGGCTGACATCGAGTAGTGTTGTTTGTGTACTGGTACACACGTGCCACGAGTGCCGGGCTGTGGGCAGAAGCCCAATGGGCACACATCGCACTTCACATCGGCGGCTTTTTCCTCTGGCTACTTCGACCCTTGTACGCTGAGGCCGAGTTTTCGCTCGTCGAGCTCTTCTTCCAACTGCTCGGACTTGTCTATCTCGTGTACCAAGTATCGACGATTCTGCAACTTGAACGACCGCCGAAGTTCTCCGCGGCTAAATGGTGGAAGCGCAATCCGCTGGCCTTCCGTCGTCGCCGTTTGACGCGCCACGAACGCTCTTCCATCGCCATTGCTCGTTCGATCAACAAGACTCCATTCTACATTGTAAGCCCTCTCCCACCTCCTTACCTTGTAGTATCACTTATTGACCAGCATCACTTATTGACCGGGGTTTGGGTGTAGATCTTCGGGCTGATTGTGGTGTTTCAAATCACCACTGATGATCGAGTTCTTCACTGGGCATCGTCCGATGAGTGTTTTATCGATGATGCACGGGGGACACAACAGGCCGGCACCTCTTCAACCCTCCAAGCAGCCTTTATTGGATTCGCTGCCATTGGTGCTTCGCTCAAACACTCTGTCGAACTAGCTCAGGCCTGGTTCAACTATCGCAACAAGACCTACGCCGGAACGTTCAAGATCACCGCCGTCACACAGCCCGTCGTTGCAGCAACCCTATTTGCAACCCTCTACGCAGAACGTCTGAGCAAACATACCTCGAATTCATACCCCCTAGGCCCACACGCCATCCTCGAAGTCGCAGTCCCCGCAATCCTCGCCGCTCAAGCCGTCGTCTACCCAGGCATCAAACAGGTCAAAGACAAGGACGAGGACAACGAATAGACCCCACAACCCCCCAACCCACTCCGCACAATCTCGAACCGTGCATACCTCCATCCCAAAACGCAACACCACTCAATAACTCACACAGCACATCCAAATGCCAAAAAAAAAAGCTCGTGAGATTTCGTGATTCCGTCGCATGGAGGTGCGACGACTACAAAGACTGCAGGCGCTGCAATGCGCTCTGCACCAGCTGGAGCTGCATGCGCTGCTGAGCCGCGCTGTCATCTGATGCGTTGGGCTCCACCGAGCCCAGTCCCTCCACCACCGCAGCGAGCGGCTCGACAAAGGATGCCTTGTACCCGTCGATGCCCCTGACGATACCGTCGAGTGCCGCGCTCGCAACCCCGGCCTTCGTCTGCATCTCCAGAGAGTACAGGAGCGAGAGCGTCTCGATCAACCCTGCGCCCTCTTCTGCCACTGCTCCCAGTTGCGCCTGCTTGTCTTCTGAAACTCTACCCTTGGTCGGCAATAGCCTTGCTGGTACGACAATAATCTGACCTAGCAGCGCCACAATGCCCTGCACCGGCACCTCGTCGCCATCTTGGCCCGCCTGCATCGGCGCCGTCCACGTCGCCAGCGCCGTGCGAAGGATCGAAATGGCTCCGGCGCGGAGCTGTGCAAACGGCGACTCGCTGATCACCTGGCCCAGCACCCGCACGCTCACCGCCTTTTCGCACCGATCCACCAGCAGACTCGTCAGCAGCTTGAAGCGGATCAGCCGCGCCGACGGGCTGGGCGAGATGACGCTCTGTGTGGCCAGCGTCTGCGCCAAGCACGAGGCCAAGTCGGCAGACAGGATGTACCGGCTCGCGGAAGCGTCGCGCTCCAGCCCGTGCATGCACCACTGCATCCACACGAGGCTCGTGTCCGCCAGCGCATCCTCCTTGCCCTCGTCGAGCTCCGGCGACGCCGCTGCCTTGGTCTGCTCGCCGAGCGCGAGCAGCGCCACGGGCAGCGCAGCTTCGAGCTGGGTTTGCGCACGCACGCCCTTCCACTCGGACGGGCGATCTCGCGCATACCCCGAGTAGAGCAGGTGCACATGCAACACAAAGCCCGCCACGCCAAGCGCCGAGAGCGTCTCGCGCGTGTCGTCGTCCTCGGGAGCGCGAGCCATGCTCGTCAGCGCGCTCGACCAGATCGAGCCCAAATCCACCTCGAGCGACGAGAGCGTCTTGGAGACCTCGGCGAACAGCGGCTCGTTGCGCTTCACCGAACTTGCCTCGGCTCCGGCCGCGATTGCATAGCGCGGATTCTGCGAGAAGAACAGCTCCTCGGCCAATGCGCGCTTGGCGCCGTCCAGATGCGGCAGACACACGGTGACGCCTTGGAGGAAGCGGCCGAGCACCTCGCGCGACGTCTTGCGCACCGGCTCCCTCTCGCACGTGCCCATGCAGTGCAGCTCCCAGTCGGCCACGATGAGCGCCGTCGAGCAACACGTCTTGATCGCCTCGTCGGCGAGTTTCTGGCACATAGCCTCAGCCACTCCGGACATGGCGTCAAGGCCGAGCATGAGACACTGCGGCAGACGTCCAAAGACGGGCGAGAAGCCCTGCGGCTTCTTGGTGCGGATGCGCGGAAGCACCGTGTTCAACAGCCGCATCAGATAGATCGTCTCGGCCGCCGAACTCCATGCCACCTCGCCGCTCGCGACGAGCTCGAAGTAGAGCGGTTGCGTCTCGAGCATCTCGCCGCATCGAGTGTCGACTGCCATGTACACCTCGCGCGATGACGCGTTCTCTCCAAGCAGGTCGAGCAGACGCTGTGCCATGTCGGCAGCCTGGACCGTGCCGCCCGAATCTCGATCTACCACACCGGCTACGGGGGTCAGGCCCTTGAAAAGATCAAAGGAGAGCGCGTCGAGCTCCTGCGCAAAGCGTCCGAGATCCTCGCCCTGGACACGAAGCAAGTACGATGAGACTGCCGAGACTAGCTTGGTGATTTCGTCCCAGCTCGGCGGTTGATCCTCGCGCGAGAAAGCGCCGGTCAAGGCCGCTAGAGATGCAAGCGTGACGGACAAATCGAAATCACCGGCATCATCGGTGGCCGGGGTTTCATTCGGAGCTGAGGCGGTCGCAGTGGCACCCACCTTCTCCCGCAAGTCGACCATAGTTCGAGACTGGGAAGCCGACTGAGCCGTGGTCGAGGGCGACGACTCTTCCTGCACCACGTCGAAGGCGAGGTTCGACGAAGCCCGGAGACGCGGGGGATTCTCTGGGAAGGGTATGCCTGCAGCCGGTGCGGAGACACTGCCCGCAGGACCCAATGAGCGACCGCGGGAGTATTGCTCGTGATCGTCGCTACCATGCGATATGGTGCTGCGCTGTTTGCCTGCGCCCGCCGGTATCTCGGACCACGTCGGGCGGAAAGGAGTCGTAGGCGTCTCACCGACGTCTGCATCCTCACTCGCGGCTCCAGCAAGACCCGAAGCCAAGCGATACGAGGCGTGACGGCGCCGGCTCGAGCCAGGGCGGCGCAACTTGAGATCGAGCGCACCGGCAGAAAAGCCGGTATCGGAGTCCTCTCCCAGCACCGCTTCACGCGCACGCAAGTCTGGGCTTGCCCAGAGCGCGCCGGCGTCATCGTAGTCGGGCTCGATGTCAGGATTGTAGTCGGTGGTGGTGCCGCCAATGCTGAGCGCCTTGCGGACCGCATCGAGAGCGCGCGTGTCGGTGACATGCACAAAGACCTTGTTGGATGCGTGACTGCGATGCGAGGCGCTCATTCCACGAGCTCGGCTCGACTTGCGCGAGCGTGCACGGCTGGTCGCCCTCGAGTTGGGAGCCGACTGGGGCGACGGACTGTTCTGCGCCGAACTCTGCTTGGCAGCGAGGCGGAGCAGCTCTGGAGATGTCTCGATGGTGAGTCCGAGGCTGCTGCGTTCGAGCTCGTGAGGGTCTCGTCGATGACGGTCGCCTTCGCGGTGAGACGCCATACTTCCATCGCGTTTCTTGAGATTGCCATGCGCATGAGCGGGACTGGCTGTACGACTTGCGCGAGGTGTGGTGTGATTCGAATCGATCATGGCTTTGCGGGACGGATGGATGGCGGCAGCAAATTCGCTGTGTGCGTTGTGCAGTCTGCCGAGGCGCGCAAGACTGTCGGTACTGGCATCGCGGTGCAGCTCGCGCGCGTCTCGGTCGGCGCCAACGGCAGACGAGGCTCGCGAGCGTGTGCGTTGGGAGCGACCGGCGACGCTGGAGGAGCGGCTGTACGATGGACGCGGGCCGACGAAGCTGACGTGTCCAGAGGGGCGTCGTGGGAAGCGGAGGACGAGGTAGAAGGTGAGGCACTTGACATCGCCTGCTTTTCCTGATGTGCTGCTGGAGCCTGAGACCGGAGCATTGGCGGGCGTACCGGGTGGCCTTGGCATGCCGGTGGCGCGCAAGCTCTCGGGTTTGGGTGGTGTAGAGAGCGAACGTCGATTGGCAGGGCGTCTGCCGAAGCTGAGCGCGCTGAAGATGGACTGCACCAGGCTCTGAGGCTCCTCGTCGGCTTGGTCTGCGGGCGGATCGACGAGCTCGAGGACACACTCAAAGATGTGAATGTGCGAGTACGGATCGCGCTCGGATCGGGCGGCTTGAATCGGAAACGGCGTGCTGGGCGAAAGTGTGGCGGGCACGACGCATCCTTCTGACTGGGCAGACACGGGCGTGTCGCCAGTGCGAGACGCTGAAGAGCCCGAGGCGGAGGCACTTGCACCGGCAGCGGCTGTAGGCGCATTGGCGTTGTTGAAGTCTTGGAAGGCCGCGTCGAAGGGACCGGGCGTGGGTGGAAGACTGGCGCTAGAGCTCATGTCGGGCCAGCAGTGATAGAGAATGCCAGCGCATCGGAGGCAGTACTTGATGTAGGAAAGCACGCGCTGGGGCGGCTGGTAGCTCGGGTTGCTAAGCAGGAGGCTGGGAGCGGGCGAGAGGTTGGCATCCGAGACGTCGACATTGGCGAAGGTGGGCGAAGTGGGACGCGAATTCATCGGAGTGGTGCGCTTTGAGGCAGTCGGAGTGGCGCCGCTGGGGAGAAGAGGCGAGGTGAGCGCCGCCTCGGCTGCTGGACCGACGACGAGCGGAAGGTTCATCTTGTGCTGCGGCTCGACGGGGATGTAGGTGGTGCTTTTGAAGTCTTTGACACCGCGGTTGGGCTCGTCGGTGGACGAGTCGAGCGCGTTGACGAGTTCGTCAAAGTAGCGCATACGACGCTCGCCGTTGATCTCGAGCAGCTTTGCGACGCGGTCGCGGAGCTCTGGATCGTGGATGGTGGCGACGGCGCGCTGGGCACGGATGGCCATGGAGCGTACGCTGGTGTGGGAAGCGCCGATGGGATAGCGGACGCCGGTGAGCAGACGGAGCATGGTGATTCCGCACGTCCATGCATCGACTTCGGGCCCCCAGTAGTGGACGGTGCCGACGGGGTTGCGGAGAGCGGTGACGATCTCGGGGCAGTGGAAGGCGGGGCTGCCGCAGCAGGTGGAGAGCTTTGCGTCGCTGCGGCTGAAGTGGGTGGCGAGGCCAAAGTCGAGCAGCTTGAGCTGGAGGGTATCTGGATGTACGAGGATGTTTTCGGGTTTGATGTCGCGATGACAGATCTGAAGCGGATGGTGGATGGCGTGCACGGCGGAGAGGAGCTGGTCGAGGATGCAATTGGCGACGCCGGTGGGCAAGATGGGGTGATGGGGCGGCGACTGTTCGGAGCGCATGGGAAGGAGAGCCTCAAGGGTGACGTATCCGTCAAGATACTCCTCGACGAGGTAGAAGTGGCCGGGAGTGCGTATGGTCTCGTAGACGTTGACGAGGTTTGGGTGCGGAGGGAGTTCGGCCAGCAGCGTGGGCTCGCGGAGAAGGCGAGTTGCGATCAAGGGGTGATGGGGAAAGAGCGGGGTATGCTTGATGGCAAAGAGCTGAGGATCTCCGGTGGGACCGTGTGGCTTGGACGCGAGAAAGACGCTGGAGAACTTGCCGCGACCGAGGATCTTTGGGAGAAGGGTATATTCGGAGATGCCTCGTGTGAGGAGCTTGTCGGCGGAGGTGACGATGACGGGATCGTGACGCCGCGACTGGACCTCGTCGAGCGAAGGGAGGACGCGTGCTGCGGCCCATGAGCGCGATAGTCTGGGTGGCGTGCGACGCTCCTTGGAGCGACGAGGTCGAGTGTTGGAAGAGCTTGAAGAGGCTTCGAGCCCGTTGCCGTTGCCGTTGCCATTGCCATTGCCATTGTTGTTGTTGCTGCTACTGCTGCCGCTGCTGCCACTGCTTGGCGGGATGCTGAGACCGCTTGTACCGGAGCCGGAAGCGGAAGCGGGGGTGTTGGCGCGTGTGCTTCGAGTGGAAGTGTCGTTGGAGCCCGAGGAAGGACCTGCATCGGCGTCGTCATCGCTGAGGTCGGGGAGTTTGAGCAAGTCGAGGACGGCGCTTCCCGCGCCCCTGGTCTTTTCCCACGCTTCCTGTTCTGCGAGCTTGGCGGCGGCGGCGGCCTTGAGACGCTGACGCTCGCGTTCGGCTTCGTCGAGGGATGCGGGATGGGTGGGATCGACGTGATGGCGGGGCTGGGTAGGGGCGCCGTGCGGTGATGATGGTGGCTCGGAGGGACGCGTGTAGGGTGGGGCTGCCGAGTGGGTTCGCGCAACGCGGTGGGATTGCGCGCGTTTGTAAGGCGGATGTGTTGGCGCAGGCATGTTTGCCGAGGTGGATGCTGAGGAAGCTTGGTTGGATGGGTGTGGTTGTGGATGCGATGCACGGTTGATGGGCAAGGATGGATTGGAGACGGAAGCAAACGACTTGAGCGTGGCGAGCGAGCTGGAGCGTTTGTGTGCTCTGAGGCTGTCTGTGATCTGGCGTCGCTCGAGGGAGGTCAAGGTTGAGATTGCGCTTCCGGTGGCATTGACGTTGGCGGTGGCCGAGGGAGGGTCGGCGATGCTCGAGCGATGACCTTGGGATATTGTACGGAGCGGAGGCGCGGGTGCTGGCGACGAGGAGCGGCTTTGCCTTGCTGAGGAGGTGGCCGAGCCGGGAGCGCTGCGCAGGGAGCGAGTGGATGCAGAGGGAGCAGGCGGCGGCGCCAATGGAGTAGGTGGTGCAGGCGCGGTTGGGAAAGCGATGGTGGCGACGGAAGCGGCGTTGGCGATGCTTGCTGCTGGAGGGGGTGGTGGCGGGGGCGATGGTGGCGAGGTGGTAGCCAGATGAGGTTGTGAGAAGGAGGAAGAAGGGGCCGAGGCCGACGACGAGGAAGCCATGGCGGCGAGAGTGGGCGGCGGCGACCTGGAGTTGGAAGCGTGGAGCGGGCCGACTGCCTCGTGGACGCCGGAGGAAGCCGGATTCATGGCGGTCGCTGAGTCAGTGCTGTGCACAATGGACGGCGACAGCGGCGATGAAGAGCTATGCTTGCCAAGGCATGAGAGCGGGTGGGTGCGGTATCTGCGAGTGTTTGTGTGGCTGCGGGCGTGGAAGCGAAGCCAGGCGTGACGTGGTGGTGACGCCGGCTCGGGAGCACAGGCGAGCTCTAATGGGATGCTGGGCAGGCGAGCAGGCCGAGGAGTGAAAGCAGTCGGAGTTTGTTGGCGGCCGGCTGATAGCAACGACTAGCTCGGAGGGGCCTTCACAGGTGACGGACAGACGCGCGGAAGATGCAGCGTTTGTCACAAACCCAAACGAGCGGCCGAGTGACCGAACCAAGCTGAAGGCGCGTGTTGGTCTGAGATTGGGGCGCACCGTTTGTGGCTTGCCGGTGTGTCGCAGTCGCCGTCGTGGTTGGAGCAGAGCGTCGAAGCGCTGACGGGCGGTTCGGGTAAGGTGATTGTAGGAGAGATAGAGTGCGTGGATTGCGATAAGCTGCGATGACGGGACGCGACCGCCGAATCGCGGGGCAAGCTTCGAGAGCCAAAAGCCCAGAGCCCAGAGCCCAGAACGCTCAACGCAAAGACACCGCGTGGGAAGCGAGCCGAAACGAATCGGCGGCGCCGAATTGCGAGCAAGCGAGCGAGCGGGCGGGCGGGCGGGCGGACAAACGAACAGACGTGCGATGATGAACGTCGAGAGAGATAGAGATAGCGACGCCCGCTCGCCAATCGGTGTTGCTACCAACCAATCAACCGACCAAGCCAAGCTGGCTCAGCACTGCATCAGTGCCCTCCCACCAAAAGCCAACAGCAGCGCGCGGCTGATAAGTGCAGGGGCGTGGGCGTGGACGTGGGCAGGAGCGAGAGGCACATGGAGCCGTGCGTTCGGGACGCGCTCTTGACCTCGCCTGTGTTTGAAAATTCAAGAAATCAATTTGACATTTTGCACGCCTCGATTGCCACGGCACATCTGCCCCGCCATGTTGGTCTCTCGCTGCCCCTCTCTCCCTCTCCACCTCTGCTCGCTCTCTCGTCGGCGCTGAAGCGGACCCTAGCCATCGAAAGATAAGGCGGAGTGCAATTAAGCATGTGAACCGCCTAGCCTCGCCCTGCCCTCACGCCAACCCTCGAAAGTTTGACGTCCATGCATCCTCTTCGCCACACAACGGCTGCAAGTGTGCAAGTGCAAGCGCAAGCGCAAACCTGCAATGTCGGCATTGTGGACAAAGCGAGGTCGACTCAGGTCAGCTCAGGCACCAAAGCCAAACTGGAGAGGCCAAAAACGAGCTCAGGATCGACGACGCGCGCCTCACCTGCAGCTCTGGCCTCACAGCACAATTTGGCTGAGGCGAGCTGCAGTCGAATGCACGCGCCTGCAGCCCCTCAGCCACACACACGCACACATGCTCAGCTGGAGTCGAGTGCGGGAAATTTGCAGCTTCTCCCCTCAGCCTGTCGTGCTCTCAATTTCGGTGCATTTCCGGTGAAGCGCTCCGCTGCGATCGGAAGCGTGCCGGCGTGTGTGTATTGTAAGTGTACTCTGTGTGTGTGTTCGGAAGAGCCGAGCGAGCCTGCGTGACTGGGCGAATCTCAAAAGGAGTGGTGAATAGCTCGCTGCATCTCCCCACCAGCAACGGAGCAACGGAGGTGGGGCTTCGGGTGTGCACCGCTTTCGGATGTAGCGGTCGCCTCGTTCCGTATCGCCTTTGATGCAGCCCTTCTTGGCAGGGTCCCTCGCGGCCTCTTTTTCCGACTGCAGCTTCTGCGAGGTCCAATCCCTTGCCGCCTGCTTTTGTGTCAAAACGCCAATCACGCGCCCATGAATCCGTTGCATACGATGGCATTCCCGCGTGTGCAGCTTTATTTTCTCTGCCGCAGCCGCATTCTCAATCGCTCGCGGCCGATCTTGCTTCGGCACAATCTAAGCCACACGCCCCCTCCTATTGTCGCGGATGCATGGCGACGACAAGGCAAATCTAGAATTCAAAGTCATCGTCCGCAGCAGGCTTGCGTGGAGCCTCGTCGTCGTCGTCGTCGTCGCGCGCATCGGGTGCCGGTGCCGCCTTTTGCTGCTCAAAGTACATCTTGGCCAGCATGGCGGGTGTGCTGGCCTGCTCCACCGTCTTGTCCTCTCGCCGACGCATGAAGCGTGGAAATCGGATCGACAACCCGCGCTCTTCGTTGACCAGCCCGATCGCCGCCGTATAGTTGGGGCTCACCGTCACATCCGCACCGCGGATCTCCCACACCTCGCTCGGTCGCCACCAGACGTCCGGGAACAAGTTGCCCGTATCGACCTCGTAGCCGAAAGGAGGCGGCTCGCCGTACCGTGCACGCACGCACGATTCGCTCCCTTCCGCATACCGCACGTTGAGCTCCTTGTAAAAGGCATCGGTGAAGCCAGAGATGCACTTGCACACCGCCTGCAGCACGCCTGTCCCCGGCTCGTACAGCGCCAGCAGCATCGGCGACCACCACGTCGCTTTGCGCCCCATCCCATGCCACGCACCGATCGGAACCACATCCAGCGAGTCGCCCAGTCCGTCCACATAGTCCTTCTTCACCTTGAGCCACGACTCGCACCGCTTGTCCGGCTCGTACGTCGACAGCAGCGCCTTGCCGCGTCCATTGACGCCCTTGCCCACCTCGCCTGCTACGTGGCTCGCACCTCGCCCCGCCTCGACTGTGGCTACCGCTTCGTCCTCGTTGTCCATCGCCAGGTCGTCGTCCACCACGTCTGCCAGCTTGTGCAGCCGCGCACTTGGTGGTGAGCTGCCGTTCTCGCCATCGTCGTCCTCCTCCTCGTCTTCCTCTGCATCGTCTTCTTCTACTGGCTCACCGACACCGTCCTGGTGGCTCGGGCGCGGTGCCTCCCAGTGATGGTCGAGCGACTTGACCATGATGCCCTCGCACTTGTATTCCTGCGCCTGTGCGAAGAAGCGCGCCACTTGGTCGGCATCGGTGCTCTCGCACGAACGCACGTGTGCGAACCGCGCGATCAGCGGGCTTTGCGGCGACAGCGGCGGGAAGCGCGTATGCAGCAGCCGGCGGCGCGTGCGAAATGACGACTTGAGCAGCGACTCGCCGTCGAGGTACATGAGGTCGAACGCAAAGACACCCACCTTGACCTTGATCTCGTGCAGAGAGACGTCCTTGCGGCTGCGGTTCGCCAGCGTCTGGAACGGAAGCAGCCGCCCATCCAGGTCCATGGCCACCACCTCGGCGTCCATAATGAACGAAGTCACCTTCTGCCGCTCTGCCGCCGCCTCGGCCTCGAGCTGCTGCCCCATGAGCAGCGGCACCATGTCGGTGATGTCCGGGTACTTTTCAGTCATCTCTTCCAGATGGCGCGAGAACAGCCTCACGTACACCTCGCCGTTGGTGCCCACCCACTTGCCGCACTTGACGGCGCCGTTGCTGCTGGCGGTATCGTCGCGCACACTGCGCCTTGCCTCCGCGCCGGCACTTCTGGGCACGTAGATCGCGTGGATCTGGCATCGCTGACCGTCGTACTTGAACTCGGACACGAACGCGCGCGCGCCGAGCTTGGCATGCATGGCGCCGAGCGAGCGCGTGATCGAGCCGAGCATAGGCGAAATCGGCGTGCCAATGCGCAGCGGCACATGCTCCGACAACCCTGGCAATCCGTGCTTCAACAGCGACGGTACGATCACGCCAAAGTTCGAGTGGCGCGCACGCACTTCTCGCACCAGCTTTTCGGCTCGAGCCAATCGCTCCATGAGTACGAGACGCTGCGGATCCTGGCGTTCCTTGGGCTTGGTTGCATTGGCGAGGATGCCACTGCGCTCGCTCGGATGGACGAGCAGCATATTTGCGCGTTCTCGCTCCTTGTCATTGCTCGGTGGCGTCAAGGCCGTCGAGTGCTCGACGAGCGCAAAGGTGCGCGCGAGGGCGGTGGCGATGGTGGTTCGCACCGCCTGGATGCGCAGATGGCTGATAAACGTGCGCACGAGGAAGCGCGTCTCCTCGCCCCGACTCGCAACGAGCAGTTTGGTGACCACGCCGAGCTTTTGGTTGGCACTGCCCGTGCCGCCGAGGCGTGCGATGCTGTGCAAGTTCTGAAACAGCCGCTGCACGGTGATGGGCGGCGGACGCACGAGGGCCTTGACGTCCTTCTTGGCCTCGTACGCCACGTCGCCCGGATCGCCGGTCTTGTCCCAGACCTGCTTGAGGAAGCGCGCCGACTTGCCCGTGACCGACTTGATGGCTTTGTTGACGATCGACCCGCCCAGGCCGAGCTCGACGCCGTCGTACGGCGGTGCGATGTGGTTGCTCACCAGGTACACCGTGGGCAGCAGCGAGTCCGGATCGTGCGCGCGCACCGTGCGCAGCAGATTCGTCAGCAGCGTCGTGATGGCCAGCCGCGAGCGCGTGGCCGAGATGAGCACGAATGCGTGCGTCAGCAGCGCATACGGCGTTGTGGGCACCAGCTCGCCGTGCTTGCCCGCGACATGCGGCCACGCGGATGTATCCACCGCCGAAGGGTCGTACACGAAGATGTCGTCGCCAAGTGGAATCGCGTCGATCGCTGCATCTAAGGCGACGAGATCGACTGGTTTGGCGGCTGATGGTGGCTTCTTGGATGGCGAAGGCGGCGCCGAAGCATCCATCGCGTGAGAAGCAGGCTGGAAATTCGAAGCGCCTGCAGCAGCGCCGTCTTTAGGCGCGGGGTCTCCAGACCACTCTAGATGGAGCCGCCTGGCCATATCCTCATCAGCTCTCATGCGAGCGCGATAGTCCTCCACCGAAACGCCAGCATCCTGCGCCGCAAGCTCTGCTGCAAACTGCGCATCCTTCTCTTCCTGCGACGTTGCAGCCAGATCGACGTCCCCAACTTGGGCCTTTTGCTTCCCTCGGGCGGTCTCGGATATCGGTGAGGTAGGTTCAGCGGCAAAGGTCGGTTTGGATGCGATGGAGGGGCTGGTGAAAAAAGAGGTGAGCGCGGACTGGTGCGGCGCCTTGAGCTTCTTGGTGGGAGTTGCCGGGGTGGACGATGCCGAGTTGGAGCGCTTGTGAGGCGCCATAGCGGCGGTCAAGGGCGACACGAGGTGAACGCAGCCGTCGTCATGGGTTCATACCACGTCGGCAGTGGTTGAATCCGGCTAAGGTGTAGTGACGGTCTCTAGGGTTGAGGTGATGGTGGCCATCCGGCAACATGCACTCGGTACGACCCCCCACAAAGAGGAGAAATGTGGAGGCTGAGCTGCGCAACTGGCGCGCTCGGCACTCGGAAGTCGTTCAAGCGCTCTTTGTCATTTTTTGACAGGCTGCGATTCTTCACTTCCTCTACTGTCCTTCACCCTCACTCCTCTCTCCTTCGATCTTGACCCTCGGCATGTTGGCGCAAGCGACAAGACGCGGGACGGCTTGTGCTGTGGCATCGGCCACTCCCACTCGCATAAATCTGTCGCGCACCGCCAATCCGCTTGCTCGCCCATCACATCGGACATTTGCTAGTACGAGCACCTCACGCTCGCACGAGAACCCGCTCGGGCTGCCGCGCAACAACCAGCGCATTCCACCGACCATGCCGCGGCGCGGAGGGCCGCCTCAACCACGCCGCATCCCGCACGTCAAGCACGTCGTCTGCGTCTCGTCAGGCAAGGGCGGGGTGGGCAAATCCACGATCTCGTCGAATCTCGCGGTGGCACTCGCGCACACGCAGCGTCCTGGCACACGGCGGCCAAGAGTAGGGCTGCTGGACCTGGACATCTTTGGGCCGAGCGTACCCAAGCTCATGGGACTCGAGGGGATGGGCGAGGCGGAGCTCACGCGCGACGGAGCGCTGATCCCTTTGACGAATCACGGCGTGCGGTGCATGTCGATGGGGTTTCTCTTAGGCAATACGCGAGCTGACGCGGATGGGGAGGAGGAGAGGGTGGTGGCATGGAGGGGGATGATGGTGATGAAAGCGACGCAGCAGTTGTTGTTCGACGTAGATTGGCGGCAGGATCCGCACGCCGCGCGCACGAGTACCGGTGGTGGGGAGGAGGGAGGGTTGGATGTGTTGGTGATCGACATGCCGCCGGGGACGGGCGATGTGGCGCTGTCGCTCGCGCAGCTGGTCGAGGTGGATGCGGCGCTGGTAGTGACCACGCCGCAAGAGGTGGCGCTGCTCGACGCGCGCAAGGGCGTCGCCATGTTTCGCAAGACCAACGTCCCCGTAGCGGGGCTCGTGCTCAACATGAGCCACTTTGTCAGCCCCGACACCGGTCGCGCGTTCGAGCTGTTTGGCAACGCAGCGGCGGTGGAGCGGTATGCGGACAAGCAGAAGATCGAGGTGCTTGCTAGGATTCCGCTCCAGCCGCATGTGAGTGCCGGCGGCGATAGCGGCACACCTGTGACGCTCAGGGAGACACTCGAAACGCAGGATGCGGACGGCAAGGCTCTGACGCAGGACAACCTCATCCGAACGGCGTTTCTCGACCTTGCCCAGCGCGTGTGGACGCGTCTGCAATCATAGCCTACATTCCTTTACGATGACTAGATTCGCATTCGACTCGAGACAGGATGTGCAGGGGAAACAGGCCAAGTGTGAATGTGCACGAGGGGAGGAGGCTAGGGCTTGGCGGGGGTGACGTTGGCCTTGGATTCGAGCTGGCGTTCGAACTCGAGTGCCTGTTTGAGTTCGGCCTCGAGCATTGCTCTGACCTCCTTGCTTGCCGGTTGGAGGGGCATCCTGCACACCCCCGCGGGGTAATACCACCTCTCGAGCGCCGCCTTGGTGCCCGGAATCCCCGCCTTGAACAGGACCCAGTCTGCATGGCTGACGATCTTCTGCACCTGCTGGGCCTGCTGCAACTTGGTCCAGTCCTTTTCATCGATCGCCTGGTTTGTGAGGTTGTAGAGATGGACGAGGGTCCTGGGGATGATGTTACCCGAGCCTGCGATGACTCCGTTCATGCCGGCCATCATTCCGGGGATGATGATGTCTGCAAAGCCGCTCCATACGTGGAATCCGGGTCGGGTGATTGCAGCTGCTACGCGCGAGGCTTTGCCGATGGAGGCGCAGGTGAGTTTGGTGCCGCAGATGTTGGGGTGTTGGGCGATCTCGATGAGCTGGTCCGAATCCAAATCCACACCGCCCACGCACGCGGGGAAGTTGTATACCATCACCGGGATGGGCGACTCGTCCGCAACGGTCGTGAAGAACTGCTTGACCGCGAAACGGTCCTTGGCCATGGCGCCTGCAAAGTAGCCCGGAAGGATCACGATGGCTGCATCTGCACCTGCGCGGGCTGCATCGCGACAGTTGGCAATCGTCTCTTTGACCGACCCCGTGCCCGTACCGGCAATGATCTGGGTCGAAGAGAGTCCGGCTTCAGCGAGGTACTCGCGTGCGGATCGCACCAGTTCGAATCGTTCCGGCGTAGAGAGATGGATCGCTTCACCATTGGTACCCATAATGACCAGTCCGGAGCCGGAACCAGCAAGACGGAGCACATGCGTCTTCCAGGCGGCATAGTCGATTTCCTCGTCCGCAAGGAACGGTGTCGCCAGTGGCGTCCACACGCCTCCGTTGAGCGGTGCAGCCTGGTATCCGTTAGTAGTCTGTGTCATCGCAGCAAACAGTGGGTGTGGGGGACGGGAAGGTGGAGCTGGAGGGAGTTGGGGAAAGGAGGGCTTGCGGGTATATATGCCCGAAGGCGGGGGGGAGGGGGAAGGGTGATCTCGCGCGGGGCGGCAAAGTGGGGTTGCGCGGGGGGAGCAGAGGGAGGCGGACAACGAACCGAGAGAGTGGGGGGAAAGTGCACAAGGCGCGCGGTCATGGTGCGCAGCTTCCGCACCTTTTGCGCAACCCTCTCCTCCCCCGCAACTGTCGTACAGCGAGAACGTGGGGGAAATCCACCTTGCCACCCGCGTCTCTCCCCCCACCCACACCACGTCCCTTTCTTCTTCACTTGTTGACACTCACACCCGTCCATGTGCTGCTGAGCATGTGTAGCGTTTGGGACGAGTGTGTGGGTTGGAAGCTGGGGTTTGTGGGTTGTAGTGTTGCTTTGGTGCTGCCAGGGCAAAGGGGTGGTTGTTGGGTTGGGCTCGCTCCCCCACGTCGACGCGCACGCAAATCTCAGCGGCCCACTGCGCCCTTCCGAACCGAAAGCTTTGTACGCCCGTCGCACATCGGCCAATTTCGCGCTGTTTTTTCACTCCGATCCCGGCCCCCGCCTTCCCTCGCGCACAGACACCATCTCTCCCCTCCCCGCCCCCTCTGCGCAGCAATGACGCTCACTTCGCCCTCAGCATGCCTGCGGTTCGTGCAGCGTATCTGTCGTTCGTTCCAGTCCATCTCGGGTCACGATGCAGTCACCATTCCCCAGCTCAAGATCAACAGCGCCCGGCCAGGCTTTGTCGCAGCCACGTTTACCATTGGCAAGCACAACCTCAACCGCCTAGGCTCGCTGCATGGAGGTTGCATCGCCACACTCACCGATACTATGGGATCCCTAGCCATCGCATCCAAAGGGCTCTATTCGACGGGCGTTAGCACGGATATCAACACGACCTACGTCAAGGCTGCAGGCACCGCAGGTACCACGATCAATGTCCAGGCCCATCTCATCAGCATGGGCAAGACGCTGGCGTTTACAAGGGTCGAGTTGCTCCATCAAGACAGCGGTCAGCTACTGGCGTATGGAAGCCATACAAAGTACATCAAGGCCGCCATGAGGGATGCTGAAAACGTCACTTTTGATCCCGACGGTCAGAATGTGGTCGAAGGAAAACAACCCCAAGAATGGAAGTAGATGCAATCGTAACATTCAAATGCGATCAGGGAAGAAGGAGGATCCAGCGACCGTCGACGAGCTTCTGCTGAGCACGGAGGGCGGGTAGAGGCCAACCGAGGCCGCCTGCCAGACCGTCATTCTCGCTGCCCACCGCGTAGGTCGAGGTGACCACGACTTCCCTCGTCCCCGCCTGGCCCGCCTTGACCGCCTGCACGCTCGCCTTGACCCCCTCCACGCCCCCCTCGACCGGAACGGGCTTGCTGAAACTACACAGCGCGCGGCCCAGCGTGGTGAGCCAGGTGGGATTGATCTTGGTCAGTGTCTTGAGCCACACCGTTCCCTTTTGCGCGTCCTCGCCCCCCGCGGCCACGCGCGGTTGACTGCGGTGCACCTCGCCGAACACCACCCAGGCAGGCGGGGTGGTGTGGTAAAACGCCGAGGTCGGGTGGACGAACGCGAAGCCGGCGACGCCCATGGCTTTGTACGGCACGCCGCGCGTCGACTGCATCCGATCCCCGCCGCCCTTGGTGCGCAGCTTGAACAGCATCTGATCCGTCCGCTCGTCCGCGTGCGCCACAGACGCTGCAACCACACCCTCGTTCGAGATCAAATCGGCACGCACCGCCACTTGATCGATGTACGCCGCGGCTAGCAGCTGCCGGATCACCTTGAGCTGCACCTCGCTCGGCGGGGTCAGCTTGGGATCCGCCAGGCCGCGAGCGAGGTTCGGAAAGGTGCCGCCGATGAGGCTGCATAGCTGGGCACGCAGCTTGTGGATCTCCTCCATCGCCTTGGGGCGCAGGAAGTTCTTGTCGCAAAACGCAACGCTGCCCCCGGCGTACTCGTACGCGCCCACCACGCTCAGCAGCCGGAAGGTGTCCGAGAGTCCAGCGCCCAAGGCCTCGAACTTGCGCATGGTGGCAAAGTACTTGGCGCGCCGAGCCTTGCGCCGCTCCTTGTCGAGCAGCTCAGCGTTGGTCACGTTGCGCAGCTCGGCGTCGAGCTCCTCGTCGCCGTCCATCGTGCCGAACGCACGGTCGTAGTCGTCCCCCTCCTCCGCCGCTGATGAGGCGGGCGCACGGCGGTCACCGTACTCTTCGTCCAGCAGCTGCTCGCGGATGAACGGATCCCCGATACTCAGCGCCGCCACCATGGCCACGATGTACGGCAGGCAGCCGTGCTGCTCGCCCTGCGCCAGCATCTTGGCGTACCGCGGCGCTACGGGGAACAGCGTCATAGTGCGCCCGAGCTCGGTCACCTGCGCATGCTGCACCTTGCGCAACCCCTTGCCCACACTCACCGACGCCACCGCAGGCGCAGACAGCGCACCGAGGTGCGTGAGCACCTGCTCGGCCTTGCGCAGCGCCACGCGATCCGGTGGCGTGGGGAACGGAAAGTTGGCCACATTGTCAATGTTCATCGCCTTCATCGAGAGCACCAGCCCATCGACGGGCGTGCGCAGGATTTCGGGGCGAGAGAACTGCGCAAAGTGCTCCTCGTACACCGCGCTCGAATACAGCCGGTAGCAGTGACCCGGGCCGGTACGACCCGCTCGACCCGCGCGTTGGGAGGCAGACGCCTTGCTGATCCACGACACTTCGTACGACTGCACACCGCTCGTCAGGTCGTACTTGCGCTCCTTGCTGCGACCGCAGTCGATGACGTACCGGATGTTGGGGATGGTCAGCGACGTCTCCGCCACATTGGTCGCCACCACCACCAGCCGCGCATCGGCGGGCGGCGCGTCAAAGATGCGCATCTGCTTGTCTGTGGGCAGCAGCGAGTACAAAGGCAGAATGTGCATCGGCACGTCGCTGTCGTCCTTCAGCTCGTCGGGCAGTGCGTCGTCGTCGCTACCATCGGCTTCATCGTCCGTATCCAGCGCATCCGGGTCCGCATCGGCAGCACCATCATCAACATCGGCCGCAAGGTCGCGGTCCACGCCCAGATCCACCTCTTCCGCCTCTACGTCCGCATCGCGCGCCGTGATCTTCATCTTGGCATCCGCGTCCGCATCGGCATCTTGGTCCTCGATGCTGTTGCGGCGGCGACCTGTGCGGTTTTGGACGCGCTCGCGCTCGCGCTTCTTGCGCTCGATCGCACGGCTCCCAAAGCGCGCCTCGAGCTTGCGGCACACGCTCGTGATCTCCTGCTGTCCCGTGAGGAAGATCAGGATGCCGCCGGGAGGCAGTCGCGCATGGATCTTGGTCGCCTTGTTCACCGACTCGCCAATGTAGTCCTGCACCGTCTTGCGGTTGAAGTGCAGCGTGACCTCGTGCTGTCGCGTGTCGATGTTGACCACGGGCGGTGGGGTGGTGAAGAGCGTCGTGTTCTCGGTAAAGTCGGCGACGCGGAGTGTGGCACTCATGATGATGAGCCGGAGTGGTCGTGCATCCTTCTCTCCCTCGAGCCAGCGTTTCTCGCGCAGCCGGACGATGCGGCTCAGCACGCCGATGAGCACGTCGGTGTTGATGCTGCGTTCGTGCGCCTCGTCCACCACGATGGCGCTGTACTTGGTGAGCAGAAAGTCGGCCGCCAGCTCGCGCAGCAGCACACCGTCGGTCATGAACTTGATCGCCGTGTCCGCGCTCACCGTGGCGTCGTATCGGATCTGGTGCGACACGCGGTCTGCGGGCAAGCTGAGCTCCGAGGCGACGCGCTGCGCCATGCTCACCGCCGCAACTCGACGCGGCTGGGTCACGCCGATCATGCCCGGATTGAGACTGTTCTTGCTGCCGAATCCGGCCTCGTACAGGAACTGCGGCACCTGCGTCGTCTTGCCCGATCCCGTCTCACCACAGATGACCGTCACGGGGTTCTGCATGATGGTGCGCACGATCGTCTCTTCCTCCGCCACCACGGGCAGCTTGAGCCGCGACGCAGTGAGCTTCTCGGACCGCTGCACCTCGATATGCGTTAGCGGCGTGGGCGCGTCGGTGGCGGTGTCGGAGGATAGCGCCGCTTCGAGCTCGGCGTAGTGCTTGGCGGCAAAGGCCGAGGTGGAGCGCACGCTCTCTTCGTCGCGCCCGAGCGGGCCGCGCGCCACGCCGTCGCTGGGCATGAGATCGCCCACCTTGATCTTGAAGCCGCCCACGGGCTCCAGGTTGTACGCCGTGTCGTCGTCAACGGGCGCGCTGGCGTCGGCAGCGTCGGTGCCCGTTGCGTTGGTGGGCGCGGATGCAGAGCCGCCGATACCGAGCGCGGCGCGCGCCCAGTCTTTGAAGCCCGAGGAGCGTTTGGTAGTGCCAATGCCGCGCCGACGCGAGCGGTACTCTTCGGTGTCTTCCTCGTCGTCTTCGTCGTCCTCGCTGGATTCGTCGTCGTCTGATGCTTCTTCGTCATCGTCGCTCTGATCAGAGTCGTGAGCTGGTGTAGCCTCGACCATCTGCTCATCCTCATCTTCATCGTCGCTGTCGGATAGATCGGATCCTTGCTGCTCGACACGCTTCGAGGTGGATGCGGAGGAAGAGGCTTGTGCGTCGTTGCCAGAGGATTCGGACGGGAGCAAACCTCGGAGACGCATGGCTTCGAGGAAGACGGCTTCCTCGTCGTCGTCTGTATCGGGCTCCTCGGATTCCAGGTCGTCGTCGTCGTCGTCGTCGTCGTCATCATCGTCGACCTCCTCATCGAGTTCGTCTTGGTCGTCTTGGTCGATGCTGCCCTGAGATGGGGCGTCTGCGTCGTCGTGGTCGGAGTCGTCCTGGTCCCATCCTGGACCAGAGGTGGTGGCCTTGGCTTTGCCCTTGCCCTTGACGTCGTTTGCCTGACTGGCTTCCTGGACTGCCTGGGCTGCCTGGGCTGCCAGGGCGGCTTGAGCGGCCTGCTTTTCCTGGGTCTTGCGCCAGAGCGACGCGCGGGGAGCAGGCCCCATGCGGTCGGCGTCGACCATGGGTGGGGGGCGGGATGCGGAAGCGGCCGGGCGAGATGCGGACTCGGCCTCGGATTCGGAGCTGTCGAAGCTCGAGTCGCTGTCACGAGCTTGCTGAAGACGCGTGGCCGCATTGACGCGGGCGACCTTGGCTTTCTTGGCGCGCTTGCGCATGGTGGGCATGATGGGGTTGCCACTTGCATCCTTGGCAAGCGCGGATCCGAGCCTAGCAGCGGCGAGGGCCGAGCCTGGGACAGGTGCGGATGTTGTGGAAGCTGCCGAAGTGGTAGCGGCGGATGCTGGTTGTTGCTTGGACTTGTCAAAGAGGCTGGCTGCGGCCAGGATCCTTGCTCGGCGAACGGGATCCTCCTCTACCTCACCAATGGGCCCGTGGTCCTCTCCATCATCCTCTACATCCTCTGGTGGCGTAAAGTTGCCTTCATCTTCGTCGCCTTGGACGTCGTTCTGCATGTTGTCGAGGTCTGCATCGTCGTCGTCCTCGTCGATTTGCATGATGGCGCCGTTCATGGTCCTTCTGCGGCGTTTTCCGCCTCGATCTGACTTTTGGCCGGCGGTGTCGATCCTCTCCTCCATGGTCTTTGCGCGACCGGTACCGAGGGTGGCGGCGGACTTGAGCGTGGTGCGGTCGATCTCTGCCGAGGACTGTGCCAGCTTGGACATGATGCGGACGCGCTCCTCCTTCTTGAGGCGCGAGGCGATGTAGGCGTCGAGACGCTTGCGCTTCTTGGACGACATGGGTGCGTCTGCATCCTGGCCCGAGGACTCGAGGAGTTGCCTGCGCTGCTGCTCTGCCTCTTTCCTGCGGAGGTCGTCTTGGCTGCCGGGCACGATGAGCTGGGCGTTGGAGTCGTAGGCGTCGGCCTCGCGTTGGCGCAGGGAGCGCTTGTTCTTGTGCGAGGATCCGCCGACGGTCGAGCCGCGCGCCTTGGCGTTGTAGCGTTCCTTGACCGGCTTCTTCATCGTTTCCGTATCTGTGCGTGGACAAGGAGCAGATGGTGTAAGGAGACGGAGGAGACTGTTCGGGATCTTCTCCACCTGTCACTGAGCCACCTGCTGCCGCTCGCTTTCCAGTCTGCTGCACTTGCTCCACTCAAATCCAAAAATTTTGGAGCCGCCAGGCGCACTCTCTTCTGGTTCCGACTTCCGAGCCTTCGGTAAAAAGGACTCGAAAAGGCCTCAAAAAAAGGCGGAAAAAAAAGCGCCGAAAAATGCGCGAGAAAAAGGGGTGCAATTTATGCGTCGACTACTACTGCACCGCACGGCATCCTCCAGTACCGACAGCCGGAATAGTTTCAAGCGCAACTCAGCTCAAGATGCTGAACAGCTCGTGGTGCGCGACTGATGCCTCTGAAAGTGTTGCTGCTTGGCAATGCGCACTGGCGCGGGCAAGGGTGGGCTTGGTGTTGGAGTCGGAAGGGCCGGCGGCGAGAGAGGCGCGTGTGTGCTTTTCTCAAATCTCGTGTGGAGGAACGAGCGGCGCGTTTGCCAGAAGAAGCGGCTCAGCTGCGCGCATTTCGGCGTGGGAAGGCGAGAGGCAGCGGAAAATCCAGAGCCGAGCGTCCAACGCGTTGCAGCCCAAAGTGCCAAGTGAGAGGGTCTGCATCCGAATCACATCGCTAATCGGATCTCTCTCTACCATCACTCCCGCCTCGACTGCCATCCATCCCCTTTCTTCCGCATCACCATCACATCAAGCGTCAAGCTAACGACTTTACAGTCGCCAACGCATGGTCGCGCCGGTCGCGCACGACTCAGCCATCCGAGCCGAGACACCCGATCTCATGACCCCCCGGCGCCTAGGCTTCTCCACCGTCACATCACGTCGAGCTCAGCAACTTGGCTCAGCATCTTGGCTCCGCATCTCGGCTCGCTCCGACGGCCGCCTCCTCACCCGCGTGGGTCGAGTTCTGCTGACTCTTAGTAGCAGGAGGTCGTGATCCCGACCAGCACGGCGATGGACACCTACATACCCGGATCACGCGACCCATCCGGTCGGGAGCGCACCGACAGCTGGACCTCAGCCCACCGGCGCAGGTCCCAGTCTCCGCCCGCCCGCAATCAACGCGACCGTCTGCCCGATCACCACCCGCCTGGACACGAACGCGATGGTCAGCGCCGCTCCCGCGCCGATCAGGACGCTCCTCCGATCATCTTGGCCAGGAAGCCTTCCACCGCTGGCGCCTCCAGCCTACCATCGAGACCAGACGCCTCCACATCACGCGCCGCCTCCATCCCTTCCTCCTCCTCTTCCTCCACTACTTTGTCGCGCGCTGATCTCGTCTCCCGCATCGTCGCATCCGCACCGGAGCGCTCCCTTTTCGATGGCATGGAAGAAAAGCGAAGGGCCATCGCAGAGCACCGCATCGAGCTCAGTGCGCTCCTCAAGAAGATCAAGCAGACGCAGGACCTTCTCATCAAGGCATCCGCCTCCAACGAACAGCAACTCGCCTCCTTCCTCCGCAAATCCCAGCAGTCCCAGTCCGATCTCGAGCACAAGATCGCCGTCGAATCCGACAACCTATACCGCATGCAAGTAGAGTGGCAGCTCGCCCTCACCGAAAACCTCATTCCATCCCTGATCGCCAGCTCATCCCTCCCGCCCGACCCCAGGCTCGAGGAGCTGCGCGCAGACATGCGAGCCGACCAGAAGTTCGTTCGCGACGTCGACAGCAGGACTCGCGTGTGCTCGGGCCAAATATCCAGGTTCCAGAGCGACCTGTCAAAGGTCAGAGCCGACTGCGCCGCCCTCTCCAAGGACCAATCGTCCACCCTCGACCGCGTCGACCGCATCGCCAAAGACGTCCAGGACACCCGCGTTCAGCTCAGCCAAGATCTCCACGACACCAAAAGGGAGCTCCGCAGGGATCTCGACAAGGACGTCGCCCAGATCACCCAAAACCAACAACGCATCCGCCGCCTCGAGAAGGACTTCGGGTCCGTCAAGACAGATGCCGTCACCGCCGCCTCCCGCGCCCTCTCCACCGCCTCCACCAGCCCTCGTCCCTCGCATGCCTCGTCAATGCGCGCCACCTCGCCCACCCGAGATCCCCGCTCCCGCCCCACGCCCAAACCGTCCACGTCCACGTCCGCAGACGTTGCCTCCACTGCTTCCTCCACCACTGCCAGCACTTCCGCTCTCCCAGCCACCACAGCCAACGCCGCTCCGTCGCAAGCTGAAAAGACATCCACCCACGAGTTCGTCACGCGCACCCAGTTCCGCAAGTGGATGCGCGACTTTCAGCGCGACCTCGAAATCCAGTTCGACGAGCTCAAGGACCTCGCTGTCCAGGAAGCCACCGCAGAGAACCAAGCTTGCATGGAGGAGCGCATTCAGGCCCTCGCCCTCAAGTGGAGGAACAAGTTTACGGCCACTTTTGGCGACAAGGACGCCGCCGCCGAGACAGACAAGCAGGCTACGAGCGGCTCCAACGCCAATGCCGCGCCATCCGATACAACGCCCATGGATGTCGACGCGTCGGCAGCGCCAAACGCGGCACCCGAAGTCGCCGTCGCAGTCGAAACACTACCTGCGCCCGCTCCAGCAGCCGCGTCCGCATCCGCATCCGCATCCGCATCCGCATCCTCACAGCCTTCACCAGCGCCGACGAACTCTGCAACAGCCGCACCGCAAACCACATCCACCGACGCCGCGACATCCGCAACGCAGTCAAACTCGACGTCGGTACCAACACCAGCACCGGCACCGGCATCCGTATCTTCGCCCTCGCCAGCCACGAATGCTGCCGATGCGGTGGTCGCAGACGGCTCGTCCGTGACAGATGCCGCCAAGTCGCAGACCAACGGCAAGACCGCGCCCGTGCTTCAAATGGTGTTCAGCATACTCGAGTCTTTCAAGACTCAGATCACCTCGGTCGAGTCGAAGCTCAAGGAGGAGCTAGACAGCGTGCGCTCGCAAGACCGCAAGGAGTTTGACGCTCTTCTCAGCTCGCCCGAGCAGCTCAAGCAGCTTGCAGCGGCGCTCAAGCAGCACAGCGACACTGCACCCGCCGTGGCTACCTTGCCCGACGCTGCCGACGCGGTCTCGTCGGCGGTTGTGTCGGGCATCCGCGATGTACAGCAGGCGCTGGTGGAACGGCTCCAGGTAATCGAGCAGTGGAAAGTCGAGTTTGTCGTCTACGTCGACAAGAAGGCCGCCTGGTTGCAAAAGCAGCTCGAGGTGCTCGATGACCAGTCGTCGCTCCAGGGCGCGCTGCTCATCAAGCTTTCCGAGCACGCCAATCCGCGCCGCCTGCCGCCGACGACGCCTGCCACGGCGGTTGTGCCAACGCCGCCGTTGCCCTCGCCTGTTGCGCGCGCGGCGATGCCTCCGGTGGTAACTACGCCAGCTCATGCAGCAGCGCAGCCACAACCTCGTCCGCAGCCCCACCCGCAGGTATATCGCACCGTGCAACAGCAACAGCCTGCGGTGTTGAATCCGAGTGTGATGGCGCAGCCGGTACAGTCTGCCTCCGACGTGGCCGCGCTGTCGGCAGCACACATGTCCGGCGTTTACAATCATCCTGCCCACGTGCAGCAGCACCAGCAGCAGCAGCACCAGCAGCAGCACCAGCAGCAGCACCAGCAGCAGCACCAGCAGCAGCACCAGCAGCACCAGCCGCACCAGCAGCATCCCCTGCCCCAACGCCCTTACTCGCACTCCGGCCCGGGCTACCCTTGAGCTTTACACTGCTCGTCATGCGCATCTAGTCCTCTGCGGCTCCCATCTGTACAACGACTCCGTGCCGACCTTTGCGAAATCTGTACAAGTACTCGCCTGTGACCTTTGGTCGCTGCACGTCTGCGATCTGAGTCTTGAACTTTGCCCGATTTGGGAGTGCGATGCACAGTCGGCGGCGATTGGAAAGCGGGGTCATTTTGGAGCATGTTAGACCGTGCTATCCTGTCCGGGTTCATTTTCGAAATCTGGAGGTGAGAACTTCGGAGCCGAGTAGCATCTGCAAGGCGAAACAAAAATTCCCACGATTGCGTCGGTGGTCTCTGCCAAATGGCCCGCAAATTTGTCACGCCAAAGCCACGCCTCCGAACTGAAGTGTGCATTTCAGCGCGCGCCGCCGTCTGAAGCGCTCGATTTCATCTCCAGGCTGGCTTGAAATTCGAGCTTGGCCGCACCGCGCTGTGCTGCCCAAACTTCTGAGAAGCCAGAGAGAGCGCGATGGGAGCGAGAGGGAGAGAGAGAGAGAGAGGGAGACGGAGCGACGCGCGGAGCCGGGAGTGGTCTTCGAGTTTGAGGGCTGAGTGCGAGACGAAATTCGCAACTGCAGACGGCGGCACAGTTGAGCCTTTGGCTTTGGAGAGAGTGTGTGAGCAGCCGCAAGCAGCAGCAGCGGTGCCGTGTCGAGACCACCGGGCTTCAAGGTTCTCACCGTCAGCTTTCATCACCTCCCCTCAAGACACATACATCGCCCATCATGCCGAAGTAGGTATTTGCGCCACACGCATCGTCAGCAGCATACGTCGCACACGCACTCGTCGGAGCCATCCAGGTCGCCAGCATCAGACTCGACACACTCGGCCAAGAGAATCCATGAATCGACATTTCAATCGCCCAGTAGTACCAGCCAACCTCGGGACAGCATATCGGACACGCTCAGAATGTACACCGACACATCAGATGCAGCAGATCGTGGCGTCATGCTGCCAGTGATGCGCACGATTGGACGCCAGGTGCAGCAGCTTGTATCTCGTCGCGCAGCAAAGCATGTTCGAGGTGGTGGACACGACTAGGATCAGAGAGGGACAGCATGCATACGAAACAGCCGACGCCAGCACCATCGTCGTTGCGAGTGCGTCATCCTCGCTCTTGCATGCTCGTCGCGCTGTTGGTCACATGTCGCTCTTGCCAATCGTTCAGCTGTTAGCACCGTCAGCACACCGACACACTGCATGCCTTTGGCCGCCCGTCCCAGCCACGCCCATATCCCAACCGGCATTGTGATCGCCCTTCTTCAGCATGGCCATTTCAGCGTCCTCTGATGGCAGTGCGATCTCCGTCAAACATCAGACTCTTCTAACCCAACTTCGACTCCAACACCTTGCATCGACCATCCCGGTTACGAGATCGTGCGACGATGCTGCTGGACTCTTTCCGCACGCCAGCGTCTCTCTTGCACGCATGCTGACCCCAATCACTTCATTGTGTTCCAACTACAGCGTTCGTGACGTCGACGCCGCTACCTTCATTGACGCCTACGCGCAGCACCTCAAGCGATCTGGTAAGTCCACGTCCACACGGCAAAGCACAGCTGGCAGATCCAACGCAGGCAGCATGGAGATCGATTTTGCAGGCAAGCACGGAAGGTGCCCAACATACCGCCAGCGACGTACAGAGGAGAAGCATTGCAGATGGAGACGGTAGAGAGGACACGTCGCAGGCATTATGGACCAGGGACCAGCATAGTTGGCCGTGAATCGCTCACTGCATTCAGCAGCCGACAGCCTTGACGACTCGGCGTCCCTGCACACCACACCGACACGGAAGAGGACAGCACGCGTTCGAAGGAGCCCATACGCACCACACTGGAAAAACGGCTGGGAAGACACCACACATCCGCACGCGCCAATCTGCCAGCTGCTTCGCAAAACTTTCTCCAAGAGGAACAGCATTCACTGACCCGTTTCTTGCACGTTGCACGCACTTTTGCATCCACCTTTCAGGCAAGATCGAGGTGCCCGTCTGGGTCGACATTGTCAAGACCGGTCACTTCAAGGAGCAGGCCCCCTACAACCCCGACTGGTTCTACGTCCGCGCCGCCGCGCTCGCCCGCCACATCTACCTGCGCAAGGCTGTCGGTATCGGCCACCTGCGAAAGTTCCACGGTGGTGCCTCCAACCGCGGCTTCCGCCCCTCGCACCACGCCGACGCCTCGGGCTCCGTGCAGCGCAAGGTCGTCCAGGGTCTGGAGGGCATTGGTGTTCTCGAGAAGGACCCCAAGGGTGGCCGTCGCATCTCGCAGGATGGCATGCGTGACCTTGACCGTATCGCCGTCGCCTGCCTCGAGGCTGCCCGCGAGGAGGAGGAGAGCGAGTCCGAGGAGGAGGACGAGGAGGAGGACGACGAGTAAATGTTTTCGCCATTATCATCACATCAAACGGTAGTTTAGTCGCTACCACTCCCCCCAAAAAAGGGAAGGTTTTTGGTTGCCTTCCCCCGTGGAAAGAAGTGCGGGTCGGGTGTCCTATCCGCGCTTCTCTCACACACACGCACCTTTGCATTCCTCTCGCTCGAACCAAACTTTCCCCTTGCTGCGCCAGCGAGAGGCGTCGAACTTCTTCCTTCACCCCCTCTTTGTATCATCTTTTACATTGCCCCCACCAGCGCACCATCCCGCACAGAAAAAAGAATCTCTTCTCACAGAACCCTGGCGTTTGGTATTGGCTAGTCTAGAAGAGATTCCAGGTGAAGGATCGTTGAGCTTTGCCGGGTGTGATTTGGGAGGGGATGTTGTGGTTGAGAGTGTGGATGTCGCGTTCGACGAAGGTGGCGCGGCCGTCTTTGGCGATCAGGATGACGGTGGATGTTCGCGTGGCGTACCAGTCTCCGTCTCCTGCAGGGGTGGGAAGTTGGACGGGTGGGATGAGGATCGAGTTGCGCAGCTCCGATCGTTGCGTGGGGTTGGATGAGAAGGCTAGTACGCTGAAGAGGTCGGCTACCAATTGCTCCCGGTCAGAAGCAGGTGATGCGCGCCCCAATGCAGCATCGAACGCTTGCGAACCGGTGTGCACTTTGGGCCAAGGTTGGTCCAGAATTGAATTGGACATCCCCCTACACATGCGCACTCGCTCAATCTTTGGTGGGTCGAAGATCTTTGGTTGTGGCTTGGCCAACTCTCCCTCCGAGTCGCGGTTGGTAATGTACCCCACCACGGTACCTTGCTTCGACACCTTGCCCACCAGCAGGTTGAAGCCTGGATAGCTTTGCAACTTGTCGCCTACGTTGTTGAGGTACTCTTCAATGTCCTTCTCTACCTCCTGTCTTGTTTGTTGGGACGGGTGGGAGGAGAGTAGCCAGTCTCGAACCAGCTGTCCGCGCGATTCGAACCTCTCCATCCCCGGCGGCAACTCGGGCGTTGCTTCGGTAAAGTTAGTCAGCGTCGCAAAGGCGCCTGATTTGGTCACACCAAGCCAAGTTCCTCCACCGCTGGCATCGCGGGCACTGAGGATCCGAGGCTCCGAATCGAGGTCGAACGCATGCCAGGATGCAGCCAGCGTAGGTCGTGCCAGAAACTCGTCGCGGTTCGAAGCGATCACCAGGTCGTAGTGCGCATCGGACACCGTCCAAAAGATCACACACATCCTTCTCCCCAATCCCCACCGTTGTCACGATGCTGCGTAGACCCAAAGAGTTGGTAGTTGGTAGTGGCAGGTCGAGGTGGAGTGCTGCGTGTGTGTGGAGGCACAAGGGTCTGCCCCACCGGCTATCTCCGCACATCTCTAGCGGCCGAGTAAAATTCCCTCCATCTCAAACCCTCACCTTGTAAGCTCAGCGATACAGACGATCGAATGGATAGTGTTACAATGATGTCGGGAAGTGGTTTTGGGTATACATGCCGCCTACACGTGCGCTCAGTTCTCCTTCCACTGATACGCGCACTTGCCATTCGTACATCGATAAAACGTCGTCACTGTCCACACCCACAACTGTCAGCTATCCTGCCTCTTTGCTTCGCCATCGCTGCGCGAAAACTTACTCGGTTCGTCGGCCGACCTGATCTGGAGCTGCATAAAGAACGCCTTTGGATTCTCGCATTTCGGACACGGTGCTAACCAATACCAAAGAGTCAGCATCTCCCCAAAGACACGGAAAGAAGGGCGAGGGCTTACCATCTGTGGAATCGACGTTCTTCCAGCTTTCTTCGCCGCCCATGACGTCGTCTACCTCTTTGCGCTTGAGATGCAGCCGCGTGGTCATCTGGCGCACGATGGGGAACTCGTACGGACACGTGTGGCACGACCACTTGTTGTTGCCCTGCTCATCGAGCTGGATGATGAGACAGTTGGCACATGTTGGACAGAACAGCATCTCGGTTCCTCTTTGCTTGCCCAGTGCGTTGCGACCGGGTGGAAGGTGCGTGTCAAGGCCCAATCCGAGCTCATGCAGCGACGGGAACGATGCGAGCGATGGTGAGAAGAAGGCAATGGTGAGAATTTTGGTGGCCGTTTGCATTCAAAAGACCCTGAAGCCAGCCAAAAAAAAGTGGGAGTGTTAGAGCGAAAGTATCTGCGCGAAAGATCGGAAGGCAAAACCGGTCCGAAAGCCACTCACGTGCTGCAGGCCAAGCGTGGCTGCAGCGCAGCGTCATCGGCACGCATCCCGGCCGCCCTCGCCTTCTTGGCCCGTGGTTGCGGCGGATTTCGGTGCTCATCGGCTTGCTTGGCGCCCAGCCTCTGCTCGGCTTGGTCGGCACTCGACGACAGCTTGCCAGCAGTACCCACCAGGCTCGCTCTCACTCAACAAGCAGAGGGCGACAGGCAGAGGCAACCGTCCCCAACAGGAAGGACGACTCCGATCGGATCTGGCCCGCACTTTTTGACTTTCTTTCTCGCTGAAAAGCAGCCTCAGTCAGGGCTAATCACCTGGGCCTCAAGAAGAGACAATGACCGTGAGAGTATATGGCTTCGTCGGAAGCGACGCCGAGCAGAGATGATCATCACGCTGTCAGGCCCCGAAGCGAGGAGGGAAGGCGGAGGAGGAGGAGGAAGAAAAAAAAAAGGTCGAAAAAAGGGCCGTGCAAGCAGCTGCTGGAGAGACGGTCCGTGAGCCAGGCACGCTTCCAGTGCCGACCGCAACGCAGCTGCAACGAGAGCTGCAACATTCATTGCGAGCTGCGCTGGGCATGTGAGCGGTGGGTGGGTGAGTTGGTGGCATGGCCGACCCGGCCATCGGCTGTCGGGCAGTGCATCCGCCTCGCTCGCCTATTCGCTCTCTCTCTCTCTGCCCAGCAGCACCAATATTTTACCGGAAGCGCACGCTGGGCGTTCATTCTCGCACCGGCCCGATACGCGCAGAATCCGAGCAACTCGACAGGCAGCCTTGGACGAGGCAAGGCTGGGCTTAGCCTCCTTCTCGACGTCTGCTGGCTGCACAGTCTCTCCCCAACCATCACTTGCATCACTTGCATCGCTGCCGATCCTAGCCTCTTTGCCTGCAACCTCGTCGTGCGCACGCAGCGCTGCCCCACAATCTACCCCACCACCACCACCCCTCATACCCACGCCGGTAGCAAGCAAGCCGACACAATGCCGGAGCTCGTAGGATCCGTCGACGCGGGCACCACCAGCGTGCGCTTCATGGTGTTCGACGAGTTCGCCAAGGTGATCGCCTCGCATCAGATGGAGTTCAACCAGTACTACCCGCACCCGGGCTGGCACGAGCAGGATGCGCACGAGATCATCGACTGCGTGCACGAGTGCATCGACAAGACCATCGCCAAGCTCGAAAAGGAGGGCAAGTACTCGGCCTCGGATGTCAAGGTCATCGGCGTCACCAACCAGCGCGAGACGACGGTGGTGTGGGACAAGGACTCGGGCAAGGCGCTCACGCGCGCCATCGCCTGGCCCGACGCGCGCACCACGCACACCATCCGCGAGCTCTCGGCCAAGAGCGACAAGGGCGTCGACGCGCTCAAGGAGGAGACCGGCCTGCCGCTCTCGACGTACTTTGCGTCGGTCAAGCTGCGCTGGATGCTCGACAACCTGCCCGAGGTGCGCAAGGCGCACGACGACAAGCAGATGCTCTTTGGCACCATCGACTCGTGGATCGTCTACAACCTCACCGACCGCAAGGTGCACATCACCGACGCCTCGAATGCATCGCGCACCATGTTTATGGACCTGCGCGCCCAAAAGTGGGACAAGAAGCTGTGCGACTTTTTCGGCATCGACATGGACATCCTCCCGGACATCAAGAGCTCGTCCGAGGTGTACGGCACCATATCCAAAGGTGCGCTCGAGGGCGTCCAGATCGCCGGCATCGTGGGCGACCAGATGGCGGCGCTCGTAGGCAACAAGTGCTTCCAGCCGGGCGAGGCCAAGAACACGTACGGCACTGGCGCCTTCCTGCTCTACAACACGGGCGACAAGGTGGTCTCGTCCAAGAATGGCCTGCTCTCCACCATCGCGTACAAGGCCGGGCCCGATGCGCCCGTGTACTACGCGCTCGAGGGCTCGATCGCCGTGGCGGGCTCGGCGGTCAAGTGGGTGCGCGACAGCCTGGGACTCATCAAGGAGGCGCACGAGATCGGCGAGCTCGCCGGCCAGGTCGACACCACGGGCGGCGTGTACTTTGTCACGGCGTTCAACGGCCTCTTCTGCCCGTACTGGGACGACACGGCGGCGGGCACCGTGGTGGGCATCACGGCGTACACGGACAAGCGCCACTTCTGCCGCGCCACGCTCGAGTCGACGTGCTATCAGACCAAGGCGATCCTCGACGCTATGGCCAAGGATTCGGGTGTGGCGCTCAAGGCGCTCCAGGTGGACGGCGGCCTGACCAACTCGGACGTGGCCATGCAGATCCAGGCCGACATCCTGGGCATCAACGTGGAGCGACCCGAGATGCGCGAGAGCACGGCGCTCGGCTCGGCGCTACTGGCCGGCTCGGCGATCGGACTGTTTGGATGGGACATCAACAAGCCCGAGACGCTCAGCAAGGTCAACACGGCGGGCAAGCAGGTGTTTGAGCCCAAGATCGACGATCAGAAGCGCAACGAGCTGCTGCACGGCTGGGAGCGTGCCGTGGAGCGCGCCAAGGGCTGGAACGAGAACCCCTAAGCAGCGGCGATTAGTTTTGCGAAACAGAACAGAACTATGCTTGTACTAAAAACTGCACTCCCGTCGGAAAGCTTGGTCGGAACAGATGCGACGTGGGCTGAAGCTTGATCTTAGAAGTGTGGGAAGAGTGAGAAGATCGAGATGAGCGGCGGAGAGGGGATGGCTCGGATGTGCCGAACCGTGCTGCCGAAGCTCGAAGCGCGAAATTTAGAGCGCAAAGGTGGAGCAGCAGACGCGCTGTTTGTCACTCTCAGAGCCTTGGCAGCAGGGCCAAGAAGCAGACGGAAGGAGAGAAGTCGGGCGGGCGCCGCGTAGTTCCGAAGGCCGCAGCAGCAGTGGAGCCCGCGGATTGTTGGCTTTTTCAGGCCGTGCAATTCGGCATCCGTGCATCCTCTTTCTCTCTCGCCTCCATCCGCTTCGTCACATCTGCTCCTGGAATACGCAAAGATGGCGACGGCACCGCTGCATCTGGTTGCCAACCTCGAGGGCCACTCTTCTCGCGCCTGGCATCTGGCATGGAATCCGCGCATGCCGCTGCTCGCATCGTGCTCGGGCGACAAGGATGTGCGCCTGCACGCCTACTCGTTTGTCTCGACCACCACGGCCGAGGGGCCTTCTACGTCGAAGCAGCCGGCGTTCAACCTGCGCGAGGTGATTCCGACGGGTCACCAGCGCACCGTCAGGCAGGCGGCGTGGTCGCCCGACGGCAAGATCCTCGCCACCGCCTCGTTCGACTCCACCGTGGGCATCTGGGAGAGGATACAGGACATTGATGGCACCGCCGAGCTCGAAGGCAGCAGCGGCAACCGCGGACCGCTGGCGCTCAGCAACGGTGGCAAGCACGTGGACGAGCCCGAGTGGGACTGCGTGGGCACGCTCGAGGGCCACGAGAGCGAGTGCAAGTCGGTGGCGTTTTCGCACACGGGCAGCGTGCTGGCGTCGTGCAGCCGCGACAAGTCGGTGTGGATCTGGGAGGTGCAGCCGGACGCCGAGTTCGAGTGCCTGTCGGTGTTGATGGAGCACTCGCAGGACGTCAAGGTGGTGGCGTGGCATCCCAACGACGAGGTGCTGGCGTCGGCATCGTACGACGATGCGATCAAGCTGTACATCGACGATCCGCAGGACGACTGGTTCTGCTACACCACGCTCACGGGTCACGAGTCGACCGTGTGGAGCCTGTCGTTCTCGCCGTGCGGCAACTTCCTCGCGTCGGCGTCGGACGACCTGACGGTGCGCATCTGGCGTCGCCTCAACGCGGACGAGTGCGAGGCACGCGGCGTCAAGCCCGAAGGCAAGATGGCCGGCCGCAGAGGCGACAAGTGGGTGGCCGTCACGGTGCTGCGGGGCGACCACGACCGGACGGTGTACAGCGTATCGTGGGGCGTCGACACGGCTTCGAATCGCAACGGCAACCTCGGCCGGCTGGCGAGCGGCGGTGGCGACGGCCGCATCTGCGTATACGAGATCAGCGCATCCGAAGACGACAAGCAGCTGGCGCCCAAGGTGGAGCTGGTGGCCAAGATGGAGCGGGCCCACGGAAGCGCCGACGTCAACTGCGTCGCGTGGGCGCCCGAGAGCCTCAACGCCCGCGGTGCAGGTGCGCAAGCCAAGATCGAGGAGCTTCTCGACGACGGTGTGACGCCCAAGAGTGCGGGTTTGTCCAGCGGCTTGACCCACCAAAGCATGTCGGACATGCTTGCCAGCGCGGGCGACGACGGCAGCGTCAAGGTGTGGACGCTCACCACCTCGCCGTATGCCGCGTCATGATGGGTCGCCCGCATCACCGTGCCAACCTAAAGTAATAGAAGACGCAAAAGCAGATTTGATAATGCAGGCTTCAAATGTGATTGCATTGCATTTGCATGTGCATTGTGCTGAGCTTGTGATGTGATGACTGACAATAGTGGTAGAGACTATTTGGGTGGTGGTGTTGGTTTCGATCTCCCGATTTTGGCAGAGGCCGACGGACGCGGAGCTAAGCAGCAGCAGCAGCAGCAGCAGAGGTGGCTGAGGCGCGCGCGTCGATTTGGCGTTGGAAACGAGTCGAGGCGAAGGCGAAGCGCCGCTGGCGAGGCGCCAAAGCCAAAGCCAAACGAGCAGTCGCGCGCATTTCTCACTCTGCCATTCTCACTTCCATCTTCTCACCATCCTTCCTCTTTGTCCTTCCGCACCTTCCTTCATCTGGCGCAGTGCATAAGTTACCTCTGCTGTACACTTGCCGCGTCTGCGTGCATCCATCCGCTCTCAGCCAGCCACAGCTACACGCTCGGCCAGCCCTGACGCGTTCTTAGTGCATCCGTCCAACGCCTTCATCTTCGGCCGCTGCATCCGCACAATCCCGCACGCGTGCTCACACAGCTTTGTCCGTGCACAAACGGAGCGCTTCGTCATCCGCATCGGCCTTCAACACGATCGTCGTGACAGTGTGACATGCACGTCGCACACCTTGACGCTCGCTAGCTCTTGACCATCTGCCGACGCCGCTCGCAGTCTCCCACCTCCACCCCGCATCTGCATCAGCTTCCATGTCCGGTGGATCCAACAACAACCATCACCCATACACCTCCCAGCCTCACCACTCCTCTTTCCAATCCAACACCCCCAACTTCCATCCGAATCCGCACCAGCAGCCCTTCCCCCACCAACACGGCTACGGATATCCTTCCGCCAACCAGGCTGCGCCCGACTTTGCCCAGCCTCCCTTCCCGCATCATCATCAAAACGCCTATCAGAACATTGCAGCCCAGCCAGATCACGCATTCTCCCACCTCGCTCCTGACTTTGACGCTTCCGGCATCAGCTACACCGGCGCTTCCAACCAGCTGCCTCTGAACCACAACTTTGCTCAGCAGCTCCACCAGCCTCAGTGGGATCAGCAAGTCCACTTTGCACCACAGTCCGGCCTCGAGCAGCCTCACGCACCAGCAGGCTACGCCCATCAGCCAAGCTCGTACCCGCCCCACGCCAACCTCTCGGAGCTGCCCGTAGCCGACGACATCGCCACCCCGCCGCTCCAACACAGCCAAGTGGCCTCCCCGTCGCCTCAGAAACCCACCTTGCGCGTCAAGCTCAAACGCGTCACCAAGACCAACGAGTCCAGCGCCGGCGGACAGCAAGCACAGGCACAGCTCCAGATCGAGCCTACAACCAACATGTCCGGAAGACCCAGCAGAACGGCCGCTGTGAACGCCAGCGCCAGCATGAGCGCACTGTCCGACAGTCTTGCAGGCCGGCCCCTGCGGCCTCGCCACGCCAAAAAGGGACCAGGCAGCGAAGAAGACTACCAAGACGACGTGAGTGACCATCATACGAACGACAACCGCGACAGCCATCCCCTGCGCCAGTCGAACAGGGATTGGGGCAGCACCAGCGAGGTTGACAGCCAGGAGACAGGAGAGCACGTAGGCGACCAGAAGGCTAGTAGAAAGAGCAGAAATAGCAGCGCAAAGACCTTGACCGTCGCCATTCGCAGGAGCGGCAGGAACCGAAGCCGCAGCAGCAGTCAGGCGCCCACCAGCAGTCAGACGCCCGCCACGTCCCAGTCGCAGCGCATCGACGGGTCGCGCCCACCTCAGCCGCGCCGCAGCACCAGGCGGTCGGGCGATTCCGCCCCAGAATCCAGTCAGGAGATCATGAGCGAGCAGATGCCGAGCGCGACGCAGCGTGTCGCCGTGCAGACCAGGACGCCGTCGGTGCGTCGTAGCAGTAGGAGCAGGGTAAGCTTCGGGATTCGGTTCCGCAAGCGTTTGGTTCAGAGTCAGGAGCCGCCAGCATCGCACAGAGTCATGGTTGGTGCAAGGAAAGCATAATTGCGCTTGGGGGATCGTCATGCTCTTTGAACCGGCGTCAGGGCCATCTCGTGGCTGGGAAAGCCCCGTACACCTTGATTGTCTCGTCGAACTGTTACTGACGCTGCTCTCCTCCTCTCTTTGTAATTGATCACCACCCACAGGACGCTGACGCTCCGGAAGACGACGATGAAGATGCCGAGGCCGACGACGATGCCGAAGGCGAGCAAGATGTCGCTGTCAAAAATGACGACGACGACGAGCATCACGAGCCACAGCCGATCATGTCGCGCAGCCGCAGCGGCCGCGTCCGACGCATGGCAAAGCAGAGCATGGCCGAGTCCGACGATTCGGAAGCGGGCCGTGACGATGACGACGAAGACGAAGAGGCGGTGCGCTCCACGCGCCGCACTTCTAGCCGACTCCCCGGAAACTCGCTTGAAGGCTTCGTTGCCGCCGACGACGAGGACGACGAGGACGACGAGGGCGAATACGGCTCCAGGAGGAAAACCCGATCCGGTCGACTTCTGCGTGGCAGCAACAGCAGCAGCTCCAATCGCCTTCAGGAGATGGCAGCCAAGAAACGCGCCGCCAACGGCCGCGGCCGTCACGCCAAAAAAGTCATCGACGACGAGTTCGAGATGGACGGCGACGACACGCCCGAGGAAGACCACATCTCGGGCGCCGAAGACGACCCGCTCGATCTGCACAGCGACGAGCCCGAGGGCAGCCAGGGCAAGTCGTACTCGCTCCGCCAGCGCAAAAAGGTCAACTACTCGCTCGTGCCTCCACCAGCCTCGCCCCCAAGAGACGGCTTTGGCCGTGCTATCCGCAACAATCGCGGCCGTGCCGCCAACGGCGCCTACGAAATCGATCCCTCGACTACCGGTGCTGCTCCAGGCCCGGGCACCGGTGCGGCTCTGCCGATGCCCTTCCCTGGTCGTGGCAAAAAGGGCAAAGAGGGCTGGGACGCGTTGCCATCCTCGATGACCGGCAAGGACTATGCTCGCATCTTTGGCGACCCCGTCGACAGCTCCGACGACGAGCTCCAGAACAACGCACTGCGCAAACCGGGCGGACCCGCGGCGCTCGGCGGTGGTGCCGCTGGAGGCCTGCTCGGTGCTGGTGGTGCTGGTGGCGCGGGCGGTCCACCCGGCGGACTCACTGGCTCGGGCGGCACCGATAGCTTTGGTCGCATCAAGAAGAGCGGCGACCCGCTTGCCGACGTTGACCCGCTCGGTGTTGACATGAACATCGACTTTGACAGCGTCGGTGGCCTCGACGGTCACATTCAGCAGCTCAAGGAGATGGTCATGCTTCCTCTTCTATACCCCGAGGTGTTCCAGCGCTTCAAGGTCACGCCACCGCGCGGTGTGCTCTTCCACGGCCCGCCAGGTACGGGTAAGACGCTCGTCGCGCGTGCGCTTGCCGCGAGCTGCAGCACAGAAGGCCAGCAGGTGAGCTTCTTCATGCGCAAGGGTGCCGATTGCCTGTCCAAATGGGTGGGCGAGGCCGAAAGACAGCTGCGTCTCCTCTTCGAGGAGGCGCGCGCCTCGCAGCCAAGTATCATCTTCTTCGACGAGATCGACGGTCTGGCGCCCGTCCGCTCCAGCAAGCAGGACCAGATCCACGCCAGTATCGTCAGCACCATGCTTGCGCTCATGGACGGCATGGACGGTCGAGGTCAGGTCGTGGTCATTGGTGCCACCAACAGGCCCGACAGCGTCGATCCGGCGCTGCGCCGCCCCGGCCGATTCGACCGCGAGTTCTATTTCCCGCTGCCCTCGCTCGAGGCGCGCAAGAGCATCATCAACATCCACACGCGGAAGTGGGAGCCACCCCTCGACGACGATTTCAAGGCGAGGCTGGCCGAGGTTACCAAGGGCTACGGTGGTGCCGACCTGCGAGCTCTGTGCACCGAGGCAGCTCTCAACGCCATCCAACGGCGCTACCCGCAGATCTACTCGACTACCGATCGCCTGCTGCTGGACCCAGCGTCGATCCAGGTGGACGCCAAGGACTTTATGATGTCTGTCAACAAGATCGTGCCGTCGTCCGCCAGGGCGAGCGCTTCGGCGGCGGCGCCGTTGCCCGAGAGGCTCGCGCCCTTGCTCGGCAACGTGGTGCAGGACGCCATCTCGGTGCTCGACCGCATCCTGCCGCCCGTCAGCAAGCGCAATCCGCTCGAGGAGGCGCTATGGGAGGACGACACCTTTGTCCCCAACGGTCTTACATCTGGCATGTCGGCTGCCGACATGCTTGCTGGTGATCGCGGCTTTGGTCGTGAGATGCTGCTTCAGTCGTTCGAGGCGCAGCGCGTCTACCGACCGCGCATGCTTGTGCATGGCGAGGCCGGCATGGGTCAAGGCGCGGTCGGTGCGGCGCTGCTGCAGCACCTCGAAGGGTATCACGTGCAGTCGCTCGACATTGGCACGCTGCTGGGCGACAGCGCTCGCACGCCCGAGGCTGCGATTATCCAGCTCTTCGTTGAGGCCAAGCGCCACAAGCCCAGCGTCCTGTACATTCCGGGCATCGTTCACTGGGCGCGCTCGGTGTCCGAGGGCGTCAAGACGACGTTCAAGGCGTTGCTCGACGGACTCACCGATGCGGATCCGGTCATGCTGCTCGGCATCGCCGAGGCGCCGCTCGACGAGCTTGACGATGAGGTTCAGTCGTGGTTTAACTTCCTCGACGACGACCTCGTGCAGATCCGGCGTCCGGACGACGAGAGCCGCCGCGCGTTCTTCAAGGAGATCTTTGACCACGTCATTCGCCCGCCCACCGAATTCCCTGATGCGCTGCCTCGACGCAAGAGGGTGCTGGAGGAGCTGCCCAAGGCGCCGCCGCGGCCGCCGCGCAAGCTCACGCAGGCCGAGCTGCAGCAGCAGGCGGACAACGACGCCAAGCTGCTCGAACACCTCAAGTACCGCCTCGGTCCCGTGCTCGCCGAGCTGCGCAAGAAGTTCAAAAAGTTCACGCGCGATGTGTGGGACGAGTACAACCTGCGCGAGCTCACGCAGCAGTTCGAGTGGACGCGCGAAAAGGGCAAGGTGACGATCGAGCTGCGGTACTATCGTCCGGGCCTGGCGGCGCAGCAGGCGCGCGAGGACGAGGCCGACGACATCAACGGCATGCTCGAGACCGAGGCGGACATTGCGGCCAAGCGCGGCATCACGGCGGCCCAGTTCAACAGCCCCGAGCCCAGTGCTGTCGCTGTCACTGAAGATGCGCCGAGTGCCGAGGCGGAAGCGCCATCTGCCGCGGCTGCGGTGGCGGGCGAGACCGGCGATGTCGAGATGGCCAATGGCGATTCTGCCGCGGCCGTCAATGGCACCAACGGTGTTGATGCGAGTGGCGAGGCGTCGAATGCTGCAGCCGACGGTGTGGCGCCGCCCTCGTCGCAGCCGAACGGCGTAGGCGCCGCACATGCGAGTGGCGAGGCTGACGAAGCCGGTGGCGATGCATCCACTGCGGCAGCCGACACGACCGGCGCTGCCGGCGCGGCGACGGACGAGTACGTGACGCGGACGATGCCGATCTGGACGACCAACCTGGAAAAGATGCAGAAGCGGCTGTACTACAACGGCTATCTGTCGTGTTCGGCCTTTATGGAGGACATCCAAAAGATCGTCGAGAATGCCGAAGAGGCGGCGGAGGTGGATCAGGAGCGCGTGTTCCGTGCGCACCAGATGCGGAACCTGGCGATTGTGCTGATGGACCAGTACATTGATGCCGGGTTCCGGGAGGAGTGTGATCGGATGGCGTTGCGGCAGATGGCGCGCGAGCAGGAGGCGCGCGAGGCGACTGAGAAGGCCAAGCAGAGTGCGGAGGAGGCCGCCAAGAAGGCGGCCGAGAGTGCGAAAGGCGAGCGTGCGAGCGCGCGCATTGCGGGCAAGGAGGTGGATGCGGCGTTGCTTGGCGATGTGGGCGCCATCGAGCGCGGCGCTAAGAGACAGCGCAGTGCAAGTGCCCAGGCCGACGCCCCCGCTGCTCCCGCCGAAGGTGTCGAAGGTGTCGAAGGTGCCGAAGGAGGTCACCAGATATCGGTTGGAGATGGGGAGGGGGAGGGAGTTGTATCGACGGAGGGTGTGGAGAAGGAGGAGGAGTCGCGGAAGCGACCTCGCGTCGAGTCGCCACCGGTGCATCCGCCACTGACGTATACTGCGGCATCGTACGTTCGGCTCACGCAGCACATTGTGGCGTCGACGGCGACGTACAGCATCGACCAGCTGGCACGGCTGCGTGCGGCGGCGTTCAGTGCGATCTGGCAGCACCGCGCCGACTGGGACCGCGACGAACTGATTGGTCGACTCATCGAGATCACCGCCAAGTCGCAGCAGGCGGTTGCGAGGGAGCGCAGTGTCAGGCAGTAGTCCACCCCCCCACGGTGAAAGAGTCTCCTGTCGGAACGATGCCAATGTCAGTGCTTGAAGAATCGTGTGGGATTACAGTGTGTGTGTGTGTGAATGGTGTGCATCTTTCTCAATGTGCTCTTCAACTGTCTGGATGTTGAATGCTGTGCGGCTCTTGCGTTATCAATGCTGTCCGAGTCTTTGTAAGTGCGGGTTGCAACGAATGGCAGAGGTGTCTCAATTGGCATGGGCGTTGCAATGTCTATGCGCAAGACTTGACTGTGCGTCCAAGGGGAGCGTAATGCAAGCGGCACTTCTTCATGCGTCGGACCACAGTTAGTCGGACCCTCGGTGCTGTCAGAGGATGCCCACTTGAAGTGCTGGGTCTTTTGATGTACGGTGCTTTTCTAACGCTCCCAATGCAAGTGCTACCCTACGCTTTTGATCGCAGAGCTGTTCAACTGTGCCAATGTGCAGTGCCGATCCTCTCAATGTCAGTGCCATCTAACAGTAGCTCCGATAAATGTCAGTGTCGTCTGAATGTGCCGCTGACAGTGCTGTCCCACTGTGCCGATGTGCAGTGCCGCTCACCTTTCCCGCTGTCAGTGCGGTGAAACTTTTCAACGTCGGTGCTATCCAACTCTTCCAATGTCACCGCGTTCAGGGATCGCATCGGTTCCCACTGTGCATAAGCGTGCGAGCGAGCGCAATGCCCGTTGGTAGAGGCGCACCCGTGTGAGAGTCTCGAAACGTCGGTGCCAATCCAACTCTGCTATTGCCAGCACGGTCCAAATCTCTCAATGTCGGTGCTGTCCAGCTGTACTCAATGTGATTGCGTAAAGAGAGGCATCGGCTTCCGGTGTGTGGACGTGAGTGTGCGAGCGCAGCACCAGCTCACATCCAAGGTGCGTCTGTCCAGCTCTCTGAACTTCAGTGCTGTCCAGCTCTCCGGAGTTCAGCGCTGTGCATCTCTCCCAACGAGAGTGCTGTCCGGTTCTTTCGATGTCAGTGCCGCCCACCTCTCTCTTCTTCAGTGCTGCCCGCCTCTCTCTTCAGTGCTGTGCACCTCTCCCAAGGTCACTGCGGCCCGACCATCCCAACGTCAGTGCCAACCAACTCGTTCGACGTCTGTGCTCTTGAAATGTAATGATGTGCAGTGCCGCCTACCCCGTCCAATGACATTGCCTTAAGAATCGTGTGGGTGTCCAGTGTGCGTGAGCGTGCGAGGCGTTACGCCGGTCAGTAGAGGCGCACCTCGTCCGAGTTTCCGTATGAGAGTACGATCGAATCCTCTCAATGTCAGCGCGGTACGACGCTCTCGATGTCAGTGCTGCCCGACTCTCCTAATGCCAGTGCTTTAGGACTTGCATCGATTTTCACTGTGCGAGAGCGTGAGCGTGCAAGGGAGCGTAAAGCGAGCGAACAGCCAAGGTGGCTTCCGTCCAACTCTTCCGATGCCATTGCCTTGGGGATCGCGTCGGACCACAGTGTAGGTGCGTGTGTGAGGGACCGCAAAGCCAGCCAGTAGCCGGACCTCTTGCTTGCCGAGTTGAATTGCCCCTTGTCAGTGCTGTACGACACTTTCGTTGTCGGTGCACTTGAGCGCTCTCAATGCCAGTGCTGCCCGATGCTCTCGACGTCAGCGCTGTCCAACTGTCCCCGACGTTCAATGCAGTCCAGCTCTCCCATATCCAGCGCTGTCCGAGTCGTTCAACGTGATACACACCTCTCTCTCAATGTCAGTGCTGCCCACCGGTCCCACTTTCAGTGCTGTCGAGCTCTTCCATTTTGAGTGCCGTCCAACTGTGCCAATGTCAATGCTGTCCAACGCCCCCAGTGTCAATGCTGTGCAACGCCAATGTCGGTGCTGTCCGAGTTCTTGAATGTGCTGTCGGACTATCCTATTGCCATTGCCGTGCATCTCGTCCACTCTCAATGCCGCCGACGCCCCTAAACGGTATAGCTTGACACTTTGCGTCGGTTTTGAGCTGTGCGTGTGTGGGTGCTTCAAGCTTTCCGCCTGGATTGGCCCTCGTTGGCGCTGGTCTTGCCAAGCATTGCCGTTGGTCTGCGCGTCGCCATGAATTTGCCCTAGATCTCTGCCCTCGGCTTGGCCTGGTCCGCCCAGTTTTCCGCCTGGGCCGCCCTAGATCCGACCCTGCTCAGCATTGCCCAGAACTGCTCAGTGCGTGGTTCCTCCCCTGAGTCTGCTCCAGCTTTGCCGTGGTTGCCCAGCGTCACCCTGGCTCTATTCTGGGTCGCGCAGATTGGCACCACAGTATTGACATCGGTGTGCGCGTTGCGCTGCGTTTGCACCGAGTTCACCAGGTATGCCTTCGAGTTTACCCTGCTTTGGCCGGCGTTGCCCAGCGTTGCACAGTCTTTGACCCTGGTTCACCCCGCGGCATGGTGCCCTAGCTTTGCTTCGGCCCTAGCTCTACCCAACATTGATCCTACGCTTGCCCTACGTTTGTGCTGAGTTTTACCCCCACTTTGGCCCGGGATTTGGGCGGTTCTTACCAGCCTTGTGCAGCGCCCACCCTATTGAGCCCTAGATTTGCCCCAGCCTTGTCGCAAGGTCTACGATTGACAAAACGATACAAATCGCCTCATCTGAACCGCAGCCTTAGACTACCTACGCCCCAGTCATGTGGTGCCACTATATCGCTCCGCAAAACCACACCCGCACACTCTAACCCGCAAAAACCTCACAAAGCCCATCATCCCCACGAAACAACTCGCGATTCCCGGACCCGGCAAAGCCGTACAGCTCACCTCCATCCGTCGCACGCAGGAAATCCTCTGGAGTCCCAGCGACCCATTCACCATCAAACCCCTGTGCATTTCAAGCCCACTCAACCCTCTCCATCCCATAACTTGAGCTCACCACCACATTGCTCACACGCGCAACATCACCGGTGACAAAAAAGTAAGCATGACAGACGCCTCGGGCCGAAAGGTGTGCTACGCATCGTCATCCTCGTCCACCTGCGACAGCTCGGTACGTTCCCTGCGGCGTGCGGCCGGCGAAGGCGGCTGGTCACCTCCGCCGCCCCGAGCGACTCCCCAGTGCGGGCTCGACGCGAGCACGGGCGATGCTGATGCCGACGAACTGCCCGACGTCGGCGTGAGCGCCTTACTTCCGCCCACAACTAGCGGCTGCGCGCCCCCGAGCGCAACACTCGTCCTCTCGGCTACAGGCGAGCTAAAGGTCGCTACCGCATTGGCGCCCGTAAGCGCCACGCCACTCAGCTGCGACGTGAGTGCATCCGTGTCGGTTTCCGCCTGTGCTGCGGGCGCGCTCACCGGTGTGAACCCCGAGGGCCTGGCGAGTCCCGAGGCGGTGGCGGGCGTAAAGCTACCGCGCAGATTCGTGTTGGAGCCCAGCCGACCCTTGGTGAGCCGCAGCGAGCCGGACGAGTTGCGTGCGATCGTACCGCGGTGCACCCCGGCTGGAGCACGGTAGCCGTCGCGCGACGTGATGCTGCGGCCCGTCGCACCCGAGCGCCGGTCGTCGTCATCCTCGTCCGCACCACCGCCGTGCCACGCACTCGCGCCGGCCATCCCCCACGGCGACGGCGGCTGCGACACCGACACGCCCGACACCGACGACTGCGTCGAGCCGCCGCGGCGGTGCATTCGTGCGTCGAGCCCCAGCGCGCCGTGCTGCGACATGGGCGTGTCGTAAACGCTCGGCAGCCGCCTCGACGCCATCGAGGGCGAGCGGCTGCCGTCATCCTTGCCAAGATCATCCACAAGCTCCTGCACCGAGTTGGACTGCGCGCCAAAGTTGACCTCGTCAAAGATCTCGTAGTAGCGCTCGATGCAGAAGCGCACGATGGAGCCGAGCGTGGTGGTGTTGGTGTCGGCGTTGGACGAGAGCGACGCCTTGCGCAGCTGCGGCGACCTCGACGCCGGCGGCTGCGCTGACAGCGTCATGGAGGCCATCCCCTCGACGCGGCAGATCATGACGTCCTTGATCGCATTGCCGCTCGAGACGAGGTTGGGCGCAATCACCGTCGCGAGATTCGCCGCGTCCATCTTGTTGGCCTCGCGGTGCTGCGCGACCTTGTGCAGCATCTCGAGCACGTACGACAGCAGGATGCCCGAACAGCTCGGCTCGATGGCCGGCAGCAGACGCGTGCGCAGATACTCGATGGTCTCCTGCGCCTGCGCCTCGTGCACTGCGCTGGGCACCTGGGCGTTGGGCAGCGGCGGCGGCGGGCACGCGCGGATGAGCGGATACATGCTCGCGGCAAAGATGGGCCGGGGCAGCGAGCGCAGGAACACCTTGAGCAGCACGGCGGGGATGTGCGGATCGCGGTACTGCTCGAGGCTGACCGGATGGCCCCGGTCGTAGCTCTCCTGCGCCGTCTTGAGCAGCGCCGAGGAGGGCGAGCGTCGAAAGATGCCCTCGACCTCGGCGGGTCGGATGCCGTCAAAGTCGCCGAGGATGGCGTCGACACAGTCGCGCACGACGCGCGGCACGCCGCCGCTCTCGCCGTACTCGCCCATGAGGCGCACGAGATCCACGCCAAACACGCGGTCCGTGGCGTCCTGGCCTGCAAGAGCGTCGGAGGCCTTGGAGGGCAGGTTGACGTGGCTCTCGTACTTTGCATTCCACTGCAGCACTTCGGGCGGGATGTCGATCTGGGTGAGCGGCACGTGTTGTGCGAGCGCGCTAAGAGTGTAGAGCTGCGAGACCTTTTTGGAGAACTTGGGCGAGACAAAGTAGGCGCCGGTGTTGACAAACTGGAGGAGCGAGCGCGTGAAGAAGGTGGGATGGACAATGTAGAGCTTCTTGAGGTTCTTGCGGAAGCGACGGTCGAGACGACGGTATGCGCGCCAGATCCAGTTCCAGCCGGGACGATGGTGTCCGCCGCCGGCAAAGTAGACGACGGTGTAGTCGTTTTCGACAAAGAGGTCCATGGTGTCCATGATGCGGTCGAGGAGCGCATCGTAGTCGACTTCTTTTGGATCAGGAAGGCAGCATGCGGCGAGGACGACCATGGGGCGCGTCTCGTAGTCGAGGCCTGCCTGGAAGACGATGCGACGCACGTACGAGTCGAGCTTCTCTGTGCGAGCGATGGCTTCGCTCCAGTTGGCTGCGGGACGCTGGTGTGGGATGGGTGAGTTGGAGGGTTCGGAGCTGGCTGGCGTGGCTGACGGCCACAGAAAGCCGGAGCCGGAGCGAAGCTTGGTGCTCGAGGACCTGGATTGGAGGCGGGAGAGCGTGGCATACGCGCCGCTGGGCGATTCCTGCTTGAGCGAGGGCGAGTGAGGCGGCAGGTCATGCACGAGCCTCGCACGCGGCGAGGTGGGCGAGTGGGATGCCGGGGTGTGAGGGGGCGAAGAGGCGGGCACGTCTTCAAAGATACCGGCTAAGGGACGGCGACGCGGCGAGCTTGTTGGAGAACGACGAGGGCTTGGCATCGTACCAGTTTGGCCGAGCGAGTGGTGGTCTGGTGTGCGACTGTCGCCGGGGTGGGCGTGGTCGGTATCGTGCTTTTCGACGGATGTAGCTTCGACTGGAGCCGAGATGTCGAAGGGGATGGCGGCTCTTGAGCGGCCGGACTTTGCGCGACCGGTGCGCGTGGGAGATGCCGACTTGCGCAGCGTCTGTGTGTTGTTGTTGCTGGTCTTTTGGCGCGCTGCTGCGGGGCCCCAGCTGAGCAAGTTGCCCCAGCCGCCGGGCACGGACATGTTGGGGGAAGCGCTGGGGCTCTGCGACGAGGATTCTGGACGCAAGCGAGACGGACCGCCCTCGTTGGTCTGCTGCTGGTTGTAGGCGCCCCAGAGAGAGGCGAAGGCATTGGAGATGGTGCCTGCGGCGGTGCGGTAACCTGCGGCGGGGGTGTGGTGACCGGACGAGGCGGTGGGAGTGTTGAAGCCGGATGTGCCCGGCGATTCTGGCTCCGGCTCGATGCGATCTCGATGTGGTGGCGACGGCATGTTGGCGACGAGAAGCGACATGGGATTGGTGCTGCGCGATAATGGAATGGTAGCGGTATGCGATGTGTGCGCAGACAGCCGATTGTATGGTGGATGCGAGGCTGGAGCCGCGGATATGCGCTCAGTGGAGTTGCATTAACAAGGCATTGCGGGTGGTGATGAGGGGGAGTATGGAGGAGTATGGAGGAGGGGATGACGAGGGCGATTTCAGGTCGATGCGGGAAGGAGGCGAGACAGAGCAGGCGCGCGGCGAAATATGTGGAGCGAGGCAGGGCCGATGCGCACGATGCGCTCGCAGCAAAGCCGATGCAGGTGGCTCGCCAGTGCCGGGCTCTCTTTGGCCACCTCGCAGCTCACTGAAGTCAACTCAGGCAGGGTCCGGCGTGAGTTGGCGCTGGCTGCGCATGACGCATAACTTGGACGAGAGTGCCTTCCAACCCTGTGCTCGACGTGCTGGCTTGGGACGAGTCGAGAGAAAGAGCATCCTTGATGAACGGTGAATTGGATTTTGCGAGACCCACAAACACATGCTCGCCCCACCAACGCGTTGTTGGTCTCACCCCCGAGCGCGGCGTCATCACACTCTCACACTCGCATCGCATCGTCGATGTGGCTCGTCATCGGGCGAAGGCCGCTTCATACACGAAGCCTCGGCTGATCCGACACGATGGCACGCTCAGGCACGCTCGAGACGCGTGAGCGGCGGATAGGGGCAGCACGGGCCCACCTCGGCCCATCCGAAGCACAACCGCCTCGGACACGCTTTGTTGGGGCGAAGGAGGCACTGGTCATAAGCTCATCATCACTAAATTTACACGGTCTCGTGATGCTGTGCCAGCGTTGGATTGCTCTCCGATGCAGGTGCAGGGCCTTTGAAGCATGGCATCATCGGCAGCCCCCACGTGAGCCGTCGACGCGACTCACTCTGCGCGCGCCCTGCAGACAGGAGAGACCCTCTTGGAGGACCCTGAAGAGCAAGCAGCCCGCTCGAGTCTCGCTTGGCGCCGCGTTGTTCGGAAAAAACAGTCGTTCTCACGCCGCCTCTTGAAATAGGGGCCCGAGCATCAACAAATTCAGCCCCGGCGCGCCTCGTCTGCCTCTGCCTCTGCCTTTGTCTGTCTCTCCCCACCCGAAAAAAAAGGTGTAGGAATGGAATGAGATATTGCGATGCTTTTGAGCTTTGAGCTACCCGCGCTGCACGTCCATCTTGCGCCACATGAAGCCGATCAGGAACGTGCCAATCAGCGTCACCGCCAGCTCGAGCGACACGATGCTAAACTGGCCCACCTGGTAGATGGTGGATCCCCACAGCGCGCCCGAGATTCTGCCCGAATAGTTGCTCAGCTGGATCACTGTCGAGGTCAAGCCGTTGTACTTGGCCGGAACCTGCTTGGACAGCAGCGAGAGCGTGACGGTGGTCAACATGTTGTATCCCAGCGCCACCAGGAACCAGCTGGTGAAGAACGAGCCAAAGTTGAGCGAATGCAGCATGCCCAACCTCGCCACGGCCGAATGCGCCGGACTCTCGAGGCTGCCCATATGCAGCGACAGCCCCAGCAGGCCAAACAGTAGACCGGCAGCGAGGATCAGTCGGTCCTGCACATGGCGTGCGGCAAATACGAGCGCAAACAGGATGGGCATCGTCGCCAGGCCACCGAGCGCGATCACGTTGCCGGCATTATACTCGCTCCATCCGAATCGCAGCTGGCCGAAGACCGGGATGTTGGCCTCCCACGCTCCCAGCACGAGGAAGTTGACCATGCTGAACCAGCACATGGTGAGCACCGAGAACTTTTGTGCGCCGTTGAGCTCGCGCACCATGCTCCGCAGCGTCGGCTCGCTTGGCGCATCTGCGGTCATTTTTGGCTGCGTTGCGGGGAGTGCGCCCAGTTCGAGCTGCGAGTTGGGCACCAGCTGCACTGGATCGACAAATACGAACCAGGTGAGCGCAAAGAAGCCGCCAAAGATCCCGGCCATTAGCCATCCGCTGGCGGTGAAGCCGTTCCAGATGCGATGCTCGTCGTCCATGGGCCTAACCTGCTTGGACAGCAATCCTCCGATGAACGGCCCTACAGCCATGCCTCCCACCTGGGTCGTCACTAAGCATGCGGCCATCATCGTGCGCTTGTGTGTGCCCACCACCGCGGCGTCGGTCATGTACTTTTTGACGTACATCCACGACACGAACCCTGCGCCCAGAATGACACGACCGACAAACATGAGCCAGGCAGTATCGGCTGCACCTGCCAAGGCGTACACCACCTCGCCCACCAAGATGCATGCCGAGCTGAACAGCATCGGAAAGCGGTAGACGCGGTTGTATCGCTTTGAAAACGGTACGAGGAATAGACCGGCAATCAGGGTAGAGATGCCGATGGTTAGGCCGGAGAACCATGTTGAGGCGCCGAGTTGGTTTGCGTAGGCGGCCGAGGTGGGCACGATGATGAAGAACGTCATGTTGAGCAGGAAGTTGAGCAGCAACACTACCGCGCTTTGCGAGAAAGGCGGCACGTGGTCCGCATCGACAGCCACCGGCACCAACGCAGCTACCGATGCGCGGGGTGAAGTCGAGCGCACAGCTAGCTCAACGGCTGCCAGGTCGGGGAGCGTCGAGATGGGTGGCAGCTCGTCATCGCGTGTCTTGGCATCACCCATCGCGGATGCTGTTTGTGTCTTGGTGCTCATGCAGCAGGATGTTGAGACGGTGGTGGTTGTCCGTACAGAGCCGAGGAACGAGGCCCGGCTGCTACTGCATCGTGGCTTGACGAGTCAGAGCAAGCCACATGGTCGGAGCAACAGCCGGCGATAGTCTGTAGTCCGCGGGGTATGCAGCGCCCCCGCCAGCCGTAGAGTCACGCCGCGTCGAAATTCAGGCTCGGAGAAATCTCCGGCATGCCCAAGACCCTCAGCCAAGCTGCAACGCCAAACGACGTCGCTCGCACCACCACCTCGTACCACCACGAGCCGGTTCTTGCACACACGAGGTTGCCATGTCAAAGCATGCGATTGCATTTTGCTTTGTCCACAACAATGAATAAACCTCAGCTAGAAAGAGAAGATGTTGCCGGCCTGACCACGGCCTCGCCGACCAGGAAAGACAGGCCCCAAACACTCCAGCACCTGTTACAGTAACTGAAAAAGGACCCGCCCGAGACTCCATGCCAACGAGGCGCTGATGAGATCAGACGCGGCTAGCATGCGCAGCAGCGTAGCGAATGTGTAGTACGCCGTACCACCACACATGCCCCACCTGCGCGCGCCGAAGCGCCACAAGTGGTTTACTGTTGGACCCTCACCAGGAACCGCTACGGCTTAGTTTGAGCACAGAGCGGGCAGAATTAGGTCCAGAGGAGAAAGAGGGGGGGAAGGAATAGGGCGAAGGAGCAGGAAAGAAGAGAGGGACTCAGGGCAGGAGGAGGGGAAGGAACGGGGCGAAACTCAGTGGAGAGGGATGGCGGCCAAGGTCGATGGTGGTGTCGACGGAATGCAACCCTCACGAGGCAGGAAGCATGTCGGAAGGCCGGACGATACACGAGCGGTGCAAACTGTCGGAAAGGTATGTTCTGAAGACGGAGGATGTGGTGGGAAGGAAAGCTGTTCACGAAGCGAGAAGGGCTGCTCTTTATCCACTTTTTTTTTTTTTTTGGCGTCCTCGAATCGCTATTTTTTCTTCTTCTCTGCGCCTTTGGCTCACGTGATGCGGTGCGGGTGCGCTGCGGATGGACGGAAAGGCGGGAAATGTTGGATTAATTGTAGCAGCAGCAGCTTCTCCACTTTTGGCGCGGGGGTCCATCGATCGCATCCACCATCCATCAGCTGCTACCAAGCTGGGATCGCCCACGATGAAGCTCACACCAGAATTGATATCGCGGAGTCAATCCTCGATCAACGCACTGCAAGATCGCGAGCTCGATCTGCGCGGGCTCAAGATCCCTGCCATCGAGAACCTCGGTGTGACGCGAGACCAGAACGATGCCATCGACCTTACGGACAATGACATTCGATTCCTCGGCAACTTTCCGCTCCTGCAGCAGCTCAAGCATTTGCAACTGGGCAACAACTTGATATCGCGCATCGACGCACGTCTCGCCTCGTCCCTTCCAGCGCTGCGCTCACTCACGCTTACCAACAATGCCATTGCCGATCTGGCCGAACTGGCGCATCTGGCAAAGTGCAGGCGGCTAGAGTATCTGTGTCTGATGGGCAACCCGGCGAGTCGCGAAAAGCACTACCGCGAGCTTGTCATCTGGAAGCTACCCCAGGTGCGCGTGCTCGACTACCAACGCATCACCAACCGCGAGCGCCAACTAGCAAGCGACCTTATGCAGACCGAAGATGGTCAGCCCTCCGAATTGGCAGCAGGCATCATGCGCCAAAGCGGCGCAATGGACATCGATGCACCCGGCGTCGCAAAGGGCCGCACGTTCGAACCAGGTCGCTTGAACGGATCGTCAAGAAGACTGTTGACGCAGGAAGAGAGACAGGCCATCGAAGAGGCCATCGAAAACAGCGAGAGCTTGGAAGAGATTCGCCGCCTCGAAGAGCAGCTCAAGATGGGTTCGTTTGCCGGCTAGAGTTTGGCTTGCTCATTTTAGCCAGATCCGCACATTCTTCCGCCGCATGTATTAGTATGAACACAGTCCTTTTCTTCTCGTATCGTCCGTCTGCCATTACCGTATGCCTGCTGCATCGTTGCGTGGATAGCAGCAGCTGAGCGGAAAGAGCCGAGCGGGGTGGACTCGATCTAACACTTTGACCCTGGGCAAAAATCGTTGGCTCAGCAGTGCGTTGGGGTTGGGGACTTCCGGCGTTTTGGTCGGCGCAATTTCCGTCTTTCTTTTCGTTTCTCGCCACCGAGTCGAGCGAAGCCTTGATTTCCTGACTGCTTTTCCAGGGATTTTTTGGGGGAAGTTCGCTGCTGCGATTTGGCGCGGCGATGATTGGAGGGTTTCTCGGATTTGATGGCGTGAGCAACTGTGCCCTCAAACCTTCAAGACCCTGGGTGGCACCGTGCACCTTGCTTCTCGCCTCTCCACCACATTCTCTTCCATCCTCGCCCACTGCGTCATGAGCTGCTGGGCATCGTCTTCCGCGTCATTGCGCGCTGTGGCGCCGCGTCTCGCTCGCTCAAGGGCAGCCGCCGCCACCCTCCCGTCTCAGTCGCTCGCAGCTAGGCCCGCCACCCGCCTCGTCGCTGCCAAACCACCCACCTCGCCAGCCAGGCTGTTCAGTAGCGCCGCAGCTGCACGCGCAGACACCTCCGTCTCGGGACAGGATCTCTCGATCGCCCTCGACGACAACGGAAACATCCCCGCAGCGCCCTACTCGCCGCTGCCGCTCGCCGGCACATCACCCTCGTACAAGGTGCATCTCATCATCCATCCCTACGACCATGCACGACCAGCCGACACATGGCCCTCGCATCTCGAGTCCGTGTCGCCGTTCCTCTCGGAGCTCGAGAGCCGCGCAAAGAAGGGCGGCAGCCTCGAGGGGTACGGCATCTCGTTCTCGGCTGGCGACGCTCGCGCCGTCTCGTCCAGCGAGGCGGGACTGCAGGCGTGGGATGCCTCGACGTCGCGCATGATGCGTGCGGTGCCCAACTCGGCGCAGGAAGACGAGCGATTCGTCGTGCATGCCTACACCACCAACGGCACCATGGCCAAGCTCGCGCCCGTGTCGCTCGCCACGCTCGACAACGGCGGCGCCTTTCGCCAGCGCATCGACGACGCGCTCGCCGCTGCGCAGCCACAGACCGGACGTGCCAAGCCGGACGACGAGACGCACGTCTACGTCTGCACGCATGCCGCGCGCGACTGCCGCTGCGGCGTTGCCGGCACCGCCGTCCTCCAGGCGCTCAAGGACGAGGTGCGCGCCCACCAGGCCGCCGCGATCAAGGCGGGCAAGCAGACGCCCAAGAACGTGCGCGTCTATCCCGTGAGCCACGTGGGCGGACATGCGTGGGCGGCCAACGCGCTCGTATACCCGCACGGCGATTGGTATGGTAATTTGCGCACCACCGACTCGAAGCTCGTCTTGCGCGCTGCGCTGGCGCCCGCGAGCTCGGCGCACGATCTCGAGGATATGCGCGAGAGGCTGGTGCACTGGCCCCGATGGCGCGGCCGGCTCGGACTCAGCAAGGCGGCACAGCGAGACCACTTTGCCGAGTGGGGTCCGCCTACCGTCAACACCGCGCACATCACGCCGCGATCGCGCGGGCTTGCCACCGCCTCGCGCGCGGCGCTCTCCTCGACCCTGTCGACGGCATCGCCTGCTTCGGTGAGGACGTACGCCACGGATGCAGCCGAAAAGGCCAAGCCTTCGGCACGCATGCAGGCGTTCCGCGAAAAGCTCGCCTCTGACCTGTCGATCGACGACTTTGCCGCTGGCGATGCCGACTCGCTGCTCTCTCCCGGTGCGGGTCGGGTTCAGATGGGCCGTGTGGGAGAGGCACGTTTGCCGAAGCATCTCAAGACCAAGATCCCGACGGGCGCCAACTATACGCGCATCAAGTCGGATCTGCGCGGGCTGGGGTTGTCGACGGTGTGCGAGGAGGCGAGGTGTCCGAACATCGGCGAGTGCTGGGGTGGGTCCGGTGATAAGGATACTGCGACGGCGACGATTATGATTATGGGCGACACGTGTACGCGCGGGTGTCGGTTCTGTGCCGTCAAGACCTCGCGCACTCCGGCGGCGCTCGATCCGCACGAGCCGGAGAACACGGCCGAGGCGATCTCGCGCTGGGGACTGGGGTACATTGTACTCACCTCGGTGGATCGGGATGATTTGGTGGATGGAGGGGCGGCGCATATTGCGTCGACGATCAGCAAGATCAAGACCAAGTCGCCCAAGATTCTGGTCGAAGCGTTGGTGCCGGACTTTTCGGGCGATCAGGCGTGTATCGAGCAGGTCGCCACATCTGGGTTGGATGTGTTTGCGCACAATGTGGAGACGGTGGAACGTACGACGCCGTCGGTGCGCGATCGACGCGCCAAATACCGTCAGTCGCTCGCTGTTCTGCGACACGCAAAGACGGTCAAGCCGGATTTGATCACCAAGACCTCGATCATGCTTGGGTGCGGCGAACAAGATGCCGAAGTTGAACAGACGCTGCGCGACTTGCGCGAGGCCGAGGTGGACGTGGTGACGTTTGGACAGTACATGCGTCCGACCAAGAGGCATATGAAGGTGCACGAGTATGTCAAGCCCGACATGTTTGCGCACTGGCAGAAGCGCGCCCAAGAGCTCGGGTTCCTGTATGTCGCAAGTGGCCCGCTGGTGAGGAGCAGCTACAAGGCGGGCGAGTTCTTTATCGAGAACGTGCTCAAGCAGCGCAAAGCCCAACAGGCCACAGCACCCGTAGACAAGGAGAACGAGGTTAGGGCGACGGTTTAGATAGCAAAATTGCAGGTTTTTTCGGAGTGGCCCGGTGCGTGTGTGGATGATGATCGATGGCTGCGTGTGCACAGTGGTACAGAACGAAGAGACGACCCAGCAAGTGCGCGAGGTGGTGGTGTCTGTGGCAACATCCAAGGCAATCTTGGTGCATTCTCGGCATCACCTGTTCTAACTAGCATGGTGGCCACCGTTTGCATGACAAGGGCCGGCAAGGGCAAACCGTCGTGTGCATACAAGCGTCTCTTTGCGAGGCCATGCCGGAATGTAGACTCAGCCAGGTTCGGTTCGCATCCCACACTCGCGCATTCGGTAGACGACCAGGCATTCCCTCACGACGCACCGTCCAACAGCCAGAGCACTTCCAAACGCTCCCACTGCACTGCGCGCATCAAACACCGGCACACCACTCGCACACCCCACACACACACACTGCAGCGTCCGAACATTCGCATTTCCGAAGCAACTCCACCACACATGGCGACTCGAATCGGCGCCGCGTTTAGAGGCTGGCGCGCGAGTCGTACAGGCTACTACTACGCTCGCTGACACCCTCCGCACTCGACACGGGCAGCGACAAGTCGAGCATCTCAAAGTCGTCCTCTTGCGACGTCTGCGTGTAGCTATGCTCCGACTCTGCCCCCCACGCACACGACCAGTCCAGCCCCTCGCCCCATCCTTCAACATCGCACCACGCGGTCCAGCCGAACTCGACGCCTCCCATCGCACTTCTTACATCACCGGGGCACGCGTTGGGAATGTGGACGATCCACATGGCGGGATCTTCCATATCGATCCGTGCTCCGTCCAGTAGATCTTGGGTCCACAGCACGCGCAGCAGAGCCTTGGCATGCATGTAGCGCGCGTGTTCGTACTGCAGCGCGGTGCATGCGTCGTGCAAAAACGCACGGTCGAACAGGCGGCCCTGCAGCCCGGGGGCGGGATCGCGTCCGCCCAGTGCGTCGTACAGCGGATCGATCAGACGCATACGCACCACCGTCCCCACCTCGGCGTTGGGCGGCGGCATGCGGAAGTACATCCCCATCTCCGCGGGCTCCTCGTCTCCCATCACCGAGGGGCAGGACTCGGCCACGCTGCGTGCGCTGGGGGCGCTGGGGATGCTGCGCGGGGTGGCAGCAAACACAGCTGCATTGCGCGCGAGCTTGGCGGTGCTGAAAGTGGTGCCTGTGCGGCGCGGGTTGGGGGCCGCACCCAAGCGACGCGGAGTGGCAGGCGGGCGCCGGGCGAGTTTGGCTTTGTCGTCGATCTCGTCCGCAGCGAGGCGGAGAGCAAGCGGGGCGTTGACGACGAGGTTGTCGAACACGCGTGCGCCGCCCGAGGAGAATTGGCGGGCGGACTGGAGGCCTACGCCGCCTCGGAGGGGCGAGAGTGCGAGCTGGCCACCGGCGGGGCGCGCGCCGATGCCCGACAGACCACCTCGGGCAAATCCGACCGAGGGCGAGGTGAAGCGTGAGTATGCGGCGCGGGCTGTGTTCTGGGAGGACGTCGCGCGGAAGACATCGGCAGCTCCGCGCAGCAGCGACGACCGTACGTGTGGGGCAGCGATCTTGATGGCTGCGAAGACGTGGCGCGGAGTCCAGACACGTGTGGCGTGGCGGAGAGCGCCGGTGCGCAGGGCGTGGGTGGCGCGCAGCAGCACCTTCTTGAGCACAGCGAGCGTGCTGCGTTGGGGAGCACGGGCGGCTGACGAGTAGCATCGGTGCGAGACGGCGCGCATGTGTGCGGGGTTGTAGAGGAGCGCGATGCGGGATGTCGGTGTGGGGCGCGCGTTGAGCGCGGTGGATGGACGCGGTCGTCGCGTGTGCGCTGCCGAGCGCGTCACGGCGCGCGCCCGTCCAGGTGAAGGCCGTAGCAGCATGGTTGATTGCCGCCAAGAATCGAGATGGTGTCGAGATGGTGGGGCTGGGTCGAGTGCGGGGTGGCGAATCGGACTCAGCCAGGGTCCACCGCTGCACCGCCCTGCAGAGGACCCTTTGGAGCTCTCTCGCGCGAAAGCAATTTATCAATGTTAGACCGTCGTCCCTCCGCGCGCGAATCCCGAGCCTTCCCAGGTGTGGACTGAGCGCCGCTTTTTGAGAAGGTGTTGGTCTTGTCTCTCTCTCTCTGCTTCACGCGACCAACACGATTGCTAACATGTCGTCGGAAGCTGCCCCCTCGCTCGCTGGTGCCGCTGGTGCGGACGCCACATCCAACGTGCGCGACCTCAAGCCCGTCATCAAGAACGTCGACATGGCCGAGGACATGCAAGCTCAAACCATCGAGATCGCCTACGACGCGCTCGAAAAGTTCAGCGTCGAAAAGGACATGGCGGGCCACGTGAAGCGCACGCTCGACCAGAAGTTCGGTCCCACCTGGCACGCCGTCGTCGGCCAACGCTACGGATCGTACGTCACGCACGAGACCAAACACTTTATCTACTTTTGTACGTCTTGTCTCCCTAGATGATATGGCTTGTGGCTTGGCGACAAAGTACTGACTCTCGATTCGCGGCGCAAAACAGACCTGGGTCAGATGGCTTTCCTGCTCTGGAGGGCGTAGTGCACGCACAGACTGCAATTCCGAAACGCTTTCGAAAAGTTTCTCTTTCAGCCGCCAAGACGCGTTCGTGCCCACTGCAGGCTGCGCTGGATGGCCGCGACGATGCCGAGCGATGGCACGGTGTGCGGGGCTGTATCGCCCGCCGCGTTGGGGTTGCTGGGGCGGTCTTTGCGGTCGGCAGTGGCGGTGCCCCACCACGCGTCAAAGATGCCGGGTGTCGAGTCGGTCGCGCGCACCGGTCGGCCCCACATGTCGTACGTCACGGGCTCGGCGCGGTCGAGTGCGCGATCGAGCGTGTGCCCCGGCAGCCCGGATTTCTGCTGAAGTAGCTGCGATACTTCGCGCACGAGTCTCGGCACCGCACGCGCATACATGCGCGTCAGCTCGACATCGAGGTTCATGAGCCCTTTGCGTGCTGTAAACGGCGCCAGATGGTTGTGTCTTCGTACAAGGTCGTTGAGTCGATCCAGCTCGTGTGTGTGGTAGGCGCGTTCTCGTGCTTCCCATTCTGCATCCCTATAGCGCGTAGCCAACTCCACCAACGCCTTCTCCCCCCTCGTCCTTGCCTCTGCCTCCGCGCAAACGGGTTCGAGGCCCGAGGCGAGGTGGGAAGTGGTGATCATCCGACTCGCGCGCCTTACCCAACTATCCACACATCGCGCGCGCCAACTTTGAAGTTGGGCCTCGAGTTCGGTGTTGAGTTCGACCCAGGGTGGGGCGGCGCCTTGGCGTTTGACGATGCGGTTCATAAAGTACTCTTCGCGCGCCAGGAAGGGGTTCTTCTCGTCCATGTCGCGCTCGATCGGTCTGCCCCTCAGCTTATTGTGCCTGAACACGCCCGCTTCCTGAGCCGCCTTGATGCGTTTTTCCACAACACTGTCCCAGCCCTGTGCATGGCCTAGTTGCAACTGCAGGTCGCGCGTCACATCCGATACCTCATCCCCAACCCCCTCCGAAGAGGAGGATTTGGAGAGTTGGTAGTCGAGAACGCTTTCGCGCGCACGCACCAGTTTCCCTCGTCGCTCGGCCGACTTGAGCCCCTGACGTAGCTGCGTCATGGCTTTGGGGTCGTCGGTACGGATGGAGGCCGCCATACCTGCGGCACGAAGCTTGGTGCGCATCTCGGAGCTCATTCCCGTATCTATGGTGGAAGAGGAGGATTTGAGGAATTGGCCGTAGTAGACGCTCGGTTCGTGGGCCGCATTGCCCAAATGCGCTGGTCGGACGTACACCGCACGCCACGGCTTGGCATCCGGCGTCTTGGGAAGCTTCCGTCCGCCTTCGTACCCGCCTTCGGCTTCGACACCCAGGATGGAGCTCGTAGAGTCTTGTGACCGAACGGCTTGAGGCTCAGTGGAGGCCGGGCCGGGGGCCGAGGGCTGTTGAATGCCCTGTCGCATCTTTTCGTCGGCGGGATCTTTGGATTCGTCGCCACGGATGCGCAGCGGTTTGTACTTGTCCATCACCATCCGCAGCACGGTATCCTGCACACGCTCCTCTCCCGTCCACGCGGGATCGTTCGGATCCGGTCCCTGCGACTTTTTGGCCAGGGCACGGCGCTCTTCATCCTCGAGCTGCCGTGCGTCGTCCAGAAGCTTGTCGGCGCCCGTCAGGTCGTTGTGCGATTGCAGAGCGCGGGTGCTCGTGCCGATACGTCGAGCCTGCAGCCTGAGAGAAGAGCGCATAGCTGTGCGTGTACTCATCGTTGCTACGACTCCAGCAAACGACTCCCGACCCGAACGCAGGTGGATAGAATGGTCGTTCGCCACAACGATGAGGGAGAGTGGAGGCTGCACGCGAAATTGCCCGGCTGAGCCAAGACCACTCCTTCAGGGTCCAATTCAAGAATTCGCCGCGCCCAATCCACCATCCTTTCCCCTAACCGAAGGGCAATCTTCATCCTACTCCGAACTGCCGCCCTACACAAACTGGCTGCCGAGGTGGACGATTCCACCTTCCAGCACCATTTATGTCAGGACCAGAGAGGAATTCGGCAAAAAAAAGACGACACGAACAGGATTTGAACCTGTGCTCCCAGAGGGAATGGCATGTATTTGTTGAGCAGGATAATTTGCTCTAGAATGCGCATTGATTCTAGTGCCACGCGATAACCACTCCGCCATCGTGCCAGTTATGTTCACGTGACCGAATATTGCCTTAGTATGGCTTTGCCTTTGCGTCATCGAATCGCAATCGTTCACGCTTGCTCGGGCTCACACTGGTCATGGCTGGCGTGTTGGGGATTGTTCGTATTGCGGCAAGACATTGTTCTCGGGGGTCTATGGGGGTGTGGGTGGTTTGGACACCTGGATGGCGGGGATGGCGTCGTCGGCAGTGCGGCTGCTGACCGACTTGCGCAGACGCAGGCCCTTTTGGCTCTCGTGGGTGATGGCAGCAGCCTGGCTGACGAATTGGAACGCACTCGAGTCGGTGCTGGGCGCACGCGTGTAGCCCTTTACTCTGCGCTGCAAAATGCCCCCAACAGACTCGAGCTTGAGCGCCGAGGTGGATAGGACTGCGTCGACCTCCTGGTCTGGTACGGCGGGATCGAGCAGTGGCCGCATGACGTGCTTCCAGTTGCCCGACCACGTTGATCTTGGTCCTCGCCCAGTGTTGAGCTCGGGAGGCAGTCCGGGACTGTGTAGCAGTGTCATGCTCGGGTTCGGCGACATGGGTACTGCCGCTCCGACTCTCGGCTCCAGCAGTCCCGCCGGAGAAGGGGCGGTGGAAGCTTCGAATGGCTCCTGCATCCCAGTTCCTGTGGAGAGCCAGCTGGGTTGCGGATGGTGAGAGAGGAGCGACTCCCACTGGCGAGCGAGTCCCTCGGCATCGCGGAAGATAAGCCCGTTGGAACGGTCGCGCACGAGCTCGTCGAGACACGCAAAGTCGAGCGCGCACACGGGCAGCCCGCATCCGAGCATGTCAACCACCTTCATCGGCAGATCGAGACCCGAGCTGGAGGTGTGCAGCGATACGCCAATGTCCGCAGAACCCAAAAGCACAGGGTAGTCGGGCGTCTCGAGCCACGCCGTACGGATGCGCACCCACCGCCAGCGCTCCTGTGCCTCCAGCCGTGCGATTTCCGCAAGGTACCGCGCCCGAAGCTCGCCTTTGCCCGTCACGATGATGACTAGCTTCGGTAGGGTGGTTGCTGGCTCGTGCGGCAACGTCGCACTGCGCAGCGCACCCAGCGACGGTCGGCGCCGTTCTTTCGACGTCCGCACCGTCTCGCCGTCGGATGAAAAGGGCGCGGGGGAGGAGGGTGTGATGGGAGAGAGCGTGTTGTCGCCCGTACTGCTGCGCGAGTGTGCGGGTGAGCCACTTGTCGGCGAGGTTTCGGCGAGTGCGCGCGCGCGGAACTCGTACAGCCTCGCCGCACGCAGAAGCAGTCCAAAGTCCTCGTCGGCCGTCCAGGAGGTGCTGCTCACCACGAGCGCAGGCCGATCTGGGCGCCACTGCACGCTCGCCTCACCCGCTGCTCCATCGTCGCGCGTAAACGGCGTCGAGGCCGGTACGCTGTACTCGGGCACAAACCCGTCGCTCAATGGCGGCTGGAGCTGCGGAACGAGCTTTGCCATGAGGCGGTGTGTCTCTTGCACGGTCGCCCTGCGAAAGTGCGCCGGCGGTCGGTCGTGCAGTACGGCCTTGTGCCCGTGCAGCTTCCACTCGAGATCGAGGTGGTTGCGCATAGCGTGCGTCACGAACAGATGCGCATACGCCTTCCTCCCACTCCACCTCTCCAACCACTCGGCGAGCCTGACGAGCCGCGACTTGGCGCCGAGTCGAAGCGCCAGGATGGTGTACGCGAGGTTGTGCCAGTCGATGATCACGCGCGCGTTGACGAGCTTCGCGGCGACCTTGACGACGAGCAGTGTCGGGAGTGCGGGCGGTGTCTGGACAAGGATGACTTCGGGCGGCGGACGGACCTGCGTCGTGAGCTCCGTGAAGAGCGAGAGTGCCTGAAGAGCGAGCTTGAACGGCGCGACTGCGATGAATGCCGCGCGGGGGAGACGGGCGATCCAGGAGGGTGGGGTGCGCAGGTGGTGTTGGCGCACCGACGGGCGGCGTAGGGCGGGAGGCAGCGACGAACCGGGATAGCCGACGATGGCGACCTTCCAGCCTTCGTTGGCGAGCGACTCGACGTGCAGACACATGCGTGGACTGCGACCGATGTCGCCCAGCACAACGACGGCGGCCGAACGACCAAGACAGCCCGAGGAGGCCGGACGCGTGGAGGACGAGTGATAGGCTGCCACATAGATGCACAGTGCCAGTGCACCCACCAGCGGGATGAGGGCGAAGCAGAATGCAACCAGCACGACCCAGAGCAGCATCTTGGTGGGTGTCAGGCGTGCATCGTGGTGAGGGGCGGGATGGTGGAGGAGGATGAGGTGTTGGTCTCTGCACGCGCACCGCTCCAACAAATTTCGGAAGCCGGAGAGTCAGATCCAACACCGCGACACGAGTGATCCGCACGCACCTTCGCTCCATTCGCACCCTCATCATCCATAGCCCCTTGATCAATCGCCACAATGCGTATGGTAAGTCGTCTGCGCCTTCATCCCCGCTCGTACCTCCTCACTGACCTCACCTTCTTTTGATTCTTCGACAGCTTTCGGAACAAGAAGCCAACGAGATCGAGGTGACGTGGGAGGACCAACAATCGATCAATGCCTTTTCGCGCCTCAACTCGACCTACGCGGACATCGAGGAAGACCTGCGCATCAAGCGCGAAGAGCGCGAAGCCCTCGACGACCTCTCTATGGAACTCGAACTCGCCGATGAGGACGAAGTCGTGCTGTACCGCATCGCCGATACTTTCGTTTCGCTCCCCCACGCAGAAGCCCTCGAACGCCTCGAGGCCGACCAGAAACTAGCAGACGACCAAATCGACCAACTCGCACAGAGTCTAGACACCTACGACAATCAGATGAAACAGCTCAAGGTCAAACTCTACGCAAAGTTCGGCGACAACATCAGTATGTCCCACCTCCCCCTCATGCACGACCACAAAGATCAACCCCAGAACTAACCCTTAACCCCCATCACCCCCTTTTGCTCTTCCCAGACTTGGAGCGAGATTAAGTCATCTCCGACCCAACACCTTAGCATGTACTTGTACCCTATCACCCATCCCCAACTTCAGTCGCACCAACCACGACACGCGCGATGAAAGACCGTATGCATTGAGAATGTGCGCAGACAAGAAAACGAGCAACAAGAACGGGGAACGAGTGTAAAAGCGTGTAACTGGCGCCGACACTGAAAGGAATGTCCCAAAGCCACATCTGATGGCGTCAGAGAGGAGAAAAATGCAGATGCCGACGCCCGCTCAGGGGTTGGCGAGGTGAAGACCGCCAGCGCCATGTCCTGATGCAGGCGAGCCCGAGCGCTGGTCGTGCTGCTGCTGGTCGGCATAGTACGCCTGCTGCTGGTCGTGCTGCTGCGGCTGTTGCTGGCCGTGGTAGTACTGTGCGTGCTGCGGCGGCGACGATGCGGCGGGGTGGCCCTGGTAGTGCTGCGGGAATTGCTGCGGCGACTGCGCGCCCAGCGGCGGAGAAGTGTAGCCGCCGCCGTACTGGCTGCCGCCGTGGCCCTCCTGCGAGCCCTTGGCGTGTCCCGACTGCGATCCGCCGCCCGCCGACGCGGTTCGCGGCGCGCCGCCCACCTTGGTGGATCCGACCGAGAGGCTGTGCTGCAGGCCGGCGTTGGCGTGCGTCTGCGACTGGACGGGGCTCGTGTAGCCCGGAGCGGCGCCCCATGCCTCGGACGGGTAGGCCACCTGCGGCTGCCCCGCCCAGCCCTGGTGCGACTGCATGGCGTACTGCTGGTACTGCGGTCCGCCGTAGCCCTGCTGCTGCGCGTGGTAGTAGGCGTCGTAGCCGTCGTGCGCGTTGCCGTACTGGTCGTGCTGCGCATGCGAGTGCGCGTATGCACCTGCGCCTGCCGCACCTGCTGCACCTGCTGCGGCCCAGCCGGCGCCATTGTCGACGTTCTGGTAGTGGTAGGGCTGCTGTGCCATTTCGTGTTCCATGTCGTCCATCTGGATCTCGTTGACGTTGGCGACGGATCCGCCCATCTTGCCCTCGCCGCTGCCGCCGCTGCCGCCACCGGCGCCGCGACCGTAGACGGCCTCTGCGGACGACTCGTTGACGTGGTCGTTCTCCTGGCCAAAGGTGAGCCACTCGACCTCCTTTGCCTTTTTGGCGCGCTTGCGGAGTGGGAGCAGGATCAGCCAGACGAGGATGATGAGGCCTGCGACGCCGCCAGCGACGCCTCCGATGATGGCGCCGAGGTTGGGGCTGGAGCCGCTGGAGGAGCCGGAGCTCCTTCCGCTCGTGGCGGTTGGATTGGACGAGGTGCTTACGCCGGTGACGACGGCGCCATCGGTGCCTGTGCTTGTGTAGGTGACGGTGACGACGGGGATGGGGGTGGATGAGGCGGTGGAGGCCGAGGTGATGGATGCGATGGAAGACGAGGTGGTGGGAAGAGCCGAGGAGGTCGAGGGGATGGTGGACGAAGTGGTCGGGGCTGCCGAGGAGGAGGTGGAGGTGGTGATGGGGATCGAGGATGTAGTCGAGGTGGACGAGGGGGTGGAAGAGGTGGTGGTCGAGGAAGGCGTAGAGGAGGTGGTGGAGCTGGTGGTCAGCCTCGTGTCGCTGTTGGGGTTGGAAGCGTTGGCGGCGCCATTGGCAGGAGAGGCGGCGGAGCCGGTGGTGCCAGTGCCAGTGTCAGTGCCAGCGGAGGCGTTGTTGGATTGAGGCGAGCGCGGCACACCAGCGATTTGTTTCGGTGGTGTTGATGGCGGTGGCGATTCGGGGCCAGGAGCAGAAGCAGGAGCGGGTGGCGTGTCGTTGACGGGTGCGGCCATTGCGAGTGCCAAAACGAGAGTCGGCGACAAGGAAAAGGAGTGTGTATGAGACGAGACAAGACTCCAGAGTCAGTATGTCTGTCGGTAGCGTTGATGCTGTCGAGGGAGGGAAGACGGAGCGACGATGGAAGAGGGAGAGGGGATGGTGGGGACCGAGACCCAAGCGAAAGGGTGAACTGAGCTTACCTAGGAGACTGGCGCCTGTAGACGGCTGCGTTGGGCGATTGCGCGCCGCTGCGTTGTTGCGGCATGGATGCGTGCGTCCGAGCTCTGCTTTGATCTGAGAGAAAGAGATGGAGCGAGATGAAGCCGGGTGGGTGTCGGATGAAGGCGCGCGCGCTTGATGCTACCCTACGCAAGATAGGGTTTGCAAGGTGGGTCGGGAATGCGCGACGCAACGAATCACGGCTCTTTTGCTTCTTTGCTGGCGACGCACGGTGAAGCCGATGGGCGGAGATGCGTGCGTGGCAGAAATGCGTGGATCGGATGACGATGGCCAGCGTGATTGTAAAAGGGAGGTGATGGTGAGCTTGCAACGTCGTGGCGGCGGCGGCGGCGGCGGCGGCTGCAGCTGCAGGTGGTGATGATGCTGATGCTGCGCTTCGGACACGCCGTGCCGCCAAATGCGTGGCTGCGATGCCACTGGGACTGATTTCGGCAGAGCCTACCGTTGCCAAATGCCAAAGTTTCGCGGAAAAAATGGAAGCGCTGCTAATCAATCGCTCAAAAGCACACGCACCCGCACGCTTACTCACACGCACACACAGGGGGATCAAGCAGGAGGGCCAGGGCGTGGACTCGGTCGGCAAAACAAAGCTCGCCTTTCCAACACACATGAGCCTGCACAGCCCAGCCGACCGTCCCGCCACGCGCAAGTCCGAGGCCTCTCCTCGCGCAATTTCGCCCCCCCTTTTTTTTCTCGCTGCTGCTAACTTACTGGGCTCCCCGTCCACATGCACGGCTGCAGCTTCGACATACGCACACGAGGCTCTCCGGCTCTCCCACCCACCGAAATAGGGGGCATTCCATCGCGGCACTCTGCCTTGCACGGCTCAATCTTGCCCGCCAAAGTGATCCATTTGTGATTGCAACGCCCTTTTGCTGCGCATGCCAGATCGATAGTAGGCCCCGCGGCTCACGCACAAATGGGCATCGGACGTCTTACCGGGACAGCAACACATGCTCGCAACCTTCACAGCGACGGACGGATGGGCACTTGCCCGACAGCTGAAAGGTATCGAAGAGCAAGGGAGTCGAGCCGGCGAGGCGGTGCTGCAGCGGCTCCATGTGACGATGTGATGTGCAAGCGAGGCCCGGCACCGCCCCCTCTTCGACGCGCGTGCGTGCCAAGCGAAGCCTACCGCAGCGCCAGAGCTTCACGTGCCTTTCTGGGGGCGCGAGGTTTTTCTTCGTGTGGACCCTTGTTGGTTTCGCGGTGCTGAATCTCCGATCTGCTGCCTCTTCGAAACCCAAATCGGCAGCTCGTCACCAGCTCCGAATTTGACGCAATCGGCTGCGGGGGCGCAGCACAACATTTCTTAGAGCTCGATTCCAGGACACGGCCCAACGATCACGTCTTGCCAACCCCACCTCGAGCTTGCTGGCATGAAACTCAAACTCTTCGTCCACCCGGCACGCATACAGCCCGGAGCTAAGCGTGGCTATGGTGCGTCGGGCTGCCAAACGTGCGGGGTGGTGCACTGAAAGAAGAGTTAGGATGAGGTTGAAGTGCTACCATCATCGCTCTGCTCCATCGTGACAATGAGCTCGTATACCGACCAAGAGTATGCGTCCGCGTCGACGGCGCCGCACAATGTGGGTGCGGTGGCAGGGACGACGCGCAAGCGCATGCACTCGGTGCTGCGCAAGTCGCACTTCGTGCTGGAGCCTTCGACGGTTGCTGCGCACGTGTTCGATGCAGTCCCGCGCAATGCGTCGTTCGACACGCTGCGACCCATCCTCGCGCGTCTCCCACCTGCTCTCCAGCCACAACAGCCTGAGGATGGTGGCGAGGAGGAGGGGGAGGGGTATGGTGGTGATCACTCGGTCATGTACACGCGGTCTCGACTGGCGTCACTCGACGACGCGAGTGTCGAGCTCTGGCGAGCGCTGCATTCGTTCCGACCGCTCACACAGGACTATGCGTCCGGATATGCCGTCTCACCTCCCCACCCCATCTCGCCCACGGCGAGCGCATCCGAATGCCCCGTGTTTGCATCGGCAAGTGCAGCATCACTAGCCCGCTTGGAGGCAGCGTTCAACTGGTCGAACCTCACGCTGCGGACCGAGGTGGAGCGCGTGTGGTATGGTGTGCTCTTCCTGAGCCTGCGCAAACGCGGCTCGGAGTCGGTCTCGTTCTACGAGGCGGATAGACAGGCGCACGAGGAAGCCACGCGATCCGGAGGCCTCATCATGTACTGGTACGGAGCACCCCACCCCACCACGGGCGCCAACCTGGCAACGTGCATATGGACGTCGCGCACCGCCGCTCTCGCCGCTTCCCGCCTACCCCTCCACAAGGCTGCTGCCATCTACGCCGCCCCAGCCTACGAGCGATACGACCTCGTGCGATACAAGCTCACCAAACGCGCCGGCGATCCACACCTTCACCTCTCAACTTGGACGCGTGCTGACGACCAAGCCGAACGCGATTAGAAATACAACCTTTGTTCGCTTGATTACTTGATCTGCGAGGCGTCGCCGCGTAGTGAGAGGTAGGCATTGTCGACGCCCGGTCCGAACTGTTTGATGATCTCGTACACCTCTACCGAGTGGTAGCGGAGTGTCGACTTGGGATCCGTGTACGGTGCCACCAACCCTGTGACGTCGCAGTACTTTTTCGCCGGTCGTAGACTCGGTGGTGCCTCGACGGACGAATACGTAGGCACCTCCCTCTTGCTCTCCTCCTCCTCCTCTTCCTCCTCCTTGTGTGTATCCTCTTGTTCTACTTCGGGTGTTGGTTCGCTTTCCGGTTCGGTCTTTGCCGCCCTTTCGCGCTCCTCTCTCCTAGCCACCGCCTGCAGAGCAGCACCGACCAATCTCTTGTTTTGGACATCCTTCTTCTTGCGCTGTTTGAACTTGGCCCCGGCTGCACGCATGGCGGCTTCGCGCTCGCTCTGCAGCATCTGTTTGAGGCTCTTGTTGCGCCGCGCGAGGTTGCTCGACATCTTGGCCATGCGCGCGCTGAATTCGGCCGACTTGAAGGTGCGTGGTGCATTGTGGAACGACAGCGTCTCGGCAAGCGATGCTGGCGCCGGTGTGGCGGATGTGGATGCCGCAGCTGAAGCTGCTCCCGAGGAGCGCGATTTAAACGCCGCCATCGTGAGAGAGTGTGGTGATGGTGGTGGGAGGAGTGCGACAGACGGCCAAATGCCAACGAGGGCGATTGCCAATGCGCGAGGGGTGGCCCGAGATCCGAGAAATGGAAAGCCTGTCAGGGTCCAGAAAAAAATCGACCAATTAAAAAATAATAAAAACACGCTCGGCTTCGGTAATGCATGAGGGGCGCGCGGAGTTGAACAGGCGGCAGCGAGGCCCAAAACATGACCCTCGTCCAACCGCATCAACACGACTCGCCTCGCACCGAGCACACTACAGTATGCTAGTGCATCGACTCGCCGAACAGCCCGACTGAGCAGGGCACTTCAATGTGAAAGAACGTGCTGCTTCTTCTCGAGTCGGAGTCGCGGGTTGGCCGCCTGTGTTGCGGTTCGAGACCACCTCGGCTGTCCATTCCCCGTAACCCCTGATTCGTTCCGAGCCGTCTAGCTGCCTACATTCGCGGTCGCCTCGAGCTTTGCTACCACCATCTCTCCTACGCACATACACACGATGAGGCTGCCCTTTCTCCACCGCTCCACCCCTCCTTCCGACGAAAAGCCCTCGGATCCGGTCATAGCTGTCGCGGAGGGGCACGATTCGATCCGGTTGCATGTGCACAACCGTACGCGCACCGACTTTCTCGCGCACTCGGTGTTCGGTGCGCTCCATACGGCGCCTGCCACGCAGCGAGTGGTGTCGTCCAGTCTGCCTGCGTCGCCGAACCCGGACAGTGGGGGGTTTAGTGTGCGCAGTACGCCGTTAAGGCTAGGGGCGGGTGGGCAGGTGCAAGTACCGCCCGTGAGGATTCAGCCGCAAACCGCCGCTGCCACGGGAGGATATACGGTCAGCCTAACGCTCAGCCCACGCAACACCCCCGCGTACACAGCTACGCTTACGGCACCTGCACCGACGCTGCCAGCAGAGGGCAAGAGCGGATGGAAACCCCTGCCACTATCATCTTCAGCGAGTGGAGGGTTGGGAAGCAAGGGGGAGGAGGTGTATGCGTTGCAATCGAGCGATGCAGCGACGAATACGGTGCACGTTCTGCTGCTTCCAAAGATCGATATGGCCGCGTGGATGGCAACGCTACCGGATGGGGATTTGGTGTCGGCCCTGTGTGTGCCCGGCACGCACGAGAGCTGTGCACTCTACGGATGGCCCATCTCGGCATGCCAGGACTCGGCGGCATCGATAGGATACCAGCTCTCGCGCGGGGTGCGGTTTCTCGACATCCGTCTGGCGCTCAAAGGCAACCCCGGTGCGCAGGCGCTATATGCCTACCACGGCGTAACCGACCAAAAGATCGAATTCTCCGCCATCCTTACGCAGGTCTACACGTTCCTCTCAACCTCCCCACGCGAGACGGTGCTGATGTCGGTGAAGCAAGAGAACAATATGGCCGGGTTCTTGGATGCGGTGTTTGGGTATATCAACAAGAACCCCGCGGCGTGGTATTTGGGAACGGGCATTCCGAGGCTGGGCGATGTGAGAGGGAAAGTTGTGTTGGTCTCAAGGTTTGGGTCTTCGAATCAGCAGCCGGGGGGGATTCATCCACCCATTTGGCCAGACTCGTCTCCCACTGCTTTCAGCTACACACTGCCCGACGGTAGGACAGTCGTGACGCAGGATTGGTATAATATCGGATCACTCTCTGCCATCCCCACCAAACTCGGCCTCATCACAGCACTCCTCACCCAAACAGGTGCCAACACCGATGTGTTGGGGTTGAACTTTACGAATGGAGCGAGCTTTCCCATGGCCCTCCCGCCTTGGGTGGCCAAAGGATCGGGCGACCAGTCGGCACAAACGGCGGGCTGGATGTCGACACGCGGTGTAAATGCTTTGCTCGTCGATATGTTGGCGGGTAAACTCGCCAACCCACAAGGCAAAAGGGCGGGGCTGATGAACATCTTTGCCCTCGACTTTTTCGACCAGCCCGGTCTCCCCGCCGACCTGGCCACACTCATTGTGCAAGCCAACTTTATCTAAGCCCAATTCCATTGGTTCATGGTGGTATCTAGTGTGCAAGGAGTGCAAAGGGATCCGCCCTCTCCGTACCGGGACTGGGGCTGAGTGGGATCGCCGTACCGTTGCCCAGATCCAGCAGCAGCACGGAGCAAAACTGCGCATGCAGATCGTCGCCCTCTTCCTTGGGGGGCGAGATGTGCACGTCGGTGGGGAAGCTGCGTACGGCACTGCTGGGTGTTTCGGGCGCAAAGTGGCTCGACATGGGGCTAGCCGTCAACTCGGCGGATACAAGGCGTGGTGTGGGGACGGTTTCGCTGAGTGCGTCGTCGGCATCACCGGGTGCACCGACGTCGTAGCCAGCGGGAGGACGTGGGTGCGAGTACGAGGTGCGTCGTCGGGCGCGCGACATCTCGTACGACGTCTCGCTCGTCCCAAACGTGCGTGGCGAGCGAGGCGACCGAGGCAGCCGTGGCGACAGCCGAACCGAGGCAGGCGAACCGGGGACCTCATCGACAATGGGAAGCGAGCTCGCGTCGAAGTACGCCGTAGCCCTTCGGGGAGTCTCGTCCGCGCTGGGAAGGGTGAAGTTGGGCGAGGTGGGGCTGTGGTCGGTACATGCGAGCGAGGCACGTTGGTGGGAGGACGGCGAGGTGAGCGGGGCGTCGGGACGAAAGGGCGATTCGAGATTCCACTGGGGCTGCGACCAGGTGTGTGTGGGCGTGTGATCGCTATGACCGTGCGAGGCGCCTTGTTCCGAAACGGGCGTAAGCACCGCAGGCGACACTGCCGGTGAGAGCACCGGATCCAACGAGCCGCTTTCGATCCTCTGCATCCCGCTCGACTCGGCATGAATGGCTGCAAACGGATCCGCAATCACCAGTGCCGGTGCGGGCGAGAGCTCGGGCAACCTCGCCAGCCGTGGTGAAGTCGCACCCCAATCGGGTAGGTTCCACACAAACGCGCCGCGCCCCGCGTCGCCATGCGAGGGCGCGGACGCGCTGGTGCTGCTGTTGGCACTGCGTCTTGCCTTACCCGCACTCTGCTCGACCGCCTGCACGTCGGACGTATACAGCGCGATCTCCTCCGTGAGCGACAGCGATACTACCGACGCTGCATCTCCGCACTTGCGCTCGTGATACCGCATCTGCTCATCTTCTTCATCGAGACCCAGTGCACCGCGCATCGCCGCGCCCGAGAGACTCTTGCGGGCGCCGAAATGCGAATGGCTCGGCGACGTGGCTTGCGTCGAGATGCTGCCTTTGCGACCGTCGTGCGTCCACTGGTGCGAACCGTACAGCCACGTATCGCGAATCGCCATCGCTGCAGTCACCCCGTTGGCCGATGGCAAACCAGCCGCTTCGAGCGCGTGCGATCGGTGCGAAGGGGCAAGCTCGTCCGAATCGCGTTCGCCGCGACAGACGATGCTGAGGCTACGCCGGCGTTCCGAATCCTCCGCGCTGTGGAGCGACGACGATAGACGGTGCTCGTCGATGCGCGGTGCACCGAGGTTGGCCGTCGAGCCGCGACGACCGGATGCGACGGGCTGGAGCACGCGCGTGAGCGCCGAACTCTTGCGCCTCCCCGAAGCGAACGTAGTCGGCGCGACAACTGGCGAGGCAGCTGCATTCTGGCCCTGCGCCGAGCCCCGGCGCGCCTTCCACGCCTTGAAGATCGCCGAGGGTCGGCGGGTGTGTTGTGCGGGTGCGGGAGACGCCGCCAGCTGAGCGGGTCGACTGCTCCCGCTGGAACTGGCAGCATCCGAGCTGGTATAGCCTGGCTCGTCGTGACTCAAGCGTACGGCTGAGGAGGCAGCATTGGAGTTCATCCCAACGCCGTGCAGCAGCGTCGAGATGATCGTGGCCGCCGATGGTCGCCGCGAGCTCGGGAGCGAGTCGGGCGCGTGGTAGGCGTCATCGTCCACGCTGAACGACGCCCTGCCGAACGGGTTGATCCACGAGGTGGATGCCGAGGGCTGCAGACCCGCAAGCGCGTGATGGCTGCTGCTCGGCCCCACCTCGGATTCCTCGCCGTGAGCGAGAGACTTGCGTCTGCGCGAGCCGGGAATGAGCGACGGGTTCATCTTGGGCGAGAAGGGCATGGCTGCGTCTGAGGCTCAGCTCGCCGAAAAGAGAGAAGATGGTGGGTTGTTGTGGCGATTAGCTAGCCCGAAAGCTCGGCGGACGTTGTCGAGATGGTGGCTGGGTGGAAAGGATGGCAATGTGATGGTGATGAGGACGAGGTAAAGTACGAGCTGCGGGAGAGAGAGAGGTGTGGGATCTGCACGAGCAGCTCGCTTGTAGGCTGACAGGCGTAAGCGAGTGTCACGAGGACGGGCGTAATGGCAGGCGGCTGTTTGTGCGCTGGGTGCCGCCGACGGAGATAGCGCGGGACAATGACGAGCTGGGGACCCCAGGGTGCGGGTATAGTGTAGCCGATGGAAGCAGCGTGAGCAAGTGTCTCGCGTGGACCGAGCTAGGACGGATGCGTACGATGGCGCGCGAGCCACTTGCTTCCGCGGCTGTACCGAGCTGTGAGGCGGCTCAAGCGCGCGGGAGTACCAAGGCTAGATGGTGCGGATGTGCAGCTCGTGCAGCTTGTGCATGTGCATACGCCACACCAGGATGGCGCAGCAAGGTATTGAACGGGGGTTTAGGAGGGAGAGATGGGGGAGCGGAAGCAAGAAGGCGTTGGCGACGATGCCGGATGTAGACAAGATGTCGTTGGGGCGGAGGCTACATTGCTTTTACACAGTGGAGGCTTGGACGAGGAGGAGCAAGCAGCAGGAAGCAGGAAGCGGCGATCGCTGGGAAGCGGTGTGCGGGCGGGCGGGTACCAAAAGAAGCGCCTGTCTCGGCTGGAGCGTAAGCTAGGTTGTTGTGCAGCCGTGAACCCACGCCATCTTGAGCCAAGGGCAGATGCAGCGTCCGATGCGGGGCCGTGGTGATGACGGTTGCGGCAGGAGCATGATTGGGGAGCCACACGCACTTCTCTCACGCCGGGCGTGCGAATGGTGTTGAATCGGGTCGGAGCATGAAATCGAGCTCAGCACCCAAAGAAGAGGAGGAACAGCAGGCGCAGAGGAGGCGGCTTCCAAACTGCTTGGGCAGAGGCGTCGTTGTGGGCGCAAATAGGCAGTCTTTCTTTTTCAGAGTGGCCGCTTTGAGCCGCTCTCTCGCCCGTCGGCGCTCGTGGAAAGGGCAGAAGTGAGAGTCAAGTGATTCAGGAACCAATTGGGCTCGAATTCAGGCACACACACACACGCACGCACGCGCGAGCGCGCTAAATTCGATCCAATTCGGCGCTCCACCGGGCTGTGGGAAACCTCGAAATCTCGGCGAGGCGCGATCAACTCCCACGCTACACCATCGCCATCATCAGCCTCTCTTTGCCTCTTCCTCATACCAGCCCTCACCATCAGACTTTTCTCTGTGGTATTGAAGCTCGCACTTGCATTGGGAAGCGAAGGAAGTGCGGTGGTGGAAGTAGTGTCGGCGCATGAATTGGGGCGCTTGGTGTGGGTTTTTGGAGGTGGGCTTCGGAGAATGAATTTGCCAAATCCAGTTTTCCCGTCCGGTGTCTCTGCTGGCGCTTCTGAGATTTTGGGGCCCGTCGGATGCAGGCCTTTCCAAGACAACGCTGGGCCCACTTCTCTCGGTTGCGGATGCGGCCTTGGCTTTCCAAAACGACGCACGACGACGCTCGGCCTTCGCTGGTCCCCTTGCCTCGGTGCAACGCGGCCGCATCGGTGGAGCAGAACCTCGATCGAATCAACGCAACGCTAAGCGACCTGTCGCTCGGATCTCGCTTAGCCGCGCATCAACAGCCACATGTCCAAGCCGCCTTCCATCGCTGCCTTCCGCCCCATCCTCTCTCGGCCACACATCAGACGTGCGAACAATATAACATCGTGGCATCCCACCGCTAACTCGTCCCAATTCAAGTTCATCCACATCCACACCAAGCGATGTGTGTGTGTGTGTGAGAGAGAGAGAGAGAGAGCGATTGGATTTTGGTTTAGGCCAGTTTGGATTTTTTTCAAGCTCCTCTCGAAAGAGCAAAGGTGGAGGAGCAGTTGCCGTAGAAGCGCGCACGCGTTTCGCGGTAGATCGTGTTGATCCGACCATCCTTGGGTCGGATCGACGTCGGATCGGCCTCAGGTCTTGGCAGTGGAGCGGAACCATCGTATGGCCGGTCAACTCGCCACGCAGGCTGCAGTCCAAGCGTCATGATGCTCGGCGTGCGGTGGGAGGAGAATCGTCATTGTGCATCGCCTTGGCCGAACGCGACGCGTAGACCCTGAATTCGCTTCCACCCGGCTTGTCGGACACTAACTTAGTGGATGGGATGCTTGTCTATCCCCAGAAGCAGTCAGCCATAACTCTCGCACGAAGAGAAACAAAGGGGTTTACGCACTGAGGAAGTCTTCAAGCTCCGAGATCAGCGCAGGTACCTTGGCCTATAAACCAGCGTGTCAGCGGGGGGTTTCGTCAACATGGATCGTCGTGCTATGACTTACCGAACATTCCGTCTCGTCGCGTCCGACTGCACGAGCAACTACGTCCCACGCCAAGTCGTACTTGCGCGGAAACACTTCGTGGAACAACAGCATCATCTCCTACACCCACCGACACGTCAGTCATCTGTGTAGAAGTGCGGAAGTGGACTAGGGGGACACTCACTTCGCGAGTCCAGTGTCCAGTCTACAAACGCAAAGTGGTCAGCAAATGACCGCACCGAGACAATGAGGTTTTGGGTACGTACCTTTCTGGTGGGCTTGGAACGGCTGGCTTTCTTGGGGGAAGTCGTCTTGGGCGAGTTCGTGGATCCACCCACCGGCTCAGGCTGCTTAGCCCCGGCCTCGAGTGCAGGAGTCTCAGGCTGAGGGAAAGGCTCGCTGGCAGCTGGGGCGGGCTTTGGCTTTCGCTTGTACGTCTTCTCCGGCGTGACGGGCGTGGCCGCGGCCGCGATGGCCTGGACGATGCGGTCGCCCATGTTGGCCGCCACATCGCTGGGTGCGGGAACGGTGAGCTGCGACAGCGTGCGCTTGCGCTTCCTAGGCATGCCTTCGGGCGACGGAGATGCGGGCGAAGACTTGGTCGGCAGACTGTCCTGGGAACTGGCAGGCGTGCTGGCACTCGTACCACCGCTGCTCGTGGTCGAAGTGCTGGGAGAGCTGAATGAGCTCGAGGGACGTTCGTTGCGAGGGGTAGCGGGTGCGGTCGATCCACCGCGACCACGGCCTCGACCGCGACCAGTGCCCCGACCCGGAATCGCAGTGGCCCGAACAGCCGCCTTGGACGTCTCGATTGGGACTGCCGGAGGTGGGGGCGTCTCGACGAGGGGGGCCGCCGCGCGTGGAGTAGAAGGCGGGACCTCTTCGTCCTCCGAGTCCGAATTTATCTCGACAGGCGAGGTAGCTTCCTGAGTGGTGCGAACCTCGTCCTCGTTGCTGCTGGTGTCCTCGTCACTCTCGTCGTCCTGGTCGGATTCCTCTCGCGAGGGAGGCGCAGTGGGACACGTGGCCATCGGCTGCTCGTCGTCCGACGAGTGGTCCGAGTAGGCAAGATCCACGAGGTCCTCGATGTCGAATCCCTCCGACTCGTCGTCGCAGTACGAGCGCATCAGATCCTCCATATCGAAAATTCGCGCTGCTTGGATCTAGACTTGAAACGTCGAGTGGGAAGAACGTAAGAACGGTGCGGAACAGCGTTCTCATAAGTAGCCCTCTGACCCAGGGTTCGGGCCAAAGGTGCGGAACGACAAAGTGCGGAAAGGTCGTTCCGCAAATTCAACACAAAGCAAACACAAAACACGCATTAAGCTTTGCATCACATCCGCATCGCTCCGCCACGGCACGGAAAGGTTGTTCGCTCAATTGTGATTGCCAAAGTGATGGGTGAGTACGAGACGGGGGTGGGGAGGGTTAGAGGTCTTGGCCGTCGAGCCAGCGGTTGAGCATGGCAAGGGCGGCGTCGGGCTGGTCGTAGGGCACCATGTGGCCAGCCTCGTACACGGTAGCCCAGGTAAGACCTCCGCCACTCTGTGTTCGGCCCGCTTCCTTGCCATCCACAACCCATTCCTGCGCCAACGCAAACAAAGCCCAAGGTCAGGACATGCAGACGAAACGAATGAGAAAAGGGTTGTGCTTACGTAGTTCTTGGCGGATTGGAAGTGGGCGTTGGCGCTCCAGTCGAGCGTCTTGACCCACTCGTAGTTGCCGTTGTGGTTGCAGATCCAGTCAAGCGTTCCGACGTATACCAGCGCGCGCAGGCCTCGCTCAAGCAGAGCCGCAACGTTGTATCCGTTGTCATGAATCGAATCAAGCATCCTGTTGAAGCCATCACTGACGTCATCACTGCAGCTGGCAAACTTGCCGATCTGCTCTTTGGGTGCCGCACCCACAAGTTCGCGCACATCGTCACGGTCGAGGTACTTGCGAATATCATCCGTGACATCGTAGCAGAGGTTGGGTGAGAGACCGGATTTGCAATCGTCCTTAATGTTGTACGGGTTCTGTCCAGTGTAGAAGTAGGGTGCCTGGATCTCCTGAATGCACTTGTCCGTCCACATGTCGCAGGCGCTTGGGTTATATGCGTCGACGCAGTGCTCTGCTAGTAGCTTGCGACACTTGGGGACCCAGTTGGCCATACGTTTGCACGTGTCGATGCTGAGGATGGGCGCGACACCGCCACGGCGCGTGCACGTCATGTCGTAGTAGCCCGACATCTGCTTGCTAACGTCGGTGAGGCCGTTGCCGATCAGGACGCCCTTGAGGTTGATCAGTTCGTCGCGGCTGGGTTTCTTGCCCGCCTTGAGCGCCGCGCGCTCGATCTCGTGGTTGCGATCCGCCACTTCCGACGCAAAGATGGGGATGTAACGGCCACCGTACGACTCGCCAGCCATGTAAAAGTCGTTGGATCGGAAGCGGTCAAATGCCGAGAAGAAGACGCGCAGGAAGGCGTAGACGTCGCGAGCAGCCTCTTCGGTCGTGTACACCTTCTGGTCGGTCTTGGAGTAGGAGTAGCCGACACCGACGGGCTGGTCGATGAAAAACACGTTGGCGCGGTTGGTCCACGACTGCGGATGCCAGCGCGTGCCGTTGATCGGTGGGCCGGGCGAGAGCTTGCCTCCGTTCTCGGGGATGCGGCACGGACCAAGCTCCATAAACAGGCCGAGCGACGACGAGCAACCGGGTCCGCCGTTGGTCCAGAGGATCACGGGGTCCTTGGCTGGGTCCGAACGCGACTCGAAAAAGTAGAACCACAGCGACTTGCCGCCGTAGGCCGTGTCGATGTATCCGGACCACGACGTGACGGTCGGGTCGCAGAACGCGTCCGGGTCGACGTCGTGGCCCTTGAGCTCCGACACGGGCGGAGGCGCGTAGAGCTGCTTGATTCGCACCGCCACCGAGGGGAAGTCGCGATGCGTCAGCACCGTGAACTCGCCCTTCTGCGACGCGATGATCTGCTCGGCCTTGGCCGAACCGAACGCAGCCGTCGAGATGGCGTCCAGCGGAAGCTCGACGCGCGCAGGGCCGCCGAGACCCGACGACGACGTGAGCAGCGCATCCAGCTGCGCCTGTGCACTGCCCGCAGCAGCAGCGCGTGCATCGTCGGTCTCGAGGTAGCTGCCCGGGTGCGAGGGCGCGTAGCGAGAGTTGGTGCGAGCGCCAACGCCCATGTGGATCTGTCCGGCATCGATGCTGGCCGCCGACACGGTGGCAGCAAGCAGTGCGCCAAGGCACGAGAGGAATGCAAGCCCACGCATCTTTACTCTTTCTGAAAACGGCAGGTAAAGGCAGCGGTGGGATGGTGGAAGTGAGAGAGACAATGGCCAAAGCGAGAGAGGCCCAAGATAAGACGCTGGATTGGCTCAGCGAAAGAGAAGCAACGGAGCAGCATCGTCCGGCGATACCTCAAGCTCGCCCTGAATCGGGTGCGGTCCCACTTGCAGCGTTGCTGTCAGGGCGAGCCGAGCATGAGCATGCACGAGCCTCCTCGACCTCGTGAAGCGCAACCGCACCGGTCGTCGCACAAAGTCGTCACGCGCGTCAAACCTTTTTTTCCGCCCTTTCAGAGCGCCGTTTGGATTGCCGTGTAGAATGCCGGCCCCCGTGCTTGGCGGTCTAACAATCTCCAAGATTCGCCCCCGCCTCCACCTCTCGAGAGTTTTGTGGACCCTTCGTAGGCGAAAGGCTTTCTTCCGCAACACCATCTCCACACGCAGTCAGCACTCGTCACGACCACCGACACCATGTCGACGGGTCTCGCATCGCTCGCAGGATACGGCAGCGACTCTGACGATGAGGAATCGACGCCAGTGCTCCCGCCTGCATCCGCCGCTTCTTCTTCGCGCCTCACTTCGCTGCTTCCTCCACCAAAGTCGACTTCGCTCGCCGCTAAGCTTCCCGCGCCCTCCAGTGCAGCCGGCAACCCGAGATCCAGCGGAAGCTCGCTGTCCTTGCCGCCGCCCTCCGCTTCTTCGTCGACAGCGAAGCGCAAGGTCATCAAGGTTGGCTCGCTCGCTTCGCTCAACGACGGCGATGACGATGGCGAACCGGACATCGTTGCCTCGGGTGCCAAGAAGCCTCGACTTGGAATGGCCGCGTCGGGCTCAGCTTCGTCCAAGCATTCGCTGTTTGGCATGCTGCCAGCTCCCAAGCGCAGGGACGACGAGGTGCTCGCAGAGAGGAAGAAGGAGGCGCAACAGAGGAAGGCGGATAAGCTTGCGCAAGAGTCCGAGGCAGCGCCCATCGCTGCGGTGCCGATTCAGGTGCAAGAGGACTCTGTTCGAAGTCCGTCGCCAGGAGCGATGATGCCGCAAGTCGTAGAGGAGTCGGTGCAGGATTCGGACAGCAAACCCAAGGGCAAGAACAATGATGCGTTCCGAGCCATGCTTGGGCTGAAGCCGGCCGCCAAGCCGCCATCCACAAAGCCCACGCAAGAGCCAGCGCGGTCCAAACCTGTCACAGGCATCCAGCTACCACCACCACAGCCGGAGCAGCCCAGTACAACGCCAGATCCTGGCATCTCGGTTGCAAAGGTCGAGGCTGCGCCGCTCGACTTTTTTTCGCTCGAGGCCAAGCCTTCTACGCGCTCGTCGGCGATGCAATCCGGAGCCTCGTTCACGATCTCTGCCGCACCCAGCATCGACCAGCCGTTTGAGCCGGAGGAGCCGGAGGAACGCGCGGCGGAAGCCCCGCTGGACGAATATCCAGGATGGCAGCTCGACGCCGATGGGTCGTGGGTGCCTGTCACGCCCGAGGCACATGCTCAGCTGGCTGCATACGAGCAGTCGCTTGCACCGGCGCCCACAGCCACCTCCAAAGGCGCGGCCAATCTCGACGGCACGCGCGATCTGCTTGCTGCGGGCCTTACTCCTGACGACATCCGCACATTCGACGCATCGGCGGCTGCCAGGGACGCGTATTCCCGTGGCGGGGACGACGACACGGACGCCGACAAGTACGCGGCAGCCGCAGAGTTCGCAGCGGGTAACCGAGATGCGATGGCACAGAGGAAGCCAGGTATGCTCAAGGGGCTCAAGAGGGGTCAGCTCAGCAGTCTTATCAGTCTGGCCGACGAGAACAGGAGCAAGGCCGAGGAGAAGTGGAAGAGAGGCAGAGATGCCAGGGCGAGAAGGGCGAATCAGTACGGGTTCTAGGTCATCGATCCAATGCAAAGCTGCGCTGTCAAGCCAATGTGCAACGCTGTGTGTGTTGCTGGGGAGTGTGAGAAGTGTAAGGAGTGGGAAGCTGAAGTGAGGATGGGTCGTACGAGCTGAAAGGGATCGTCCGCGATCTAACAATCTGGACTTTTTTGGAAGATGCGTGCACAAGCCAGCGGCTCTTCGGAGCTTTGTGCTTGCCGTCCACTCGTTCGAATCTTGCTCATGACCCACCTTCTCATAGACCATCACTCTCTACACTTGCGCGCGCAGACGCCAGCTGTTCTGGCCGATACCCTTCCGCCTTCACCTATCTCACTGGTCGCATGTCACGATAAAACAACTATCCAAATCATCTGCTACATCGTCGCAGGGCTAGAGGGTGGTTGTAGGTCGCACCGCGGCGCCTGCCAGCAGTCATGAACGCCTTCCCGCCAGAGCTGCTCCACCATCACTTTGCGTGTATGGTGGTTGCAGGTCTTACGCCGCCTGCAAAACCAGCTTCAGCACCAGCCGCCGCGTCAAGTGCGCCGTCCGCGTCAGATGCTTCGCTGTCGGCGGATCCAGCAGCGCCGTCGCCCCCTGGACCAGCAACAGCCACTTCGGCGTCCTCGCACGCTCCCGCGGATCATCCAACTGCAGCATTCCCCGAGCTTACCAAGGCACTGCACGATATCCTTGCTTCGAGGGCACGTAACACCGTGTGGGACCCTTCGCGCGGGCGGGCGGCGGTATTCCACACGGTCTTTGCCGACCATGCGGTGCGGTTGCCACCGCTCAAAACCAAGCCGTCTGCACGCCATGTGCCACCAATCGCGTCCATCACGGCTGGCTCATCCGGCTCGGCGCCGTCCGAGTCGGCCTCGGCTGCATTCGCTGCGCTGCCGCCACGCTCGCCGCTCTCGCCGCTGCATCCCAACTCGCCGCAGTTTCCAGACGGACTGATCGCGCCCGTCTGGGTGCGCAAACATCGAGAACTCGTCCCGTCCGTATTCGTATCGCTCCACTGCCTTCCGCTCTCTACGGCACCATCGCCTCCAACGCCCGAAGAGCTCAGGAGCGCCGACGAGGAGCTCATCAGGCTCATCTCGGAGCGCAGACGCAGCCTCGCCGAACGCGGCATCAAGCTCACCATCGTGCTGCTTACGCACAAGCACATGCTCGACGATGCACAGCTCGAGGCGCGCCTCAGCTTCATCCGGCGCAGCAGCGGGCTCGACTCGCGCGCCAGCCTCTTCGTGCTCACGCCCGTCAGCAGGCCCGAGCTGGGCGAGTTTGTATCCAGCCTTCACGGCGCACTCTTTGAGCCGGCCGCCGACTACTACCGCGAGCACGCGCGCAGGGTCAAGCGCAAACGCACGCGCTACCCACCTCCGCCTTCGGTGCTGCAGCCGATCGTCACGGCGCTCGGGACACTCGCTCCCGCGGCGGGTGCGGGCGCAAAGGCGGTCTCGATGGGCGATGTGGCGTGGCTTAGCCGCGAGGGGTGGATCGTGCGCAGCGAGTACAAGCTCGGCGTGTTTGCCGAGTTGGCGGGCGACATGCACGAGGCGGGGCTGCGATACCGCGAGGCGTACGATCTGCTGTGTTGCTCGCCCACGTGCCTGTTGGGGAGTACGCTTATGCTTCCGCCGCGCACGAAGCGGTGGGCGGAAGCAAAGGTGCTGGCAGATACGCTGTGCGTGCGCATATGCAAGCTCGCACTGTATGCCGACGACGCCGAGGGCGCAGCGGCGTACTTTCGACGTCATCTGGCGCGGTTCACCGATCTGAGCACGGGTTGGGGGATTGGCGCCATGACGTTCGAGTACTGGTCGTGGCTGGGGAAGCAGTACCGCATGTTTGGCGAGCTCGTCGAGCATGCTACGAGGCAGGTGGCGGGTGCACCACTGCCTGCGTTTCAGCTCCCGGCACATGCACCGCCGCTGCCGTCGAGGCTGCTGCATCCCGATGCGCTGCCTGCATTCGCAGACGGTAGGGGCGGCGTCAATCCCCCGCCGGGCATGCTGCTGCCGAATCAAAACGCAGTGGCGGTCGCAGTCACCCCGTACGCAACGCTCCAGGGCGCAGGCGCATACTTCTATCTCGCGGCGCTGTGTACGCTCGAGCGCCGTGCGCGTTTTGTGCGGGCGGTGGCAAGCGCAGGCGGAGCGGAGGAGGAGGAGACGAGCCCGCTGGCGCACGAGCGAAAGGTCGACCATACCGCACAGATCACCGAGACGCTCACCAAGGCGTACGATGCGTTCAAGCGCGCGCGCCAGCACCGGGCTGCGCTGTTGGTGGCCGCGCGCATCGCTACCACCTACCACGACGGCGCACAGCACACCATGGCGCTCAAGTTCCTCGAGCGCATCCTGCGCAGCTACACCAAGGATGACGTGCACGACGTGCGCGCCGCGCTCGTCGAGATCGCCGCAGATGCCGCTGTAGCTGCGGGTGATTCAACCGCTGCACTCAAGATGCTCATCGAGATGCTCGACCCAAGACTGCCGATCGAGCACGAGAGAAAGAAGGCGGAAGTGCAGGCGCTCAAGACGCTCGTGCTGCAGAGCAACGATGCACAGGACCCCGTCGGCGATGGAGGCGATGACGAGCCCGAGGGGAGAGGGAATGTTGCGGTTGCGCCGGGAATGTGGAGTGTGGAGGCAGTGCTGCCTGTAGCCGAGGTGGATGTGGGCACGAGCATGGCATTCCAGGTGGTGGTGCGCAATGTGGCGGCGTTCGATGTGGCAGAGGTGGTGGGGGTCGACAGCATCGCCGTGCATGTGCGCAGCGGCGACGACGCGCGCGAGACCGTGATTCGTGCCACCTCCAGCGGCGGTTCTGCGCATGCTGGCGAGCCGATCGTAGTCGACGTGGGCGCAATCGATGCCAGCGTCGACGCGCACGCAGCACAGGCGCCGCTCAATGCAGCCCTGACTCCCGGCGGCACCATCGTACTCCAAGGCACGATCAAGCCGGACGCATCCGGACCCGTTCGCATCGACCGCATCATCCTCTGTGCGCACACTCTCACCACATCGCGCCGCGTGCACCTCGAAGCTGAGCTTGCGCTCGAAGAAGTCGGCAAGGTGGGTGGCGGGCTGTGCGAGGGCCGATGGATGCTGCCGTCGGGTCGGAGTGTAGTCGTGACGCAGCGCGCCGATCCACGCGTGGCGCACGTGCGGCCGCAGCGATTCGACGTGTCTCTCGGCGTGACGAGCACCGAGGTGGGGTATGTTGACGAGCGGATCGCGGTGCGCATTGCGGTGGGCAACAACGAGCGCACCCCGCTGGTGGCGTGGATCGATGCGACGTTGCAACCGAGCTACGACGGCGCGCACGATACGCTTTGGTGCGACATGCCGCACGCTTCGGCGACTCAGCAGTCGGTCAAGGCGATCGAGGTGGGCAGCGTGCCAGCTGGCGAGAGCCGCGAGGTGGTATTGTGGTTGACGCCAGCTCAGGCGGCGGGCGTGCGCACCGTGGATGTGGCGCTGCGTGTGGCCCGGCAGCCGGTCGAGGGAGAGGTGGATGCGATCGAGGTGGCAGCGAGTGCGAGTGGCGTGGTGCCCGTCGTGGCGCTGTTCGACGCAAAGACTTGGACCAGGGGGGCGAAGCGGGGCCAGAAGAAAGGGCTGCTCGAGTGGGAGACCGAGGTGGAGGCGGCAGAAGAACGGTTAGTGGGGTTGGACATCGAGGTGGTGGGTGGAGCGGTTGAGGTGGTTGCAGTCGAGCTGGATGGCCAAGCTCAGCCTAGCGATGCTTTGGGAGAATGGACTGCGGGGGATCGATTCAGCTTTGCGCTGGCCTCCACCGCGGCTGCTGAGTGGCGTGTGCAATGGCGTCGGTCGGACACACTCAACACGACCTTGTTCCCCGTAGTCCCCGCAGCTGACGAGGATCTGAAGACGGGGATTACAGTCACGCTGGTGTATGCGCAGCGGCAGCGGGTGCATCGTGCCTTTGATGTGGATTTGGTGGTGGACAACCACCACGCTACACGATCGTATGCGCTCGCACTCTCGCTCGACACCGACGCGAATTTCACCGCGGCCGCAACCAGACACCTCACCCTACCGCACATTCTACCCCACCAAACCGTCACTGTGCATCTGGCTCGGCTGGTCCCGCAGGCGATCGGGCGTCTCTCGCTACCAAATCTGGCAATCGCTATTCTGGACCCAGCGAATCTGCAGGCGACGCTGGCGAGTCGCAACACCAACTCGCACCAAACGGCGATCGATGAACCTCGGGACGCCATCAATCTGGCCTACTTCACCGACAAGACGAGCTCTACACGCGTCGATCAGATGCCCCGCATCGTCGTCACACTCTAAAAGCAATGCTAGACGGCGATGAATTACAGCACGTGCAGGAGTGAACGAAGCGAAGCTTTGCGTGGAACCCGCGCGGTGGTGGTGGGAGGATCGGTTTCAAGCGCGGGGTTGGCGATGCGTGTGGTGAGTTGGGCAGGGCTGACGATGCGTGCGGTGCGCGACATGAAGAGCCCGCGCGATGGCAGAAGCTTCGGCAGGGAGGGAGGAGAGGTGGAGGAAGGGGCGTGGCGTTGGGGCTCGGTGGATGAGCGGACTAGTGCGTGTGTCTCGTGGTGCCGCACTACGCTGCTCGATCTCTCCCTAACCGGGGCGGGAGGAGAGGGCAGAGGCTTTGCGGGATCGGTGTGCGGGGTCGGCGATAGGCGTCGAGCCGGATTTGGTGAGCTCGATGCGGAAGCCGTCGGCGTACCAGCTCGATCTTGAAGCTGTCCGTGCGACTTGCGTGCACAGCCTCGACCGCTGTCTCGATGCGATTCGGTACGCGTCGACGGCTGCTGGCCATCCGCCCTGATCGTGCGCTGGAGCTTGGTGGCGCGGAACCAGCTGACCATTGCAGCCGCCTCGCCAGCGTGCGCAGCCGCTTTGCGCACCGACGCCACGACGAGCGCATCGATCTTGCTGCCTCTTCCGTCGAGGTGGCGTATGAGCTCGGCCGTAAGCTCCCTTGCGCGCGCGCGGACACCCGCCAGCTGCGCCTCGAACGTCGCGGTCAGAATAGCAAGGCTTTCGGTCGAGCACTCCCCATCGCTCTGCTGCGGCGAGACGGGCGGCGTGAGCGAGACCGGCGGAGTGAGGATCGCAGTGTAGGCATCAAGCTCACCGAGGACGGATGTGGTGTCTTGCGGTCGATCGGGCGTGTCTACTCGAGCATCGCCGTGCATGAAGAGTCGGATCGCCTCCCAATTGGGTGGCTCGTCAGTGTCTGCGACGTCGAGCGATGCGCGCTGCGACCCGACCAGAGTATCGTCCACCGACGCAGCTGAGTGCGCTGCCGGCGTGGGGAACTCGCCCAGGATGTGGAAGAGCTCGTCCGACGCGAGCTTTCGTTCGGTCTGCATCGTTGCTTTGTGTCGGAGTGGTGTTATTCATCTCGTCGAGTCTGCGGAAGGAGCGGGGGGCTTATATGGAGACAAGGCTTCCCCGCATCTGATTCGACCATCTGCACAGGCCACATCGATCAGTACCTGGCTTCAAGAGTGCAGCTGTTGCGCAAGTGGTTCCTGCCCCTCATGCGTGCAAAGTGCCTGCAGAACACCGCGCAGGAACACGCTGGCTCGAGCGCCGATGAAATGACAGGCTCCCGCGAGCGAGCGCACGCAAGATCATGGATTTGACACAGGTGTCAGATAGACAATCACCCGACCGAGCCAATATAAGCTTTGCGCATCGACGGAACGGTTAGAAATGCGGACGGTGTCGACACGTTTTACGCCTGTTTTGGCGCAGCTAGAACAGGCGCAGCGTGCAGCGGGAAGAAGGCTCTCGATGCCATGTGGGATCTCTCGAGTGCCTCAATGCCTCGATATGCAAACCTGCGCAGCCACAAGATTAAGCTGCGTGGGTGCGTGTGTGGAATGCGCAAGGCGCTCAACCTTGGCATTGTATGACAAGGTTCGACGAAGGGGGGTGGGAAATTCAGCCTTGCCTGCACGTCGAACAATAGCATGCGGGAGTGCAGCGCCTTGTTCGCAGCGTCGTGGGCGATTCGCAGTGCTTGCCACAATGTGAATGGCGACCGAGCGCAGCGGCCGACAATGGAGTCAAGGTGCGCTTGCATGGCACCCCAAGTGAGATTGAGCTCAAGGCTGGGATCGATGCGAGCCAGATCGGACCCACGCTTTGACACGCGCGAATGGAGTCGTGATGGCCGCCAATTCCGAGCTTCCATTGTGCGTTACGCCAGCTGCGCGAATCGAAAGATCCGCCGAAAAATTGGCAGCGGAAAAAAGGACGGCACGAAAATCCGAATCTCGGCGCTTGCGCGGCTCAACGTTAGTCTGGCTGCTCTGAGACAGCGGGCGCGTTGGCCGAAACCTGCGCTCGCTTGGTGCGCTTCGGTCGAGACCGTTGATTTCGGCTGCACAAACTAGGCTGGCTAACACGATCTGATACCTCCTAGCCGATTCACAGCCAGCTCGACGAAGCAGCATCGGTGCTGCCGCGCATGAGACCGATTTTATGGAGATTCAACTGCAGACCGACCGACGCCAACCATGCAGTGCATCTGCAGGTTTGGACGGAAGTAGCCGTCTGCTGGTCCGAGGGCACGCGCTCTTTCACCGGCCAACCTTGCGCTGTCAACAGCTTTCGCGATCCGTCAAGTCAACATTTGTGCAAAGAGCCGTTTGGCGAGTCACTCGGGCTGCGCAGCGCTGGGCTGGGCTGTCAAGGCACCACTCACCGATTGCGTCCTGAGCCTGCAGTACAGCCGTTTTTCTTTTTTGACCCCCGCAGGCAGCAACCGGCCTCGCCCCGAGAATTAATGAAATGGGAGCGGTTTTCGTTCGTGTTTGCGAATCAGCGCGAAGCGTTGCAGCTTGGACTTGGGCTTGGCCTAGCGAACGCTTAAACCGCGGAACTGCAGCTTGCGCCTGCATGGCTGCACGGCTCCACGGCTCCACGGCTCCACGCCTGCTCGTGTGCGGCTCCTGGCTCAGGTCGGGGACCCAAGCCTGCAGTCCATGCCCTCGCTTGCGTGGGTGCTTCTCTGCAGCAACATGCACGCTCGTCGCGAACCCGCGCACCCGCGCACACACAATGACCAGTTGGCGCAACTTGCTTCCAAGGCGCAAATGGCTCCCCGAGAGAGAGAGAGACACACACAGATAGAGATGGAGAAAGGAAGAGGAAGGCTGTTTGGGATCGGGCTCAGCCGGCGACGTTGCGCGGTGAAGGGGACATGGATGCAGTGCGTCCAGGGCTGCGTCTCCGCACCTGCCTCTCGGGTGTCGGAGGTTCCGACTGTGGCGCCGGACCTGGGGCCGGACTGGACGCCCTTTTTGCTTTTGGGGCCTGTCAGAAGTCGGGCCTCCTGCGTCCTGGGCGCTGGCACAGATGAGTATGATCTCGTGTTGCTCGGTTCGTAATCATCGCCCTCATTTCGGCTCATCCGGCGACCACCATCGTCTTCCCCGACCTCATATCTCGCCCACCTGACGCAGCCTTGCTTGAGCCTCCCATCACACCGCGTATCGTAAGATCCATCGACACACTCCTTCAGGCTCTTATTGCGGTTCGGTCAGCGCCCCTTGGCTGGCGATCAGCTTCTTTCCTTCAGCACACTTGCGCCCAGCGCTGCATCGGACCTTCCGGCATCGATCAGTCCATTAGTCATGTCGCATCACCAACACCATCACCTTCATCACGCCTCGGCCATGCAGGGTGCGCCGCGGCGAGAGCACGAGCAGCAGCTCCACCAGCAACCTCATCTTCAACGCGCCCCTGCGTCCTACGAGCACCACTATCCAGCGCCGCCCGCGCACGACAGCAGCACCGCCGGCGCCTGGAGCTCGTTTGCGCCTCCCAAGCTTCCACCCCCGCGCATGCCCTCGACGCTCGCTTCGCGTGCTCCGTATGCCGATTCTGCGTCGGCGTGGATTGCCCACGACCGTCGACGCACTTCCCAGGCAGACCTGGATCAGCTCGCTTCCGAATCCACGCTGCGCAATCGCCCGCACCACTCCCACAGCGATCCGCATGCCCATCATCAGCCCTCGCCCTCCATCTATCGTCGTCCGTCCGAAGCATCCGGCGCGCATCCACGCCACGACGCTTACGAGCGCGACGCGAGCAGGACCACCGAGCTTCCGTCTCGGATGCTCTCCGACACTCGCAACGCTTCTCTTTCCGGCTCGCGTCACGCTCTCAACGCTTCTCGCGATCTCGCCGCGCAGCCCTACAACTCGGCCATGTCGCCGTACCCTGACGCGCATTCCGGTCGTTACGAGTCGCATCCGCCGCTGCCTCGCCGCCCAGACGAACGCAGCATCCATCAACGCGTACTTTCTCATGCAACCGCCGAGGCTGTCGACACCGATTCGCGCCGTCCCGACACTGCATCGTCCGCTTGGTCGTCGGTGCGATCGTCGTCGTCCGGCGTCAAGCGCTCGCCTCCGCAGCAGCATGCCCCTTACCTGCCTCCCTACGCCCGAGAAGCGCCCATCCCGGCTCACGCCCAGTCATCCTATCCTCACGACCGAGACGCCCAGGAACTCCTGCCGCACAGTGGCAAGCCAGCAGCCACGCAGCGATCCCCTCCGGCATCCGATGGCTTTGCTTCGGCGCAGCCGCCGCTCGGCGCCATTGCTCACGGCCACGCTGCGATGGCAGCCCAATCGGTCGCCGCATCCATGTCTGCACAGCACCCGATGCAGCCTAACCGCAAGCGTCTGAGGATCTCGCGCGCGTGCGACGAGTGCCGACGTCGCAAGACCCGCTGCGACATCGTCGGCGCCTTCCCAGGCGAGCCCGGCCATCCACTCACCATCTCGGGCGCCGTACCTCCGCTCGAACCCAACATGGAGCCCAAGGGCGAGATGCTCATCTTGCAGCCCTGCATGAACTGCCGCCGCAGCGAAGTGACGTGCTCCTACTCTAAGCGCCCTCTCAAGCGAGGGCCCAGCAAGGGCTATATCAAGGATCTCGAGAGGCGCCTCAACTCGCTCGAGTCCCAAATCGTCTCGGGCTCCGACCGCACCGACCAGGACACCCACGACGTTCATCAGGACGCCCTTCCGCTTAGCGCGAACGCCAGTACAGCTCCGGGTGCGCCGCCAGCAAACAAGCCAAAGATTCGCACCGAGGATCGCATCAGCAGGCTCGAGAGCGTCCTCGCGCGTCCCTCCACTGCTAAGGATGACGATGAAGATCCGCCGGCCTTCTCCGACGCCACATCCAGCGAAGTCTTTGCAGCGCAGGTCAAGACCGAGGCGAGCAGCGACGTACTGGATACCGCCTCCGGCCTTGCTTCTGAAGCAACTGCGGACCTTGAAGCTGCACGGGCGTCGTCCTCCTCTTCGCCCCGACTGGACCCGGTCGTCGCCTCAGTTGCTGCAGCGCCAAGCAGCCCGGCCAAAGCATCCTTGCCCAAACTCAACGGTACGTCGGACCGCTCCTCAGCCAGCTTGAAGGGCAAGAACAAGGACAAGGCTGCGTCGCGAGCAAACGCCCGTTCGAGTGCGTCCCAGACCGACGTCGCCGACGTCAAGGCCAAAGTCGCCGGCTCTTTCCTCCATGCCACCTTCCCAGTCATGCAGGGCCGCGCCGAGGGCGAAGGCAGCAGCAGCAGCAACAGCAACATCGCCCGTCTGGAAGACCGAGTGCTGGCAAGAGGTTTGCGTTTGCTCGTCGAGCCGGTCGAGATGGTCACTTCGCAACCGGCTTCGCGCGACGGCACGCCCGGCTCGCAGGGTGCCAAGGCGCAGCAGGCGCATGCTGTGCGCGTCGCCAACCTCATCGGCCAGGCGTCGACTGGCCTGGGTGGACTGCGCGACGAGCTGGTGGAACGGGGCCAGTCGAGCCTCGACAGCCTGCGGGCGCTGCGCAAGGTGGCGCACCGGCTGTCGGCGCAGGAGGCGGACCTGCTGATGCTCTGCCACCTCGACCACCTGCGCAACGGGCGCAACAACAACTCGGCGCTCGCCGCCGCCGTGTCCAAGCTCGGCTCGGGCGGTAATGTGCAGAACGAGCGCGAGACGTACCGGCGCCGGACGGTGCTTTTTATGCTCGATCGGTGGCATGCCGTGGCGTTTGGCACGCCGCATCTGCTCAGCGGTCGCTTTGGCATGGAGCGCGACAGCTTCCGCTCGATGAAGCTCGCCTTGAGTGATGCCGAACAGGCGGCGCTCGGCGATGCGGTATTCGAGGTGCTGCGCTGTGCGATCATGCTGGGCCAGCTGAATGACCTGGTGCAGAACAACGGCGGCTGGAAGGGTGTTTCGAAGAGCGATGTGGATGCGGTCATCCACAGCGCCATGGACGAGAACGAGCGCAGGACGGCGACCGAGGCGAGCGATGCGCGCAACGGCAGCAGGGCGGAGCACGACTCAGCCTCGAATGGTGCCGACGTCGAGGGGGGTGAGGCGGGACCGAGTCTGTTGAGCACCGAGGCGATGCGGTACAGTCTGGAGCAGGCGGTGCGGTGCTACTATGCGCTGCATACGCTGCCGAACGCGCGCGATGCGCGCATGCAGGACGTGCACCGCATGTTCAACCTGGCCGAGGCGGTGATTGTGCTGGGCACGGCCAAGACGCCGATCTCGCTGCAGGGCAAGCTGATCCAGTCTGCGATCGGGCCGACGGTGCTGGCGATTGCGGCGGTGGCGTTCTCGTGGTGCCTGCGTGTCATCTGCATGCTGGTCGCCTCGTCGCGTGCGGACGAGAGTGCCTCGACTGTCGCCTCGAGCTCCACGCCTGGCGTTGTTGAAAGTACGGCGGGGGGTGGGGAGAGCACGTTGTATCAGCTCGAGTTTTACCGGCGCAAGATGCTCGACTACGTGCGCATGTGTGGGCCCTTCTGCCTGTTTTCGGGCGGCCCACCTACGGCACCGGCGTCGTTTGCACCCGTGTACCTGCGGCTCGCGCTGTTCTTCAACAAGACCGTCTCGCTCGCCTCGCAGATGGGCTCGCTCGTCTCGCCCGAGCCGCCCAAGACGAGTCCGGTGCATCACGACCCCACCGCGCTGGGTAATGATGCAGATAACCTGCTCGACATGGGCCGCGAAATGGGCTTCCTCGGCTACGTGCTCGCCTCCACCTCCCAGTCCGAGGCATGGAACCTCCTCACCGGCTCCGCTGCCTAAGACCACCCCCGAAGATCATCGGCAATCAATGCAGTTGCTGCCTTGCAATGGCGTGCAAATGTGTGACGTGAGCGCATGAAGAGGCGTCGGTATTCCTGGCTCGAGAGAAAGAGAGGGACGGTGCGAGAGAGATAGATTACAAGGGCTGCGAAGGGAGCGACGAGTGCAAGAGAGTGCGAAAGACACGGCGTACGGGGTGCGCAAGAAGTGCGAGTGCGTCCGAACCAGACTAGGAGCCAGGGTTGTTGTTGGGGTTGGGACTCCATGGGATCCAGCTGGACCTCTTTGCCCGCGGGCTTTGTTGCGGATGCGGGCCGAGGTCGTTCTGGTCGAGCAGGTCGTACGACTCTCCCATTGCGGTGCCTGCCTTGACCGTGGGTCGTGCGCCGCCCGAGACGATGCGGCTGCGCAGACTTCCCTGTGCATTGGCAGCGCCGAACGAGGCTCGCGGATTCTTGGGGTGGATCATTGTGACGGGAGCACCGGCGGCGGCGTTGTTGTTGTCGTCGTCGCTGCTGTTGCTGCTCGACGAGGTGCTCGAGGGGACACCGGAAGCGTCGAGTGCGGCCAGTTGGGACTCGAGCTGCCTTCGTCGCACCATGGCGGCCTCGCGCGCGCGCTGGTCGTTGAGATTGCCCGAGCCGGACGCAGGGATGGAGTAGGCCATGGTGGTGTGGGGTGGCGCGGCCTTGCTTTCGAGGAAGTTCTTGGCGCTCGCGATGGCCACGGGCGCATACCTGTTGAGCAGGTTGCCAAAGAGCGACGCGGGTGCCTGAGCCGGATTGTGCTGCGTGGGAGGCGCGGGTGTGGATCCAGGACCAGGTGGGCGGTGACGAGCCTCTTTGCCCGGCGCCGGCGGTGGGGTGGGCTGCTCAGATGCGCCAAGCGAGGCGGTCCACAGTCCACCGAGCGAGGCGTCCACCTTGGCCTTGAGCGAGCGCTTGGCATCCTCGATCAGCGCATCGATCTGCTCCTGGTTGGATTGAAGGAAAGGATGGAGGTGGGCGGTGTAGATGTAGGTGGCGCCTCGGGTCTGGGGCGCGACGAGCCAGATGTTGAAGACGAGACGGATCTCGTAGTAGAAGGGCACCCACGACCAGAGCCAGCCAAAGAGCGACTCGAAGAGCGTCCAGCATGCAAAGACGGACCAGTAGACGAGCCAGACCTCCATGTCGGCGAGCGAGGTGGTGGACGAGGTGACGGCCTTGTAGGAGGAATAGAGCGGGTAGACGAGCGTCGCCGTGGCATTGAGCGCCAGCGTGGGCAGGTGCAGTAGAAGGAGCGCCATGCTGAGCGATGCTGTTTAAAGCTGCTGATCGAGATTGCTGGTCGAGCAGCTGCAGGTTGGTGCTGAGTCGATGGTTGGGCCGATAGCGTATTCTCAGCGCGGCGTGACTGTGTCAAGTCGTCGGCAGCGGTCCGCTCCGATTTGATGTTGGGGTTGATTGCTCGAGAGGGTGTGATGACGAGCAATCGGAAGGGCCGGTTTTGCGATGCCAAAGTGTAGCGACGGTGAAAGCGAGAGTGATGGCAGCCCTCTCGAAAGACCAACAGAGCCGCACTCGAGGCCCGACTGTCCAGACTCCGATGCCTTCCTCCCAAAAAAAAAGGGCCGCCGCAGTCAGGCGCAGGCGCTAAGCGCGAGGCAAAAAAAAAGGGTCTTTTACGGGCCCCTCGCTAGTGAGCTCAGGCCGGCACGGGCTGCATGCAGCGACGCGCGCACTCGGCTGCTCCAACGCCCGCTCCACCCCCTGTCACTCTGCACAATTGCACCTCGGCTGCGTTTGGCCGCGTCACCTCGCTGCCATCACATCCAGCTCGCAGCTCTCGCCACGTCAAACTCCAGCCCCCCTGAACGCACTACACAGCATGTTTCTCGGCTCACGCTCATGCTGTCTCCAGCTCGGATGAGTGACGAGCATATCTTAAAGCTCTGCCAGCTTGGCAACTTGAGCCGGCTTGTCGAGCTGATGAGCAGGCTGCATGCAGTGCTGCAGATGGCGATATCTTTTCCGCTCAGCTTTCCTGCCCCTTTCGGAAAGGCGTTGAGGCACAAATGCAGTCAGGTCGTGTGGTGCGGGCTTGGTGCGATTTTTTTCGATTAAAGATGTCAGATCTAGCACGAATCGCTACGATGCTGTCGACGGCAAAACCATCATCCTCGCCGCTCGCTACTGTTTCTAGCTCACAGCTCGTCACGCTTGGTGTGGCTCGAGTGAAAGTCGGAGGGCTTGAAGGTGCCACTTCTGAGCGCCATCAACAGCTGCATGCCTTGTTGGCGGTACGTGTCGGGCGTGACAAAGCTACGGTGTCCGAGCCCATCGTGCACCCACGCTACCTGGCTACGCTCGCCGTCGGCGTCGTACTTGGGCCAGTACAGCGCTCCGTCGCTTAGCTTGCCCTGGTCTCGCGCCGTGTTCGGGTCGCCACTCGCCACGAAGCTGATCCAGTACGCCGAGATCTCGTTGGCGAGCGCAATGTCCTTCCGCAACGGGCCCAGCGCGTTCTGCGTGTCGAGGGGGTTGCGGAAGACGTATGCCACCTCTTGGAAGTGCTGTGCCCCGGCTGTGATCGGCGACTTGTACGAGACCTGGTCGAAGCGCGACGAGTAGATGGCTGCCTGTGACGAGCGAGCCAGAAGCTCGGTCGCCTGGCGTCGAGGACCCACAAAGCGCAGATCGCCAAAGATCGCACACGAACGACGGTCGTTCTTACCCAAGACGCCACCTGTGGCGGGAAGCAGACCTGCACCGGCTTGGAAGGGCGGATAGACGTCCTCGTTGTCCGGATAGATCTGCGCCAGCGAGCGGAGTGCATCCTGGGTCGACCAGCCATCTGGCAGCGCTTGACTTTCCTCCAGAGCGCTCACAATGTCGGCCGTGTTGTTGACGCCACGCACACCAAAGGAGATGCCCTCGTCGAGGTTGTTGTTGAGTACGACGGGTACGGTCTTGACAAAGTCGCCGACGAGGAACGACTGCTGCAGATCCTTGGCCACCAGATCGCCATCGACGACGGGGTTGAAGATGGACAGCTCTGTGTTGTTGATGCTCCACTGCTTGATCGTTTCGAGCGGCACGCTGCGTAGACACTCGAGCGTGCTGTTGGATCCACATCCGGCGTACTGCGCGAGCGAGGTCCACTGGTCGTTTCGACTCGCCGTGTTGTTGGCCGTATCGAGCCCCGTGGCGTAGTAGGCGCTTTCGGCGATGACCGAACGGAAGAGCTTGTCGTCGCGGCCGCCGTACGCGGCGAGGTGGAAGTACATGCTCGCGCCACCCGCCGACTCGCCGACGATGGTCACCTTGTCCTTGTCACCGCCAAACGCCTCGATGTTTTCGCGGATCCAGTGCAGCGCAAGACGCTGGTCGTACAGGCCCAGGTTCTGCACGCCCGCCTGGCTCGCCTCGTCGCCAACGGGGAAGCCCAGCGTCTGAACACGGTAGTTGAGGCTGACGTACATGAGCGGCTGGCCCAACTCGACCGACTTGTCCACGATGAAGCTGCCGTTGTAGCGCCTATCGCCCGAGCCGCCGTACGAGAAACCGCCTCCGTGGATCCAGACGAATACGGGCAGCTTGCTCGCTTCGTCCTGCCGAGCGGGACGCACGACATTGAGCGTGAGGCAGCGCTCGCCGAGCTTGTAGGTGACGTAAGGCGGTTGGTAGTCGTCGTCCGTGCCTACACCGAAGCACAGCTCCGAGTAGCGTTTGGCCGAACGCACGTCCTGCCAGCTCTGGTTGAGCGATCGAGGTCTCTGGAAGCGCAGCTCGTCGACGGGTTGCTGAGCGTAGGGGATGCCGAGGAAGGCCTCTTGGGTGCCGTTGGTGCCGAAGCCAGAGAGCGTCGCCTCGGCCGCGATGGGGGCGATGGTGATGCCCGCGTAGGAGCCGTTGCGCACCTGCACCACCGGGTCCAACGACGACACGGGAATTGGGTTGGCGAAGTTGCCCAGGTTGGTGCAGTTGGTGCAGTCGGCCGTGTTGTTCGTGTTGATGCCCGACGCGCTGGTGTTGTCGGCGCTCTGACGTGCCAGCAGCAAGGACGCAATGTCGTCGGACGCAGCAGGCGAGGGCAAAGCGCTAGAGAGCCGGCTTGTGCCCAGGCACAGCGCGGCGAGGACGGGCGCCAGCCTCGTAAATGATCGTACCATGGTCGAGTATCTCTGCAAAGTTGGAGCGGACGGACATCAGGGTCGTTGCAGGTAGGCTTCTATTTGTACGCGGTACGTCGGGGTCCGGAGAGATGCCCCGCATGCCTCATGGCCATGCGGAGACCGGTGTCTAGCAGGTCGGCGACGACGAGCGATGCGGTGCATCTCGGCAAGCGCAACGGAGCTTACTTGACCAAACCGCCGCGCACCACGAGGTCGAGATGGACGCATTGGCTCGCTTGCACTGTGTAGCCGAGCCGAATTGCGTGGGGGGTTGTACCAAGCAGCAGCACAACATTGGTCCATCGGTCCGGTCGGAGCGGTATTCAGATGACTCTGTCGAGGTCTCGAGCTTGCGTGCGGGTCAGCTCGTTGCAAACGGCCTCGCCTAAGCACAAGCGAAGCTGCATGCCGGTGTGTCGAATACCGGCGAATTCTGCCAATCCTGGCCCGAAGCGGACGCATGGAAAACGCGGATCAGCAGTCCGATTCGGGCGTTGAGCAAACAGAGGAGCCCCGCATGCAGGAAATGACCGGTCTCCGGCTCAACTCGGGTCTTGATTATCGCACACGAGTATGAGTTTTCGCAGCGTGTCCCACCAGATACGCTCGAGCTCGTGGACAAGAGCACGCAGCAAACCGTCTGTGTGCGCTCCGAGACGGCGATGCACGAACGTCGATCCCACACACACGCGCGCATGTCGGAGCTCGAGCCTCGACAAGCCAGGAACGTCGTTCCACAGCGAGGAGCAGAGCATGCACAACGACATGGAGAACAGCCGAGTTGGTGGTATCGAATCAAAGTACAAATACAACATGAGCCAAAACAAGGGCTGCAGGAAATGTGAGTGGTGGTCATGCGGTGGGGAGGGTGGCGAGCGAGTAGTAGCGGGGTGGGAAGCACTGTTCGTCGATCCAGAGCATGCCTTCTGTTTGCGACATGTTCTGGAGCACTGCGCGAGCACGGTCGCTCGACCATCCGCGTGCCTTGGGTCCCGAGACCAGCGCATCCTCGGTGAGATAAGGCAGCTCGCCCGAACTCCTGTCAGCCGAGAGGAGGATGCTGAGAACGACCATCGTATCCGTGTCCAGCTCCCTCGGCACACTCCGGACCATCTTTTGGTCGCCATTGCCGAGCGAGAATACCTCATACCCACATCCTAGTGGTGCGAGCATCTTGATGCTTCTGACGATGTCGTCCTCTGTGACCTCGGGAGCTTGTTTGGCATCGGAGGATCCGGTGCGGAGAAGGGTGACTCTGCGGATGAGGTCGTCCATTGCAATGACGCCGCCGTTGGTGGTGCGCGTGCTGACGCAGATGTCGATGATCTGTACGCCGAGTTCGTATTGCCAGTCACCGAGGCCGAGCATGTCGCTCCACAGCCCCGCGAGCCCGCCGCCACCGCGCGCGGACGACGAGAGCGGATCCACACCGATGCTGTAGCACATCTTCTGGAACGCGTGGCGGAACTCGGCGTTCTTGCGGATCTCATGGCGATGCTGGCTCGAGAATTGGCGCAGCGAGGTGCTGAAGAGATCGAGCTGCTGGCGGAGCTCGGTGAGCTGCGAGGCGGTGAGGTCGTTGCCGAGCGTGTTGTACGCGGTGGAGGAGTGGAGAGAGCGGTCGAGCGCCGCCAAGCCTGGACCGCGACGCATGCTGCGAAAGGTGCCCGTGGCAGGGGTGTGCCGAGATGCGGGAGTACAGACAGGCGTGAAAGCAAGCAAGCGTTGATCGAAGTGACACGAGAGACAGAGAGGTGGAGTGGAACACGACAGCGTGCCATCGGGCGCCCAAATCCGACTCCACACGCCGCTCAGCCAGAACTCCGAGTCCCGGCACTCCAAAAAAGGGCGGTGGCCCCTGCGTCGAAAAGCGACACTTCTTCCTGCACCACCACCATTGACACTCTCGAGCTGTGGCGCACGAACTTATCGAGATGCAGACATGATCGCCGGCTTCGCACATGCACCCGTCACCAAGGGCGTGCTCATCACGCTGGCGGTAGCCTCGGTGTGCACATCGCTCTTCCAGCTCAAGCCGTTCGTGCACCTGCAGATCCACCCGCATCTCGACACGCACCACCAGTACTACCGTCCCTTCCTGCAGCACTTTGCATTCAGCAACTCGTCCGAGCTCTTCCTCGCGCTGCTGCTCTTCTACAACGCCGGCGTCAAGGTGGAGCGCACGTTCGGCACGTACAAGTATGCCAGCTTCCTCGCGGTGGTCACGGTGATCTTTACGGCGGTGCAGTTCGTGGTGCTTGCTGCGTGCTCGCTGCTGTTTCTGCGGGTCGATCGTGCGCAGGAGTCTGGTCTGGAAAGGGAGGTGGAGAGGAGCTGGGTGGTGGTGGGGAGGAGTCCAGCGGGGCCGTGGGGGCCACTGTTTGCGCTGCTGTTCCAGTACCACCGCGTCATCCCGCACATGTGGTCGATGCGCATCGAGCAGCTCGAGCTGAGCGATCAGGCGATCGAGGTGTACTCGCTTGCGGCGCTGCTGGCTGTATCGCAGGGGACGTCGAGTGTGTTTGTGGCGGTGCTGGGCATGATGGTGTCGGCGGCGTACCGCTCGAAAAGCGGACCGTTGCGGCGGCTGCACAAGTACCGCCTGCCTGTGCGCGTGTACCGCATCTTGGCGTTTGTGCTCGCGCCATGGGTGGGCGAGATACGCAGACCGCAGCGCTCGTGGCGAGTCGAACGGCCAGACCGCCCGACGTTGGCGGTGCGGGAGGCGCGCTTGGCCGAACACTCGGCGACCGTCGCCAACCTCAACCGCCCCGGCAACGCGCTCGGCATGCCCCGACTCGCCAGCCTCCTCCGAAGAAGGTCTGCACAGCCGCACGAACAGCCGCCACCTCCTGCACAGGCCCAGCAGCAACAGCCGCCCAGCAGTGCACAGGGCTGGAACGATCTCCCGCCCGAGCTGCAGGCGTCGCTCAGTGCGCTGCCCAGAACACGCCTCATGGCTGCGATGCAGCAGACCGACGGCAACCTCACCGAGGCGCTAGACCTGATACGCTCCGATACTGCGACACACTCGCCACGCCCTTAGTACCACCTACACCTTATAGAAACTATTTTTCGTGCGACCATGTCTGTCCAAGTCATGATCGTTGTTGTATGAAGGGCAAAGCATCGCGAGCGAGACGTGTGAAGGAAACGTGAACGAGACCAATGCGTATATGTATGCACTGCAGTGTTAGGTGACCAAGATTGAGCGCTCTTGGCGTAGTGGTAGCGCGTGTCTCTCCTACTTTACCGAACGGATTCCTGCGGGATTCCTTTGTAGGACCTATTAAAGACGAGGTCGTGGGTTCGACCCCCACAGGGCGCTTGTCCCTTGATTTTTTTTTTCTGGCTCCGTCTCGTTTCCACATTTACAGCGCCATCTCTCCTCTGGGTGCTTGACTCCTACCATTCTTGGTTGCATCGGCGTCGATCTCACGCTTTGCTGAAAGGACTGGTGTGGTACGAGCGCGGGCTTTGGACGTTGCAGAGGAGTGGTAACGAGTGGTGGCATTTGGGGGCAGGCGCGCGGGGGGGCGTGTCGTGTAAATTCCACATTTTTGACGCGCGTGCGCGGATTTGTACGAGGTGTTGGTCTTTCTCAACGCTTTGTTTGCTTGCTGGCCACCATTTGGCGATGAGTGAGAGTGTCAAGAGCTGGCTCTTTTCGCACTGTGCCTCTCAGGCGATCGAGGCGCTCGAGGGTGGGTTCGACCTTGCGGACCTTCCTTACGTTCGGGGCAATCGGGTGCAGCTGTTGCGGTTCCTAACGTTCCGGACATCGCAGGCAAGCACCGACATCTGGGCGCTCGTGGGGGACCGAACGCACTGTATCGCAGCACGCTTCTCGCGGACCCAGGTAGACCGGTTCCAGCACGACCGGCCGATCAGCTTTACGGCGCTCAAGGGCGCATTGGTCACCATGACCAATGTCAAGATCACGGTGGCAAGGGTTCAGATGCATACGACAGGGGGTCCGTATCGACCCGGACAGTATGCGATGGTTCTGGATGTGAAGGGGTTCGAGGTGGTGTCGAGTATGGGAGAACCGGTCTGGTTTGGTGGGGTCAAGCTCGTGACGAGTCCAAATGCGGTTCCTGAGGGGGAGAAGGAGAGGGCGGAAAGGATGGTACAGTGGATGAAAAAGTGGATCAGATACAAGTGCTTACTCCGCCGCGCTAGGGCAGATCAACGACGGAAGAACCAACACGCATCAAGTGGGAAAGAGCATGGATCGAGTTTGCCCACTCCAGCGCAAAGAGCGGTGATGCAGTGCTCGCAAGTTCACAATGTCACCCCCGTGCTCACGGCGTCGTTGGGCAAGGACTCGCAGACGACGAATGGAACGCCAGATGCGCTGTGGGGCGACTACGATCTAGATGCCGATGTGGCCGAGGTTGATGTGCCAAACACCTGGACGGAAGCGACGTCACAGCAGCAAGCAGCCGCAAAGCAGACGCCGCAAACACAGCAAACACAGCATACACACACGCAGAGCGGATCGGATCCCGACGAGTCCGGTCTGTCCGACTACGAGCGTCAACGTCGACGTAGAAAGCGGAAAGCACGCCCCAACAGCGCTGCTGCAACCCCGGCTGCTGCTGCAGTCAAGACAGAAGAGCCGGCGAGCACCGATGCGCGCGCACTCAGCGCCACACCATCAACCACCGCACGCCGAAAACGCAAACGCCCCTCGGCAATAGCTGCCCTGTAAGTCCCCATCCCTCCTAGACCTGCTTTGCATCAGCAACTGACAGCAACCTTTGGACTCGACAGCATGGCACAAATCGTAGACTAGCAATACAACACACCCGCACGAACGACAATGTTTGGTAGTGATCTCTGAACCAGAGGAGTGGAATTTTTTGGGTGGGTGATGCCCCGGGGTGTGAAGAATACACGGGATGAATGTGGTAAAAGGGGAGTGGATGCAAGGTGAAATGTCGTAAAGCCAGCGGGAAGGAACCAGAAAAACAGCGATCGCGCCACAAAGGGTGCGCGCCAACGCTCTTTAACGGTAACGACGCAGCTGGAGGGTGTCGCGCTTGCGGATGGTGGCGTTCTTGCCGCCGCCCTGGGTCTTGTTGTAGCGGTGACCCTTGCCCTGGCCACGGCTCCTCTTGCCGGTGGCGGTGAGGCCACGGCACTCGCGGCGCTTGTGAACGGCCTTGGCGATCCAGTTGATGCGCGGGTCGCGGCGGATGGCCTTGTGCTGAGGGTCAACGGCGATGACCTCAAAGTACTTGTACACACCGTCCTGGTTGATCCAGTACGAGTTGAGGATGCGCAGGTTGGAGCACTTGCGGCCCACACGCTCCTCAGCGGTGGCACGCAGCGAACGCTGGTACTTGAGGTGGTTCACACCCTGGCGAACGGGCTTGCCGTAGGTGGCACCCTTGGGAACGGGCTTCTTGCGGTTACCACGGCGCACACGGATGCGGTAGATAACGTAGCCCTGCTTCGACTTGTAGCCAAGACGGTGCGCCTTGTCAAGACGCGAAGGGCGCGAAGCGCGGTGGATCACGTTGAGCTGGCGGTACTCCCAGCATCTAAAAGAGTCGAAAAGTGACAGGGTGGTGAGTGTCAGTATGAGATGATCAGGATGTCGTGGCGGTTGCGTTCCCCCCAACATCGCTCCATCCATCTTCGCATGCGTGCTCGTCTGCTGTAAGCCAGAGCCCCCAATCCCGATGCTAGCATGTGCCGCGCAGGACAGGACGAAAGACGTGCGGCATGTAGCTGGGCTTGCGCACGCAGTAGGAGAAACGTGCCAATGAGAGCCAGAGCGTCATTGGCGACGGCTGAACCCCAAGGACACGATCTCCTCCATTGCCACATTGAGCCACATGCGGTGCGTCGATCTGCCTTGCCGCTGTGCAGGACAAGCTCTTTGAACCAACGTGGCAGCAGCAGAGTAGCGGGCAAATGGCGGCGACGAGAGCGGCGAAGATAAATGGTGCTGGTGCTGGCGGTGGGGCGCGGCGGGTCGGATACTAACCGAACGCGGAGAAGGAAACGGAGCACATCGCTCTGCTTCTTCTTGTAGAGCTCCTCGACGTATTTGTAGGCACCCATCTGTATCGAGTCGCGCAGAAACGGTGCAAGTTGGTGCGTTGGACGAGAGAGAGAGAGAGAAAAAGTCGAGAAAGAAAAAGAGTGCGTAAGCACGGTCAGCACGAGCTTTCAAGCAATCGTGAAGGGGGACTCAAAAGGTCGACGCCTTGCCGCCACCACATCCGCGAGCGGTTCGCGCAGCGACCAGTCGAGAGACTGATCGGCATCGCTACTACAACTCGGCAGATGAGCAGAGGACAAGGGTACTAAACGTCCCAGAACGCAGCAAAGCCAAGGATGTCGAGGGCGAGGCCGCGAATCGTGCTGACGCGAGAAGGTAACGATGCTGATATTGTCGGATGCATGATTGTGATCTCCAAGCGATCCTTCGAGGGTCGAATGTATCCAGGCCGTCGATGTTGTTGGTCCACGTCTGCGACGGTCCTTACATCTCTGAGTAGCGTGCGTATCGGAGCGGTGTCGATGGCGAAAGTTGGTGGTGCTGATGCGATGGTGGCTGGCTGCGTTCGTGGTTGTTCTGGTGTCGATTCTGAGAGGTGTATGAGGTGTAGCGCCTTACCTTGAATGATTCTTGATGACGAAGTCGTAGGGTGTCGAGAAGGAAGTGCAGCGACGACGACCAACTGCTACCAGCCTTGCGCCTGCTCTGGCTGGCGCCGGTTTAGTCCAGTCCAGACCTCAGCCGTCGAAGGCACAGCTAACATGACTTTGGCAATTTTTCAGGCCGCCATCTGCCACTGGGTGGCCAGTCTGTGGTCCCAGGCGCTCACTGGCTGTCTCTCTAGAAGCTGGCCCACTCTTTGGCCTCGACCAACAGCGAGCTGGCCGTCGCTGTGTCTTGACGAAGCTACACGTGACTTGGACACTGCTCTTTTGCCCAGCCTCGCTTGATTTGATGAAACATTGCAGACCTCGGCCGAGCTTTTCGGTGCCGCTGATTTTCGAGATTTTCGAGATTTTTGCGAATACTTCCAAGTGGCCCCAAGGCGGCGAGCTCAGCTGGGCAGCGGCGGCGCAGGAGAGGGCCCGCAGCGAGTCTCAGAGCAACGGACGCTCGAGCTGGCCATGTTAGGAGAGCCCAGCTGGGCCTCGGGAGCGCCAAGTCCTTTGGGCTGCAACTGGGACAAGAGCGGTGAGGCAGCGGAAGGCAGCGGCAGGCAGCGCAGCGCAGCGCAGCGAGCCCAGCTCGGGTCCATCCTCGAGCCCGTCGCCGCCATCTGTCTTCCTGAACACCAAGCCTGAAGCATCAGCCTCAAGAATCCAAGATGGTAAGTTGACACGGTCGGCATCTAGCAACATCCGGCAGCATCACGGTGGGCTACGTCGCAACACGTTGGAGCGCTATCTCTGGAATGCATCGGCAAATGGCAGCGCAAAGACCTGTCAAAGGTGAAGCTGCATGTCAGGACCATGACGGAGCAACCAACCTTTGCGGAGCATATCAGCCCCACCCGATGATAACGCCGTTGCTAGACGACCAGCAGAGCAAGCAGACGCAATCAGAACGCCAACTTACACCCACCACTGCTATCATGCACATCCACAGCCGTTCGTTAAGACTGTCAAGTCCAACGCCTACTTCTCGCGCTACCAGGTCAAGTACCGCCGCCGTCGCGAGGGCCGCACCGACTACTACGCGCGCAAGCGTCTCGTGTCGCAGGCCAAGAACAAGTACAACGCGCCCAAGTACCGCCTTGTCGTGCGTTTCTCCAACCGCTACGTCACCTGCCAGATCGTGCACGCCAAGATCGCCGGCGACTACGTCCTCACCCAGGCCTCGTCCAAGGAGCTCCCCCGCTACGGTGTCAAGACCGGTCTTGCCAACTGGACCGCCGCCTACGCCACCGGTCTGCTCGTTGCCCGTCGTGCGCTCACCATCCTCGGTCTTGCTGACAAGTACGAGGGTGTCACCGAGCCCGATGGTGAGATGGCCGAGGTCGAGGCTCTCGGTGACGACGAGCCCCGTCCCTTCAAGTGCTTCCTCGATGTTGGTCTGAAGCGCACCTCGACTGGTTCGCGTGTCTTTGGTGCCCTCAAGGGTGCCTCGGACGGCGGTATCTTCATCCCCCACTCGGAGAAGCGATTCCCCGGTTACGACCCCGAGGCCAAGGAGCTCGACGCCGAGCTGCTGCGCTCGTACATCTACGGCGGCCACGTTGCCGAGTACATGGAGTCGCTCGAGGAGGAGGATGACGAGCGCTTCAAGAAGCAGTTCTCCACCGCCCTCGAGCAGGAGGTCGGCTCCGAGGACCTCGAGGACATGTGGACCGAGGCTTTCGAGAAGATCCGCGAGGACCCCTCGTTCACCGCCTCGGACAAGTCCAAGGACTGGGCCGCCGAGTCCAAGAAGTACAAGGCCACCAGGCTCACCTACGAGCAGCGCAAGGCCAAGATCGCCGACAAGATCGCCGCCTTCAAGGCCGGCGCCGAGCTTTAAACGTCTGCGCCACGGCATCTTGCGGTTTCATAGGCACCTTCTTGGCTTCATTTGTCCCTCTCTCTTTTTCTCTTTGCATCCCCCACACACACACCCACACACACCCACACACACCCACACACACCCAACCCCAAAAGTTATCCTGGCGAGATCCGTTGCATTAGACGACTCGCCTGCGTATATGCATTTGCAATACCATCGACCTCGCCCCCACGCGGGATAGGGTCGTGTTGTAACATCACTCTTTGTTGCGTGTGTCTGCATTGTTGTCTGAACGTCGCTGTGAGCTGCCGCGTACGACCAAAAAAGGCGTCTGGTACACTTTGGCATGCTGCGTTGGGCGTGCCAGACCCGTACTCGATGTCGATCGCGCACATTCTCAACGTGCGACCCTTCAGCGCAAACATTGCGAGTGCTCGAGCTCGGATCTCAGCACCACGGCAATCTTCAGAATCTACGCACACTATGCAGACAAGAGAATAGGATGCTATGCTCGTTTTGAGATTCGTTTTTTGGGGGGGTGTGGTTTGAGCTGTCCACGTAGCTCGAGGAGGGATCGGATGTGGACTCGAGGAGAAAAGTACATGGCTGGACCGCTGCAAGATCAAAACGACATTGCAAAAAGGCAGGACCAGCGCGAGTCCCGTTTGGAGCGGGGGGAGAAGAGGAGACGTTTATCGGATGGGGAGGAAGCGGTCGACGGTGGCACCCTTACCCTTGGCGCCGTGGCGGGTGGGGATGTAGGTCATGGCGAACTCGCCGAGGTAGTGGCCGACCATCTCGGGCTTGATCTCGGTGTTGACGAAGAAGCGACCGGTGTAGATGCCGACGACGGAGCCGATCATCTCGGGCACGATGATCATGTCACGCAGGTGCGTCTTGACCATGGCGGGCTTCTCGTTGGGCTGGCACTCGGCCTTGGCCTTGCGCAGGCGCTTGATGAGGCCCATGGGCTTGCGCTTAAGGCCGCGCTGGAACTTTCTGCGGGCACGGGCGTGGACGACCTGCATGAAGTCCTCGTTGGTCATGTCGAGCAGCGAGTCGAGCTCGATACCACGGTAGGTGAACTTGCGGAAAGTTCGCTTGCGCTTGAGCTCGGCAGCGGCGGCGGCGTCGTAGTCATCCCTGCAAGTGGAAACGAGTGGTGATGTCAGTCTGATTGCTCGATTGCATACTGCGAAGCAGGGGCGGACGGTGCAATGCGTGACATGCTTCTGGGTCGAATAAGAGCGATGGTGTAGTGAGGCGAAATCCAGGCTGTGGTGAGAGGCGGACATGAAACGATCGCAGCGAGTTGCAAATTGGTTAAGTGTCGAAGATGCTACGCCAGTGCGACTGGGATGTTGGTGCAGTGCCAATTAGAACGATGCAGCAAATGCGGTCGTCGATTGTACACAGAAGACAAGTTGCGATGCCATGTCCCCATTACGAGCCTGGAGTTGGGCTTGTTGACGGGTGCAGACAGACACGAATTGAAACGTGTATCTGTAACATCGCTAGCATTCGTCAAGACACACGATGTGGCCGGGTCGATTGCACGTTGGAGATGTCGAGTGCTGGTTGTTTATGGTAGATTGTGTCGACAGAGTTTCCGAACGATGATTCCCCGACGATAGAGCCGTGTGCAATGTGTAGCCGCTCTGGAATGCGGGATGATGGCGCGTGTGTCGGCGCGATGGGCGTAGCGTGGTGTCGTGAAGTGTGTCGTATCGGATCCAGAAGCGTGGCACGCATCGAGCAGCATGTTGCTACTTACATGTTGGGCAATCTTGATGGTGAGGAGGAAGAAGGTAGAATGACGGCGACGCAACGTCCAAGTCTGCCCAGCGCGCGCTCTGCTCTCGAGAGCGCTGCGGACAGGGCCCTGCAGAGAGCCAGGAGCTGCCTCGAGCATTTCCCGCGCGCCGGCTGCCTTCAGTTCTGGCGCTGGGGACGCTGGGTCTGAGTCTCAGCCGCTCGAGCCTCGAGGCCGCCGCGCGCTGCTGCACCCATCTTGCCAGGGCAGCGAGGTCAGATTCTGGCGCGCTCGGCGAGACTCGTTGCGCCTGGCTGGTCGTGGTCCACTTGGCTCCAAACTGGACAGACGGCCCTGCCAAATTTCGAGTGGGCGCTCTGCTGCCTCGTCGATTCGCACTCGAAATTCGAGTTTGGCGCAGAGATGGACAAAAGTTCCCACGCTCCCTCCTCAGTGCTGCTGGCTCGACAAAACTTGCGCCAGCTTCGGCTCCGATGGGCGCGTTGGGAAATTCCGAGCCTGGCCGCCAGCCCAGAGAGGCAAGAGAGCGCTGCCACCCGACCCCACTGTGAGAGGCCGCAGCTGGCTGGGAAGCGTAGAGAGAGCTGGGCCAATTCCGGACGCCGCCAAGCTGCAAGCCTGGGTGAGCCAGCGACAGTGGGCAGCGTCAGGAGGTGCATGTCGAGTTCCGAGATCATCGCAGCTCACCTTCTTTCTCTCCACCAAACTTTTTCACAAGTACCTAGGTAAGTTGATCCACCTATGCGAACGCAGAGAGGCTATTACCACGACGAGCACAGCACGCAGCATGCGCGACAACATCGCCACGACGTTGGCACAACGGACTGGCCATATCGACCACGTTGGGACACCGTGAGGACGCAGCATCGACTTTGCCCAAACCTAGAGCTGGGGTAACGAAGCAACGGTTGGAACGACGGGGCCAGTATCATGAACGGATCGTAGCGCACATGCCGACGTCCGCATCGTTGCCGTAGACGATCGCGGTCCAGCACATGCCAAGTCGTACATCTGCATTGGCAATTTTGTTGGCTGTACTCGTTGCCGCCCCTGCAAGTGCTGCTGCTTGCTGCTGCTGCCGCTGCCTCCGCCGTCGTTATGAACCCCCCTCTGCGGTCGATATAGAAAGCTCTGTCGGAATCGGTCGCTAACCACTGGCTGTTGTTTTGGGAAAATCGGGTGTCTGCAGTCCACAAGTCTTCCTCTTGGATCAAAGCCCTTTGCGGATTTGCGGCCGGCACTTTTTTTCTCTTTCAACACTTTCTCCCCCTACTTTCAGACAAAATGAAGCACATTGCAGCCTACCTCCTCCTCACCCTCGGCGGTAAGGAGTCGCCCTCGGCCGCCGACATCAAGGCTCTCCTCGAGACCGTCGGTGTCGAGGCCGAGCAGGAGCGTCTCGACAAGCTCATCGAGGAGCTCAACGGCAAGGACATCAACACCCTCATCGCCGAGGGTCAGGAGAAGCTCGCCTCGGTCCCCGCCGGTGGCGCCGCCCCTGCCGCTGCTGCCGGTGGCGCTGCTGCCGCCGCTGGTGGTGCCGCCGCCGCCAAGGAGGAGGAGAAGAAGGAGGAGGAGAAGGAGGAGTCCGACGACGACATGGGCTTCGGTCTCTTCGACTAAACGCTTCTTCCGTCCTCGTTCCTCGCGTCCACCTTGTGACCTTCAACCCCCACCCAAAAATATAGAGGCGTCGACCAAGGCTGGCTTGCTCGTTAGCTCGTGCGGGTCCCTTGGCCGCCTCGCACTCCTCACACTTTAGGCTCCGCTGTATTTCTACCTTCATCTGTGCACGCCGCTTGCTAGCTGGGCATGATGGAATGATCAACACTGGCGTCTTTTTCTCATGACGAGTTGGAATTTTTTTGAGTTGAGATCGTGATTTGCCCTTTGGCGTGATTGGGTGACGATCTGCATTCGGTTCAGGTGATGCTAGACGCAAAGATTGGTGCAGTGCAGATGCGGACAAGACCCGTGGTGTCGGCGGGTTCCACATGGCACAATCAGCGGAGGCATCTCTGAGATGGGCAACCGTCAGCCCCACGCGATTCACAAAAGGGCCGACACAGCCGTCCACCCTGAGAAGTGTTCTGAATGTCAAAAGCAAGCCGGTCCACCCCCCGTACAGACCCCTGATGGCTGACGGCTGATGAGCGGCAAGTCGGCCTCGTCGGTGTGAGCTTGCCCCGGTCGACCGAAAGTCTCCAGTCCTTGCCGGCCTCATCCACTCGCACCTGCCTCCTATTCACATCCCCACACTCGCCATCCACCCCACTCGATCATCGAATTCTGACCCGGCCTCGGTGTAAAGATGGAGTATATTCAACTGCGAAAAAGTGGCGCACAACAGCACCCGGAGATCGATCCTTCTCCGACGCTTAGTGAGCCGAGGGCGGGTTGTAAATGATCTTGCGGCTCTTGATGCCTGCCCACTTGAAGCGCTTGACCCAGAGCGAGAGCGCGGTGAGTGACGAGAGCACAATCACCGCCTGCATGCCCATCTTCTTGCGCGTGTCGTGCTCGGGCTCGGCGCAGAAGTGCAGGAACGTCACCACGTCCTTGGCCATCTGCGACGTGGTGGCGGGCGTGCCGTCCTCGTAGTCGACCAGGCCGTCGTACAGCACGCGCGCCATGGCGATCTGGGTGCCGGGGAAGTACGAGTTGTAGTTCAGGCCGTCCTGCACCTTGACGCCCGCCGGAGGGTCGGTGTAGCCCGTGAGCAGCGCAAAGATGTAGTCGGCACCGCCGTGACGCGCCTTGACCATCAGGCTGAGATCAGGCGGCAGCGCACCGGCGTTGGCAGCGCGAGCCGCCTCGTCGTTGGCGTAAGGGCGCGGCATGTAGTCGGCGAGCTTGCCGGGACGCTGGAACATGGAGCCCTCGTCGTCGGGGCCGTCCTCGTACTCGACCTCCTCGGCCATGGCCTTGGCCTCGTCGACGGTGTGCGACTGACCCACGAGGTTGCGCCAGGCGATGCGGTCGAGTGAGTGGCACGACGAGCAGACCTCGCGGTACACCTGGTAGCCACGTCGGATCGAGGCGTGGTCGAAAGTCTCAAAGACACCCGAGTGCGACCAGGGGTACTTGGGTGGGTGGAGACCCTCGTCGGCCATGTTGGCGCTGGCGGTGTCCAGGAAGGGGAGCGTGCCGTACAGGTGGCTGTACCAGGCGACCGAGCCGGCGGCGACGGCGGTGGCGGCGATGGCCGACGATCGCGAGGTGAGGAACGACTGCGAGGCGTTGGGAGCAGCGTGTGTCGACGCATTGCGGACCTGTGGGATGGAAAGGCGAGCAAGTTGGAAGTCAGTGCGTCTGTGCGTGGCAGATCGAGTGTGTGAAAAGATGCAGCCCAGCTAGTCGGAGCGTCGCTGTTCAGATAGGCTGTGGCGGTGCGATGTGTGCCATCCGCGTGTCCGGCGAGAATGATATCAAGCCTTTCAGCCTTCACCATCTCGTCTCGACAGCCCATCGTGATGACGATGACGGGTCTGGACTTGACCGCAATGACCCGAGGATAGGGAAGCGAGTCAATGCCACCATTCTGTGCGGATGAAGACTGCAATTGCTGGGCGCGCTGTTCGGGTGACGATGCGCGTGCTGGCTCAATAGGATAGAGTCGGATGCTGATGATTGCTACTCGATGTATCGTGTTGTCCATGTGAGCGCGAGTAGTGCGCTGGCGATCCGGCGTGTGCTTCCGTCGCCACAACGCTGCTCTCCTCCTCCTTTCACGCCATCTCGGCCTATGCCGGAGGATCTTTGTAAAACGGACTGCCAATGGTGACGGCTGTCGAGGAGTGCGAATGGTCGGAAATGCGGCGAGACGGAGGCATGGGCTGCTGGTGCGACTGGATACCTACCGAGGCGGCCGAGCCGTTGACGGCTGCGCGGAACGCAGTTCGCGCACTGTTGAACAAGTTGGCCATGGTGATGATGGCTAACCTAGTCGAAAAGAAGAGGTGAGGGGATGGAGGTGTAGGTGGCGACGGAGAGGAGAGAAGGAGTGGGCTTGGACTGGCAGCGCGTGGATTTGTGATCGGGTTGTGGGCCCAGCGCTTCCAAGCCTAGCCTAGCCTGCGACCTGGGAGACGAGCGACGAGCGACGCCGCACCCTCCAGAAGCCAAAGCCTGCCAGGCAGCTCAGACGGATCCTTCCATCTCGAGACTCGCTCTCTTCCGAATCGTCCGGCTGGAAATTCATTCCCACTGTGCCGTCTGCTGTGCTGTTTTTTCTCTCGTCTCCTTCTCACGAGGCCCGGGAATTTTCGCGCGCCTGGCTGGGCCGGAAATCCAATTTGGCCCAGAATTTCCAACTGCAGCGCGCGACAGTCGTTTGAATTTCTCGTCGGGCCTCAACTTCAACCCATGCGCAAAGGCAGTCCCATTTGAAATCCACCTGGCTTGGCCGCGCCTGGCCTCGCTGCGCTGCGCTGCGCTGTGGGGCCGTCGCATTTGTAATCCAGCCAACGCCCGCGTGTTGCTTCCAAGTCGACAGCGCCAACCGCTCCGCTTAGCCAATCAGGGTCTTTCGAAAACACCCGAGCCATCCTCTCTCGCACGGTACAGCCCCTCTCCCACTGCCACTTGACAGCAGCATGTCATCCTCGCACATGACGACTTTCAGTCCCGCGGCCTTGAACGACAATCTGTGGATCATGTGAAGCTCGACATTGCTTGAGTGTGTGTGCCTGGAAGCTCAGCTCATGCTGCCCCAGACTCTGGCACATAGCGAGGCTGCAGAAACAGCTCGGACAGCTTGCGGCTGAGCGCCTGGCCGATCTTCTTGCGTGGATCGAGACCGTCGGTGCAGCTGGACAGCATGGCGTCGGCCCCGCCCGGCTCGTCGTGCGCCTCTGCGAGCGCGTCGGTGAGCTCGCGCATGGTGCTGTACACCGCCAGCACCTCGCGCACCTTTTCGGCACTCATGCCCTTGACGCACAGCAGCATCTTGCCAAAGATCTCCTTGGACGTCAGGCCGCCGCTCTTGCTGTTGAGCGCCTGGAACGCCTCGAACGACGTGAGCATCGACGCCGAGGGCGATTTCGACTGCAGCTCGTCGCGCGTCGGGAGGAAGCTCGAGCGCGAGATCAGCGCGCTAGGCATCACCGACAGATCTCGGTGCTCGTAGATCCTGCGAATCATGCCATCCATCGCTGCAAGATAGTCGATGCTGGCAGTCAGGCCAGACGTGCGCTCGACAAAGAATCCATCGACGACCTGCGAGCTGCTGAGCGCCGTCTGGATCTGCGGGCCAAACTTGCGCATCTGATTCTCCACGTCGTGATCCTCAATCAAATAGAGCACCTTGGCGACGCCCGAAGAAGACAGTCGGAACTTCTGGTCTCTCCAGCGTCCGTCGAGGATCGAACTGGTCAGATCGTCCAGTCGCTTCCTCTCGACAATGTGGTCCAGCACCACCTCGTCTTCCTCTCCGCCCTTTGGCTCCTTTCGACGTGCGATCCAGACGGCATCGCCCACCTCGAGGGCGCGCGTCTCCACGTCCACCCCGCGCTCCAGCAGCAGCGTCGCGATCGGCTCGCGCTCTTGTCGGCGGCCCGGTCGGTGTCGCTCGCGGTTGTCGACCAGAAGATGGATGCTGTAGCTGCCTGCGGTCAGAATCTCGGGTTCGAAGTTGGACACGCGCGTCTGCAGAGCCGCCTCTTGCTCGTCGTCGGACCAGTCGTCGTCCAGATCCGACACCTCCTCGGCCTGCCTGCGATCAACGTCTGCGGGTTGTACGATGGAGTCGCCCAGCCCAGCATCACGAGCAAGCGTCTCTGAGACCATGGCGCCCTCGTCGCTCAGGCTGTATCGTGCAGGATTGCCCGATTGCAGCACGTATCCTTTGGCGATCAGAGTCTTGATGCTGGTCCACCCCGTGTAGAAGGAACGAGAGCCTCCGGAGCCGCCTGCTGTCGCAGCGTGGCTTGAGAGCGGCACCGCAGCCGATGAGCGCGAAGACGAGGCGCCGCTCTCGTACTCGGTGTCCGAGTACGGACGGGCTGCATTGATGAGCTGCGTCTTCGATACGTTGGGCGTGCAGGATGAGGTGCTGCTTCGCGTGAGGATATGCAGGCCCACCAGAAGCCCGTATGCGCCGGAGCGGTGCTGCGGCACGTAGGCGCGCTTCTTTGTCGGGCGATCCGTCGTAGCTGTCGTTTTCCTTTTGGCAGTGGATGCACTTGCACCCTCGGTCGGCTCTTCCGTGTCGCCTCCTTGAGCTTCGGCTGGCCCGGAGGTTCGCTTCGACGTCGAGCCTGCGCGCGAGGCTGTCATGCGACCAGGCAAGAGAAGCGAGAGATCAGTCGTCAGAGCATGCGGGCCAAGCCCTCGACTCGAGCGCAGGGCAATACTCACGGCGCTCTGGTACGGGCTTTCCATTCTCGCTGCACCATCTCTGCAGGTCCTGCTCGAGCTTGTTGGCGATCGTCGGTCCGATGCCCGCGAGCTGCGTGGTCTGGCATGGGTGCTGGAACTCGATCGGACACGACGCCAGCGACTGATGCGCTTTCCTGTACGTCCGCGCCACCTTGGATCCTTTCGCCTGTGCTTCTTCGATCCAAGCGGCCAGGAAGGTGAGCCAGAGCGTGTTGCCTCCCGCCGTGCTGTCGGTCTCGGTGTTCATGGTGCAGTCGTTCGCTGCCTGTTCGCGGTCCAGGTCGGCTTGATCAGATCAACCTCCGATCGCTGTGGCGGTGTGTCGGAGCCACCGAGATGCCCTGTGGGCGTGTTGGGGCCAGAGTGACTCTGTTGATTAGGCTGGTGATGGACGTCGCAACCTCATTAGCGGCCCAGCCGAATCGTGGCTTTCCCACCCTCGAGGCTGCAGGAAAAACGCATGCAGTGCCGTGTGGAGGGTGAGGCGAGAACAACACCCGTCCTCAAGCTTGCTCATTCCCGCTTAACGCGAGGATTTCGAGACGCGCTCGAGTTGGGCCCTGCAGCGCCTGCGGAGTGCGTTTCGCCAGAGACGGCGCGAGTCGACCGAGCCGCGACACGCCAGATGCACCTTGGCACGACATTTTGACGTCCTGTTTTCTGTGCCTGAAATTCACTCCGGCTTTTCGTGGCCGTACTTTTTCTGGGAATGGCGTCTACACTGCCCGACTGAAGATAGCAGCAAGTGCGATCTACCGGACCACTGCCTGGGTCTGCAGCACAAGGAGTAACGACCATTGCATTACACCGCCAAAGAGGCTCACAGCGTCTGTCCCGGCGCATTCGCAGGGCCATCGGCGGCAAGCATCGGGCAGGATCGTACTTCATCGTGCAAAGATCGGCCAAGCTGGCACCCTCCGCCGGTGCTATCGATGCGAGCAGCATGAGATGGGACGGCGCATCTGGCACATTGCGCTGCTAAAGCCGACTTCGGCCTTTGGAGCCAGGTACATCGGACTCTGCTTGTCAAGGCAGCATCTCGACCAACGCAGCTCAGACGGATTGCAGCTCGCATCCGACACCGTCTTGGCAGCCACTACAAAATAGGCAAGGGTCAGCTGCGAATTCGGGAGATCCGGTCGGAAAAATTGGCCCGCCGTGCCTTTTTTTTTTTTTTTTTTTTGCGGAAAGCAGGCGGGATTGAAGCGCCACCTGCCAATTTGCGCATTTTCCCCCCAACAAGTGCGTCGATTCGAACTTTTGCCAGATAGCGGCTACCGACGTCGCCCCTCGCCCCTGGCGCACTCGTGCAGCCCTAGCATCCATCCTGCCGTCTACTCTACATGGCGGCGATGCGATGCGAGGCACAGCCTTTCCGAGGCGATCCCGGAGCATCACGGAATGCCCTCCCCGTCGAGGCGAATGCATCGGGTCGGCAACCCCGATGAGCCGTCCGAATTTCTCTCCCCAACGTGGCGGCAAGGGTCCGGCTCGGCGCGGCGCGAGTTCCCAACATCTGCAAAGCGACGGCGAGCTGCTGCCCCACCTAGGCCGTGTGGCTTTGCCATGAATCTTTGCCTACGTTGACGAGCTCATGTCTTTTGTCACTCAATCGTCGTCTGTGCACAAAAGAAATATCGATGGAAAGACAGCGACAAAGGCAGCGTCGGCATGGCCGACTAACTGGCACAGTCAGGCTCACTGACAGCTTTGGAAGCGTGCGGTGACGGAAAGCCTAGCGTGGAGAAGTGCCGGCTGGTGTAGTCTATCAAGAGTGTTCGGAGACGCCGCTGTCCCAAAATTCGCGGCTGAGCGCTGTAAATAAATTAGAGACGCGGCGAGTCGAATTCTCCGCGTGGGCTTGCTGGGGCGATTTAACTTTCTGTCGCTTCTTCTATCCTTGCCAGCTTCCGATGGGCTTCGGGGAGTCGACACTTTGCCATGCATCGATCATGGTGGAGCCGAGAAGGAAGCTGAAGCCATCTTTGCCGAAAACAGAAAGCGACGAGCAGCCACGTTATGCTTTGAGGATACAGAGCAGGTCAGGCTGGGGCGAGTGGGGCAGGTGGAGGCAGCAGCAACCAATTCGGCTTTGCCCAATCGATGCCGCCGATGGATGGGTGGGATGGCCCGTGTGCCCATTGCGCTCAGGTTGGGGAAAACCCAATTTCCGACCAAAAAAAACGGCAGCAAAGCGCTCTGGTGTTGAGTGGAGGTTGGCGCGCCGAGCCGAGCGCATTTTCTTTGGGTGGGGGGAAAAAGAGGGCGAGTCGCGAGTCCCAGCGCAGCGTCGAGTGTTGTTGTGTGCAGCGGCGGGAGGGCTTCGCAGGAGCCCAAAAGGGTCTGCTCTGCCTGCTCCGAACGATATCCGAGATTTTTTTTTGGTGGCGCGTTGGAAATTGTTGAGCCGGAAGCTGTCATCGATTTTTTTTTTTTTTTTTTGGCTACGCGCTCGCTTGCACTGGCCATGTGCCTCGCGACGCAACGCAAAGGCAAAGCAAGCGCTCGAGTTGGTCAGTGCAGCCGAGCTGGACGGCGGCCTTCTAACGCTGCTGCTGCTGTTGCTCTCGCCGTGTTGGCGTTGGCGTTGCAGGGCAAAGGCAACTGCATCCCGACGCTCGTAAGGCTTCAAGGCAGCAGGAGAGGCGGCAAGAAAGGCAGGGAGAAAGGCAGAGGCTCGTGCGTTTGCCATCTCGAGCCTTCCAGTCTTTTTGGCTGCGCCGTTAGTTCCGCCCGAAGGTCCACACTTTCCAAGGCAACGAACGAACGAACGAACGTCGTCGGGCGTCAGCATCCCTCACGCCCTGGTCAATCTATCGCAAAGCCCGCTTTTTTGGTGCCCCACTCTGACTGCTGAAGCTGAGCTTTGGTTTGGCCGGCGTCGACCTCCCTCTCCACCTTATCTTCTCACCATCATCACCTCCGCCTTCGGCATCACCCCCTCCCTTCATCTCGCACCCTCTCGCTCCGCAACACATCGACGCCGCCATATCGCTGGCTCGACTGCAACGCCCACTTTGCAAACCACCTGCAACCTCGTCGTCAAGGTCTCCCTCACCCTTGATCTACCGGTGCAATCCCCATCCTGTCTCGACTTTACGACCTAAAAAGCAGTTCGTCGCCGGCTCCCTCTCTGGCTTCCTTCTGTTTCCTACCTCTCCCTCTCTATCGCTCGGCCCGCCTTCTTGCCTTTCTTGAGCTCCCTCGCTCGGAAAAGCAACAAGCAATCCTCCGTTCGCACGCAAAGCCAAACTCGTCTTTGGCTGTCCCTGGAATTGCCGCGACTTTCGCTGTGCTCCTCCTCCTCCTAGAGCTGCTTTCTTGATCTCGCTCGATCTGCGTCAAGCTCGCATCCTCCGCCATCATGCCGACTCCTGACCACCAGGCTGTCAGCCACTTTATCGGTAAGCTCCGAATTGCGCCTCCCCCCGGGAGCCTCCGGAATTCATTTTTGACGGAAAGAGACTGACAACTTCGCCCCATGATTCGAAACTTATACAGGCGGCAACCCGCTCGACACCGCTCCCGCGGGTGCTGTCGCCGACTTCATCCGCAAGCAGGGCGGTCACAGCGTCATCACCAAGGTGCTCATTTGCAACAACGGTATCGCCGCCGTCAAGGAGATCCGCTCCATCCGCAAGTGGGCCTACGAGACCTTTGGCGATGAGCGCGCCATCGAATTCACCGTCATGGCCACCCCCGAGGACCTCAAGGTCAACGCCGACTACATCCGCATGGCCGACCAGTACGTCGAGGTGCCCGGTGGCTCCAACAACAACAACTACGCCAACGTCGACCTCATCGTCGATGTCGCCGAACGCGCCGGCGTCCACGCCGTCTGGGCCGGCTGGGGTCACGCTTCCGAGAACCCGCGTCTGCCCGAGATGCTCGCCGCTTCCAAGCACAAGATCATCTTCATCGGCCCTCCCGGCTCCGCCATGCGATCCCTCGGTGACAAGATCTCCTCCACCATCGTCGCCCAGCACGCCGACGTGCCCTGCATGCCCTGGTCCGGTACCGGCATCAAGGAGACCATGATGAGCGAGCAGGGCTTCCTCACCGTTTCGGACGATGTCTACCAGAAGGCGTGCATCCACACCGCCGAGGAAGGCCTCGAGAAGGCAGAGAAGATCGGCTTCCCCGTCATGATCAAGGCCTCCGAGGGAGGCGGAGGAAAGGGTATCCGCAAGTGCACCAACGGCGAAGAGTTCAAGCAGCTCTACAACGCCGTCCTCGGTGAGGTGCCCGGCTCGCCCGTCTTCGTCATGAAGCTCGCCGGCCAGGCCCGCCACCTCGAGGTTCAGCTGCTCGCCGATCAGTACGGCAACGCTATCAGTATCTTCGGCCGTGACTGCTCCGTCCAGCGTCGTCACCAGAAGATCATCGAGGAGGCTCCCGTCACCATCGCTCCCGAGGATGCTCGCGAGGCCATGGAGAAGGCCGCCGTGCGTCTCGCAAAGCTCGTCGGCTACGTCTCCGCCGGTACCGTCGAGTGGCTCTACTCGCCCGAGTCCGGCGAGTTCTCCTTCCTCGAGCTCAACCCGCGTCTCCAGGTCGAGCACCCCACCACCGAGATGGTCTCCGGCGTCAACATCCCCGCCGCCCAGCTCCAGGTCGCCATGGGTATCCCTCTCTACTCGATCCGAGACATCCGAACCCTCTACGGCATGGACCCTCGCGGCAACGAGGTCATCGACTTTGACTTCTCCAGCGCCGAGTCCTTCAAGACCCAGCGCAAGCCCCAGCCCCAGGGTCACGTCGTCGCCTGCCGTATCACCGCCGAGAACCCCGACACTGGTTTCAAGCCCGGCATGGGTGCGCTCACCGAGCTCAACTTCCGCTCCAGCACCTCCACCTGGGGTTACTTCTCCGTCGGCACCAGCGGTGCCCTCCACGAGTACGCCGACTCGCAGTTCGGTCACATCTTCGCCTACGGCGCCGACCGTTCCGAGGCGCGCAAGCAGATGGTCATCTCGCTCAAGGAGCTCTCGATTCGCGGCGACTTCCGTACCACCGTCGAGTACCTCATCAAGCTGCTCGAGACCGACGCCTTCGAGTCCAACAAGATCACCACCGGCTGGCTCGACGGCCTCATCCAGGACCGCCTCACCGCCGAGCGTCCCCCCGCCGACCTCGCCGTCATCTGCGGTGCGGCCGTCAAGGCGCACCTCCTGGCGCGCGAGTGCGAGGACGAGTACAAGCGCATCCTCAACAAGGGCCAGGTGCCTCCTCGTGACACGATCAAGA